ACTCTCTATAAAGTTTAAAAAGTATTTATTTATTATAGTAAAATAAAGTTTATAGTATATTAAGAACTAGCTTTATAAGCTACTATATATAAGTATTACTAGTATTAACTATAAACTTAAGAAGAGAAAAGAGAGAAAAAAGAAGCTTTCTATTCTCTCTTTTTCTTCTATTATATATATATAGGTTTAATATGCATTTAAAGTATACTTAATAAGGCACTAATATAGTGCCTTATACCTACTTAAGCCTAAAGCTCAAGTTTATTACACTAGATAGGTAATTAAGCAGTTAGAATAACTAGAAAATTCAGCTTAATAGTAAATATATTAAGTAAAAACACTAGAAATTATATTTTTAAGCAATTTAGAGCTAGCTAGCGCAGCGCTATTAAGAAATTTATATAAATTATATAAGCACCTTTTTAATTAATTAAGGGCATTTTGCTGCTATATATTTGTACTAAGAATGTACTGTGGCGTATAGCAGCAGGGCCGCTAGACTAAAAACAGGGCGTGGTGGGGTATTAAGCGCCCCGAGCAAAAATGGTGAGCGCCCCGAGCAATTAACGTCATGGCAGCCTCCCCCGTTTGCACGTCTTCATTGTCCATCCACCTCGCTGAGGAAGGACGTCGCAAGCTCAGCGCTAGGGCAGGCAAAGAAGGTTATCGACTACGGTTTCACATGCCACACGAAGGGCCTGGGTGCACCCTCACCTTGAACAACCGATAACGACTAGTACATCCTGCACCGGCTGTGTATCTGGTCATGCGAGAAGACCCTGGCAAAAAGACTACTACCTACGGACTACTCTAAAGAACGGGACAAGGGCGTGTCAAGCGACTTTCGACGGACGGGCCTTGGCCACGTTTTGGTGGCTTTTCCCGGAGATCCGACTTGTTCACCCAGCGAATCGGACCTTGTAATGGTGGCAACCAGGCACGCCCGACGCCAGTGTGCGCTTCTAGAAACTGCGAGCCTATCGCTGGACAAGAGTCAAGTCACCCCCCTCATATTCAAACTTGCGCCTTTGTCTCTCGGCTTCTCTGACCGGCTTACCTGACGAGTGCGGGCCGAATGAATTTGAGGGCCTCAAGGGCTGGTGGAGGTGGAACATCGCCATGGAGCTATGTGGAGGCCCCTGCTTTGACCAACATCGTACGGACTACTCCGTAAACTCGTCGTCCCTTGTTGTCATGTCTTGTGTGTCTGCGCGTCTGTTGCGATGTGCGACGTTCCCACATCCATCCCAAGGCCAAATGCAACTTGACTTGATCAATCTCCCATGTCTCTCTTTTACGTTGCATCCTGATTTGCTTCTTCCTTCCAGCCTCAACACCCCGTTTCTGTGCTGTGACTCGTGAGCGTGGCCCGAGGGATCGGCAACAAGGCTCCATCCAGTACTGTCAAGAAAGACTCAAGAGAACGCGGACAATCCCGAGGCCTGTTTACAGTTATCCCGTATCGAACCGTGAGAGCCTTCTTCCCTCACCCGTCATGGTGAAGAAGTTCTTTGGCCTCTCCGGCCAGGCACTTAACTGGGCCATTGGAGCAGTAGCAGGATGTGACTTCCTGCTCTTTGGTTACGGTAGGCGTCATGATTTCTGATTTCTGACTTCTTTCCACTCTCTGCGTACCTTGGTCTTGCGACTTGTACCGATCCCGAGTTGCGCAATTTTGCGGGCACTGGGTCAAAAGACTGATTGATTCTGCAGACCAAGGGGTCATGGGTGGCATTCTCACGCTTCCCATCTTCCTCGAACAGTTCCCAGACATCAACGATAGTGCGGATGGTCTCACAGACGCGGAGAAAGCCAGCAGATCGACGTACCAGGGCATTGCTGTCGCTTCATACAACCTGGGCTGTTTTATCGGGGCCATCATCACCATCTTCATTGGTAATCCTCTTGGTCGCAGACGCATGATCTTCCTCGGCACTGCCATCATGGTTGTTGGGGCGGCCCTTCAAGCCTCTGCTTTCACTCTCGAGCATTTCATCATTGGGCGTATCATCACTGGACTAGGAAATGGTGGAAATACCTCCACCGTGCCCATGTGGCAATCTGAGACTTGCTCAGCCCACAAACGTGGTAAACTTGTCATGATTGAAGGTGCACTCATCACCGGCGGTATCATGATTTCATATTGGGTGGACCTCGGCCTTTCCTTCGCGCCCGGCTCTGTTGCGTGGCGTTTCCCTCTGGCCTTCCAGATTGTCTTTTGTGTTTTCATTCTGGCATTTGTGCTCGGCTTGCCCGAGTCTCCTCGGTGGCTCATCCTCAAGGGCCGTGACGCTGAAGCTCGGGAAGTCATTGCCTCCATCGCCGAGGTCGAGAACGACGACGGTTACGTCGAGCGGGAGTTTCGCGCCATCAAGGAAACCGTGGCAGAGATGAGCAAGGGCAGCTTCGCCGATTGCTTCGCTCGCGACAATAACCGCACCCTGCACCGCACCATCATCGCCTACGTCAACCAGATGTTCCAGCAGATTTCTGGAATCAATCTCATCACGTACTATGCCGCTGCTATTTACCATCGTCTCGGCATGTCTCCCTTCCTGTCTCGTCTTCTGGCTGCTTTGAACGGCACCGAGTACTTCATTGCCTCGTGGCCGGCTGTCTTCCTCGTCGAACGCGTCGGTCGCCGGAAGCTCATGCTGTTCGGTGCTGCTGGTCAGGCCGCCACCATGGCTATCCTCGCAGGTGTAGGTTCGCAGGAAAACAATCAAGCTTGCCAAATTGCAGGCATTGCGTTCCTTTTTGTTTTCAATACCTTCTTTGCATTTGGCTGGCTCGGCATGACCTGGCTGTACCCGGCCGAGATTACTCCCCTGCGGACACGTGCCCCGGCCAACGCGTTGTCCACGTCTTCTAATTGGATTTTCAACTTCATGGTGGGTGCAGTAACATTTCTATAAGCATGCAGCAAAGATGTGCTGACTTTCGTAAAACTACAGGTTGTCATGATCACCCCTGTCTCCTTTACCAACATCAAATACAACACATACACCATCTTCGCCATCATCAATGCCATCATGGTTCCTTCCGTATATTTCTTCTTCCCCGAAACCGCGTACCGATCTCTGGAAGAAATGGACACCATTTTCCAGAAAGTAAAGGGTTGGAGGGGTGCCTTTACAGTCGTACACCAAGCCGAAGTTGAGCCCCGGCGCTACGGCAAACACGGAGAACTTCTCATCAATGTTGATGAGACGGGCGAGAAAAGCAACGAGTAGTATCGCAACGGCAGCTATATCGAATCGACCACTGACCCGACCTTGATGAAGGCATGTTTGCCAACAACGAAGAAGGAGACTCGACGCCGCGGCTAGTAAACAGCTTTCGTTCTGTGGCCCCGGCCGTGGCTTTTCTGGAGCCAGATTAGCTCTCATTTGATAACAAGAAAAGCGGAAACGGAGGGAGAATCTGAATTTCCAACGTTTTTTGTTTTCGCCCAATGTCGAAGATGGGAAACCCGACCAATCCCCCGGACCGTCTGCAATGCCTCCGGGGCGGGATGTTCTTTGCCCTTTGCCTATATACATACCCAGCTGCGGAATGCTTGATTCTGTAAACTCGGTCCATCACCTTGCTGCGCCGGCACGCCGATTTGCATTGGGAGTTGGATTGGATACGAAGACTTGTTCAATTTGATTGTTTGTGAAACGGATGGGCGGGATCTGTTTGGGAGCATCAGACTAGACAAAACAACGACTTGCTAGCTGGACCAACTCATGTTGGTCCATTCCAGAGCTGCGTCCTTTTAAGCCGCACTCCATGGAAGTAGATGCGGCAAGCGTGTCGTCAATTCTGCTTCTACTATAACTACGCAGCTATAGCGTGCATGGCTTTGGTGACCACCTCAAACGGACTAATTACCCCGCTACGGGGTACGCATCCGTCCATCCATGATCCATCCACCTCCCTCTCCTCCACCTGGGGTTCGTCGGCCCTCTCGTCCGCCCCTCCTGCACCAGCTTCTTTCTCCCTCATATCAAGAGCAAGCCCTGCCGCCCTGATCATTCACCTCGCCATCGACTCATTCTCCCCCTGTTCTCGAGACCCATCTTTAGCGCTTGTGAGATGCCCTTGCCTTGCGGTCTCTATTCCATACCTCGGTCCTTGATATCTTGCTAAAGCCAGGCCTTCCACCAGTTCCAGATACCTCTTTGGACCGGGACGGCTCCCATAGCTCTCCCGCTTCCTGCGTCGCCCGCCTCTTGTAGTCGGGCTGATGGGCTCGCTGTTTGAACGACCGTATTGCATTTGACCAACCGAGTGCGGACGTGGGTCCATCATCCGTCGTTTCAATCCAAGGCTTTTGCTGCTGCCCGCTTCGACTGCGGACTCGACTTGCAGCCGATACATACCACAGACAACTTTGCAATGGTGGACAGACCAAACAAGCCGTCAGCTCTGGCTGCCACCCCAGGTCTATCCCCGCAGCCGCAGGTGACCATCTCGGATGGCAGCTCTCGTGTTTCAGCTGTCCTTTCCACAGGGGAGAGCGTCGAAGTCCTGCTCTTCGGCGCTACTGTCCTCAGCTGGAAAGATGCCGGTGGTAGTGAAAAGTTGTGGTTGAGCAAGGATACGAAGCTGGACGGGTCGAAAGGTGTTCGCGGGGGTATCCCTTTGGTGTTTCCGGTATTCCCCCCCATTGCAATAGTCACCGCCTCCCTTTCTTTTCTTTTCTTTTCTCTTCTTTTTCCTTTGGCGTGATTGAACGCTTCGCAAATTTAGAGTGACAAGGAAATCTAACGCGCGAATCGTGGCTAGTTATTCGGCCCTGCTAGTTCCAATCATGAAGCAACTTCAAAATTGCCTCAGCACGGGTTCGCTAGAACGGCTCGGTGGGAGTTTCTGGGCAAATCCACCAGCGAGGGCTCCAGCTCCAGCGTAAAGCTTGACTTTGGTCTCTCGTCTGATGGCCTGGCCGAATCTGTCAAGGCCCTTTGGCCCTACAAGTTTGGTTTACTATACAGCGTCACCTTGGACCGTGAAAGTCTGAATACGACCCTGGTCATAACCAATGATGGCCAAGAATCTTTCGATTGCCAGATGCTGCTGCACACGTATTTTAACGTCAAGGTGTGTAAGGAAACCTCCCACAATGCCGACCACTTCTGGGCCTCTTCAAGTATGGCTTTTTTCTTCTTGGAGCTAATATCAGGGTGCCTGTCTCGTAGGATATCTCTACAGTCCAAATCACTGGGCTGGAAGACTCCAAGTACGTTGACAAGGTAGATGGCGCCAAGATCAAGACGGAAGTTTCGTCGCCGGTGGCAGTCTCCGGTGAAATGGACCGTGTTTACACCCCGGCCAAGGGTCCCCAACATCCAATTGTCATTTCTGATTTCGGCCGCCCCAGCTTTCGCATAGTCAGAGATAATCTTGAGCAAGTCGTTGTGTGGAATCCCTGGAGCGAGAAGGCCCAGGGAATGTCCGACTTCACTCCCATGGACGGCTATAAGAACATGGTGTGTGTCGAAGCAGGGAGCGTCGATGGCTGGCAGAAGTTGGACAAGGGCGATGCCTTTGAAGGCGCCCAAATTATTTATATCTTGTAACAACACGCTTTCGAACACCTGGACTGTTGATCCTTGGGCGGAGTGGCGTTAGTGATTGGCTTGCATCACCACCTCCTGCCACCTTGGCTGTGATGCCGCAGGATTACTGTTCAGACAACTACTAGACGACTTGATGTACGCATCATGTGTGCGTCATTGGGCAGCATATCAAATACAGCATCCGTGTGACTGCGAGCATCGCGGTTGGTGTACAAAGTATGAGAGCTGTTCAAATCTTCTCTTCCTATAGAAGCAAGAATTCCCTTTCGCAAATGCATATGCTGCTGTCATTGCCAGTAACCAAGCGACCAAATAACCCCCCTTTATTTAAAAATGGTCATTTCCAGATCCAATTGTCTCTTTTCTTGTCCTCGGGAGACTTTCTTGTCTTTCCCTGAACGGGGCTAGAATCTTTTGAGAATATCACATCGATTATATATAATGCATGACATCTCGTCCCGCAGCTGGCGACTAGTTGCAAGTCGTGCTCTGATCCGTTTCCGCTCTAGCCTCAAGCATCATTTTTCTGTTCCTGTGAGAAGTGATCGGCAACTAGGAAGGCAAGCTCAAGCGCTTGTTTTTCGTTGAGTCTAGGATCGCAGAAAGAAGTGTAGTTGGTGGATAGGTCGTCCTCCTCGAGACCTTCACTGCCCCCCAGGCACTCTGTGACAGCGTCGCCGGTAAGCTCGAGATGAACACCGCCGAGGTAGCTGCCCTGCTCCTTATGGATGCGAAGCGATGCCTGAAGTTCTTTGTAAACATCGTTGAAACGGCGCGTCTTGATGCCGGAGGGCGTGGAGAGGGTGTTGCCGTGCATGGGGTCGCATTGCCAGACAACGCATCGGCGGTACTCGGAGTCCTCGACTGCACGAATGTGTTTTGGCAGCAGGTCTCCCACCTTGCTTGCGCCATAACGGGTAATCAGAGTGATTTTGCCGGGCTCACAGTCGGGATTGAGTGTTCGCAACAGGTCTAGGAGATCGGAGGTTGGCGTGGTAGGACCAACTTTGACGCCAATGGGGTTGGCGATGCCGCGGAAGAACTCGACGTGAGCATGGTCGAGCTGTCGGGTTCTATCTCCGATCCAAATGAAGTGTGCAGAAGTATCGTAGTAGGCTTGTTGCGTCTTGGGCTTGCCCTGATCCGTGGGCAGGGGTGGTGATGGTGCTCTGCTGCTGGGAGGAGCAGCTGGACGAGCGGGCGGCGACTCCAGCAGGCGTGTTAGAGGTTCCTCGTACTCTAGCAAGAGTCCCTCGTGACTGGTGAAGAGCTCGACAGTGTGTAGCTCGTCGGGACGAGAATTGATGACTTGCAAGAAACGGAGTGTCTGCTGAATGCTGCCGGCGATGGATGAGTACTTCTCCTTCAGGACAGGATCCCGTACGTGACCCAAGCCCCAGTCCAGGGGACGGTGAAGGTCTGCAATTCCCGACGCAATGGAGGCACGGATGTAGTTGAGGGTAGCGGCAGAGTTATAATAGGCTCTAGGAATCGAATTAGCAAGAGCAAAAGCCGCCGCTCCGTATCACTTCGTTGACGGCACGTGCTTTCAGGAAACGGCCTAGCTTACTTGATCAGACGGTTGGGGTCGATTTCTCTCTCATGGACGTGATAGCCATTCAGAATATCGCCCCTGAAGCTCGGGATCTCGCGGCCCTGGTACATTTCGGTTGGACTTGAACGAGGCTTGGCATACTGGCCAGCCATTCGGCCGATGCGGACAACGCGTTTGTTGGTGCCCCAGATGAGAACGACGCTCATCTGCAGAAGCAGCTTGATCTTGGACTCGATGGCGCCCTGCTCGCAATAGTCGAAAAGCTCGGCGCAGTCACCTCCCTGCAGGAGGAAGGCCTTGCCGTGAGCAACATCTCTGAGGTGAGCCTTGAGAGCGAGGATCTCGTTGGGGTGAACCAGCGGCGGCATGCGTGAGAGCTCTTGGACGGCATTGGCTAGCTTCTCCGGCTCAGGATAACTTGGAGCCTGCTTGATGGGCTTGGAGCGCCATGTTGACGGAGCCCAGGCGGGTTGAGCGGCCATTGGGGGAGGTTTCTTTCTTCTTGACGATGACGGCTCGTTGACTCTCGATGGAAAGGGCCGAGTCGGGGACCTTGAGAGCAGGCTCGTACGTCTGGTGTGTATGGATACTATACGAAATATGAAATATAATCTTTTGCTCAGTCTCGAGCGGCAGATTTCGCGCCGGAATCCGGCTGTGAGTCACCCAATTAGGGCAATAAGCTGATGCCCTCTGCAACACTCTCCACGTATGGAGACGATGCGGCGATGCGACGCACAAATCTGCACGGCAGCAATGGAACGAAATGTGCAGGCTTTCGCCCCAACGCGGCCGGCTGCGTAACTTGTTGCAGTCGAGTCAGAAACGTGGTCATAATGTTGCGTCCGAAAGTCGTTGGCTGCAGATTTCGGACAATATAATACAATAAATCCCTGCTCCCCACTTGGGCCTTCTCGGGCGCGGGCATTGACGAATCATGAGCCTCGCCAGCCGACAATCTGCCTGGATTAGTCATGCCAATCCCACCTTTTCTGCCCGTCGTCGCCAACACGCGCCGGAATCCATCACGCACCAAGGCAACAAAGGCAAGCAATACCAGCCCGTCGCAACCAAAATGGCCGAGCCACAGCCCCGAAATATCCACGAGGGCGCAACAATCGCCGATGTCGAAGAAGAGCTCCAATCCACCGCCAAGTCTGCCGAGGACCGCAAGGCCGCCTCTGCCCTCGCCAGTCTCGACGCCGCCGGCAACGACGACGCAGCGGGCAGAGATGTCGATCAGGAAGCTGTCAACAAGGCCATGAAGAGCCTTGGCGGTGCGAAGTCCGCACCAGCCACCGCGTCCGCCCTCGCCAAGAGCGTCAAGGTAGATGCTGCCGACCTGGGCCTGCTAATGCATGAGTTGGAGCTGTCGAAACAAAAGGCCACCGAGCTACTGAAGGCACATGACGGGGACGCCCTCAAGGCAATGCGGGCTTGGATCAAGGCCTAAGCCATGAAACGAAGCGCTTCTCCCTCCCGCGCCATTGGCGTCGACTGCTTGGCCTGCTCAAGGTCCTTGCCAACCGCTTCAAGCAGAGGGGAAGCAGTGCAAGGAGTATTCAAGGGACGTGACCGAGTCAAGCAGCAACTTAATGGTCGGCGCTCTGCAGCCCACAGCCGGCCAAAGAAACGGCATTATCAAAGGAAATTACGCCCCTCGAAATCAAAGTTGTACGTGTTTGTCATTGATGGCATATTCTTCTTCGCCATCCCTTAGCAAATACCGCCTAGCAGACATGTCCTTCAAGATTGAACATGTATCTTGATGCGTCACAACACTGCCTAGGTACGTAAATTGTGCAAGAGCCGCGGCATGTTTTGCTCCCGGACCAGGTTGATAGTTTTTATGTATGTATATACAGGTGGCGGGCTTGCTTCTCAAGCACGACCCCATACCGAATTTACTCTTAAACGCCGCGTTCGAATATGTACTCTAATCCAAGCCGAGGTCAATCTGAAGCTCCGAAAATAAGTGTACCCGGCCGTGTCTGGACTGTTGCAAGTCGTCCTGATGTAGGAGCGCCATGCCCCCAATGTCTGGGTGAGACGTACGTACATAGCTTGTTCCCGCCAGTACTTTGTCATCTCGACATGATGAATCCAACGCTCTACCCCCAGGTCTTGGCCAGTGGACTGCCAATTTTTGGCGCAAACTGGAGGCTCTTGCGTCTTGCTGCCATGAGCCTCAACATTACCTGTTCGTCCTTCCCATGGCTCAGGATCCCCTCTCCCAACTCCCGATATTTGCCCTCTTTCGGAGGGCAAGTTCTTGTCAGAAAGCTTTGCCTCGACGGCGACGCGATGCCTGATGGGACTTCCGTAGTTGGCGTTTCGGGCAGCTCGGCTGCGTATTTTGCAATTGCCTCGGGAGCCGGCGTCTTGGGAACGGGAGTGAGCAATGCGCACGACCAGTCCAGGTCCCCGTCCTCCGAGTCGCCCTGATCAGAGGGCGTGCGTATCCACATGGTGCTTTCTCTTCGGTTTCGAGGTGTACTCGAGACCTTTGTCGGTTGATTCAGACAAGACACTATTGTGCCATTAAGATTGGCAATTGCTTTGGGTTCCATGCTTTTGCGACGCCTAGCACCTCCACGAGGAATGAACGACGTGTCAATATAATAAGGAGATTCTTCAAGCCATTCATTCTCACGCTCGCAGCTGTGTCGTTGGGTTAGTAACTACAATGACCAGTATAGCCTTTCCATGTATTTAGTCAAATTCAAGCCACTTACTCTAGAACCCAGCTAACGCCGACGCAGTGGACGATCCCGTTGGTTTCCCGAACCTTCTCCATGGTGCGTTTGCCGCCGTCCTTGAATACAACGTGAGTGATCCCAACTTTGCTTGACGATGCGCCTTCAACGTTGAGAGGGCTGCCGGGAGTCCAGTTCCAAGTCTTGACACATTTGGCGCCCATTTGGCTCAAAAGCTCGATGAAAATGCCACTGGCATCTGCACCTTCCATAGTATGCACATCAACAAACACCACGGCACCGCGAAGCAGTCCTGGTTTGACATCTCGACAAGGGGTTTTCCCAGGCGTGCCGACGCCTAGCCACAGATCCCCTTTGGCAGGGGTTGAGAGAGAATCATGAGCAGGAAGTATGGACGCGCGTCTCTTTCCTTTTGGGGTGGGAGAACATGAGATAACTGCGGCGCTCCGAGGCACCTGACCAGCACTATTCGCACTAAAGCTCCGTTTCTTAGACGGGCTTGGTTCCGAATCATCTGCTGGCTTCAATGGGACTTTAGTCGTCGTAAAGTAAGGTCTCTTTTGCTGTGAAGGCCGCATAGGTGTGACAGGCGCAACATATCTTCTGGAAGGAAGAACCGTGTCGTCTGGAAACTGGTTCTCATCGCCGTATTCCTGGCTAGCTTCTGAGAGTGCTTCATCTGCCTGTTGATTTTCGCGGCCATCATCCACATTCTGGTGCATGAGCGACATGTTATTAGCTTCTGCAGCAAGAGCAATATCCTCATTTGTCATGATAATGTCCTCCATGCAAACATCATCCGGAGTTCCCTCTGACTGAGGATGCTGGCGAGGAGACTCTAACTCAGCATGAACCAGGATTTCGTCTTCAAAAAATCTGCTCTTCGTGGGCGAAGTCCCTGCTTCCAATGCCACCTCCGGCGATGCAGTAGACGAAGGAAATTGGTCGTTCTGTATATCTCGAGCGGTAAAGAAGTGATCCATGGCCACTTTGGTGGGACTGGTCGATGTCCAAGCACCAAGCTTCTCAGTCAAGGACGTCAAACCAAGGGTAGACCTTCGTGAGTCCTTTTGAGCCGTGTGAGTACTTTCTCTCCTATTCGTAAACATACGATCCGAGCAACTATGCTGTGCTGGGAGCTGCTTCAAGGGAGACAAATCATCCTCAGACTCAAAATCGGACGCAAAATCGCGGCACGCATCAAGAACACTACCTCGAAGCTGAAACATCGTTCCTCGTTTTGTCGCTGGCGTTACTGCAATGGCCACATTATTGGTCTGAGCCTCGGACGTGTGGCATTGTCTCGCGTCTTTCCCTCCTGGAGCCATCGCATCTTCTTCGCTGATCTCATTACTAGTGTCACTTGGTTCTGTGACTGCCTGGTCGTCACGACTAGCTTCATAGCTGTCAGCCTCTGCGAACTCGTCTGAAGCGCGACGGCCGGTCAGGCAGAGTTCTTCATCATGATCTTCACCCTCGGTATCATCTTGCTTTACCAGAAGGTCAGCGTGGCGTGGCAGTACCGCAGACATTCGACCTGGAAACAGGTCACTGTCAGGCTGGCTAGTGAAAGGGTCGTAGCCGATGTTACCAGTCTCTCCATTCTGAAGCTCTTCAGCGAGAAGGAGCTGCGAAGGCAAGCCAGTACTACTGGCGTTTGAGCTCGAAGCAACGATGGGTTGCATCCTGGGAGTCCTGTTTAATGCGGCATTCCTACCGTTTAATTCCTCGTTGACCGGCCTCAAACCAGGCATGGCTCGCTTGGCTGGAGATTGAAACAGTGAGCTTTTCAGAGACAGCTGACCGTGAAGCGGCGTCCCAGCCGTCATTGACGGAAGCTTGAAGCCTTTGATTGGCGACGAAGGCCTCCTAGCAGGGGACTGGAGGAGAGAAGACTGATTCTGATCGTGATCGTCCCCAGAGGGAAGAGCCCGGGGCTTCAAAAGTGATCCGAGTAATTGAACTTTGCCACCCGGTCTTTTCGCCGGCGATATCAACGAATCCTTCGAAAGAGATGTAGGTGGCCGTCTTGGCGGTGATCCCAAATTACTTACTTCAGAAGGCGCAACGGCCTCTGCCATATGCGTAATTGTATTGTCTTGCTGTTGGTATGTAGCGGTAGATGATTTCTTATTGATGGGCGCATGTATTGACGGCTTGGCGGGGCTCCTTATCACAGCTCTTAGTTGGTCATCTCCAGCCAGCTCATCATCTGAGCATTCTCTGTCCCGCGAGACTGGCATCTGGGTCACTTTCTTGGGACTCAACGGCTTCTTGGTGCCGGCCTCGGAAGCTTGGGAAGAGGGCTTTGGTTGCGAGTTTGACATTGTGGCAGCTCCACGTCGAGTAGGCCGGCCTCGCAGGCCTCCAATGCTGCTCGAAGCCTTGGCCTTTGATGAGAGACTGAGATTTTCCTTCCCTGCTCCTTCAAATTTTACGCTTTTTTTCGCTGTGACTCTAGATCCTTCTTGAGTCGTTTTGGTATCCGTTCCAGCGCGAGTTCGCGTCGATCTCTTGGCCACTGGTTGCGGCTCTTGGAGAGGAGTCTTTCTTGGGCGGCCGCGAAGTCGAGATGAGCTAACGTGATTATTCGCTGGATCCGCCGTGGCTGTTCTGGAGCCTCCTCTACACGCCACTGCGTTTATTGAAGAAGTCGTGCCGGCCGCAGTGCTGCTTTCTTCGTCGTCGGTGGCCTTTCTGAGTCCCGTTCTCGTGGTCCTTTGGGCAACAGACACTCCAATCGCGTCGTCGCCTTCGTCATTCTCATCAGATCTGGTCTTTCTCTTCGCAGCAGTACTTTTGGTGCATGCTGTCGCTTTAGAAAGCGATCGGGCTTTAGCAGCTGCGGTAACAATCTTGGTTGACTTGACAGCGGCCTGGCTTGCTTTGGCGGCTGCTCGAGCTCGCGTCATTCTTTTCGGAGGGGAGTCCATTGCCACTGTTCGTTCTATATTATCTGTACAGGTGTTCTGGGGATAGTGAAGAAGCACAGAATTGACGCAACCTTCACATGGCGTCTTTGTGCCCCAAGCGAAGGTGGTATGCATGGGATGGGAGCGCAGTATTTGTTGTCGCTGCGGTGAGCTCCCGTGTTGAGCTCCAGTTGCTCGGCAACAGCAGGATCCATTATGTGGGGAACAGGATCACCGGCGACCGCCCTTCCGTGTGCAATTGTCACCTTAGTCGCTGACGGGTATATTTCATCTAATTCCAGGAAACAAGTTATCATGAACGTCGCAATGTGTCTCTTTATCTTTTGGCTATGGCCACCGACGACCCGCATAGGCTTCATTTGTTCATGAGACAAACAATAGTTTGCCTGTATGAAAACTATATACTAGTACAGAACTCGTGCAGCTCTTAAAAGTGCAAGATTCTCAAGACGCGTTCTCTCTGAAAGTTAAAAATTATTGTTACGAAGAGTATTAATATATTAGTCGCGCACTGATCCAAACAGGCAGGAAACACAGTGGACTCGAGCAAGTCAAGCCGTGTCAGCATCTCGCGATGCATCCATCATTTCATGAGCCATGGCGAAGCGCTGAACTCCCCACCGTAGTTTCTCTTTGGAATTGTAGCAGAAGGAGGGCAGGGGGAAAAAAAGGGAAAGCTCTTCGCGAGAGAGTCTACTTTAATGTTTGGCTCTTGATGTGCTGCGAATGGTACGCAGCCAAGGAAAACGGCAAGCCAATACCTGAATCCGCCGACCCTCGACCAGTCTTCTTTCTACCCAGGTCGAAAAGACCGTCAAAAAGGACCGTCAATCTTCACGTCTTCAACCCCGTCGGGCATCAGCCGGAGCCACTCGTTCCAACTTTCAATGTCAACATTGTCGTCAGTCAGCCGGATTGACAGATGGAGCTGCGGATTGCTTTCGTAGGAGAAACTGTTTCGTATCGGGCTGTGTTCATAGAGGGGAGAGAGAAACACCGATGGCAATCTTGAATTGCCAGACATCATGGTATGGAGAGGAACAGGAAACGTCGTGATTGTCTCGCGTTCGGGGGCGCTGTCCCGGACAATCTTGGGATAGTGTGACAATAGTAATGCATGCAGTTCTACCACGGACAGAGGTACAGATCGGGCAGCCCGAGCGCCCAAAAGCTCCGACAGGGCTCGCGTAAACGCACAACGGCCAAGAGAGGCAGCGTGATCTTCGGATGCTGAGGCTGCAAGGAGTTCCAAAACGCCCCTTCGCCGTACAATCTTGGAGGATGGATAGTAAGCAGCATCCATGATGATTAGCACATCTGCACAAGCCTCCTCCAATATTTGTTGCATGCCACTCCACCGGATTTTGGACGCTTTATCGTTGTCCCTCGAGCTGCGAACTGTTAGTATGGATACAGACATGGACCTTTAGGTCAGCACGTACCTGGTCAAAATCATTTCCCTGTTGCCATCGAGACATGTGTGTCCAGCGTAATAAACGATTTTCAAAACGTCGCGTTGGTCGCAATCTTCGGCAAAATCGTTCAGCCGGCGTGAAAGCCATCTCCATGAGCTCTTGGAACTATCTGAAGCAGATGGAATAGCGTGTATATGAAACGCATAGTGATAAGACCTGTCAAGCACATGGGCCAACTCTCGCACTGCATTCTGTACGGTGATGGCGTCGTCGTCGTCGTGCCAGAAGAGAAGCAATACCTGAACAGAGGTATACCTCCCGCGGTTGGCTGTGGATAGGATTCTTGGTACATTGTGCTGCAATTCATTCTTGAGGCTCTCAATTCCTGGCAAGGATAAAGACTTTTCCAGTCTTGGGCCAGACGGCAACGGGGTGCGAATTCGCGCCTCGCTCAATGGTGGTCGACCGGGCTGATGGTGTGCAGCTGGCGAAGAGTCTATATCCATTTCTTGGGCGTCGTGCGCGAGATTTTGTTGGAAAGCGCCTAGTGATGAAGCTAGGCTTAGTGGACGTCCTGCGCCCGTGGAAGGCGTCATGTCTTGAGTGCTGAGGCTCTGCGATCTGTGAAACCGATGTAACAAATCTTCCCAGGTCATGTTGTGGTGGCTGGGATGGCACTTGAGGCACTCAAATGATTAGCCAAAGAAAGCAGGAAAACATGATGTAGGAGATACCTACGGCAACCCGTCTTCGACGGCAGTCATGGCACGCCCCCAGCTTTCTGATCAAGGCGGCCCGCTCTCTGGATTGCTGTGACAAAGGTCCAGTCCTTCTCCTGCTGGGGCGTCGGATGTTGGAGACGTCGGAGCCGTCTTTGACTGAGAAGATGGACTGATGCAAACCAGGCGAGGTTTCGGCACTGTACGATGTGTTGTTGGTCTCGGCAGAGGCCGTGGTCGCCGTAGTGGCCGTGGTGGCCTGGGTCGAGATGGAAGACAAGGTATTCTTGCGCGGCGGAAGTGAGTCCGAGTGTATGGGATGAGACGGAGTCGGAGAGTACATGGTATGACGAGCCAAACTCTCATCGACCTTTGCTGGCGGCGACGTCGGCGAGGTGGATTTTAGTGTACCAGCAACAAGGTAACCGGGAGTTGGGGCGGCGGACTCGGCGAAATTGCAGCCGTCTTCTTCGCGAACTGTAACCAACGTTGAAGGGGATGGTGACGACGAGGTCTCCGCCGTAGCAGCTGTAGCATCGGCCAGGCTATGGACGGGATCCATCACGGAGAGGGACGGCAGTCGGAAGATACCGCTCTGCCATCATCATTGGCTTCGACAACGATGGAGGCGATGTCGTCGGAGACGGCGCAACTCGATATCGGCCGAGAACCTCTCATCCACGCACGATACAGCAATGAATCCCTTCTTGACCAACTTTTGGCTTTCATTCAAAGGGCCACGGAATGACGATCAGGGTGGAACTGGTCCCAATTTGGCGCTTGAAGTACTGAATTGAGCGTGTTATAAACCTTTTCCCCAGATTTTGTCGTGCGCCGCCGTTGGTCCTCGTGTAGCTTATCTTATGACGCCCTTGCTCGCTGCGTCGTTGTTTCTGATTTTCCGAATGCAGAACCGAAACTTGTAGCTTGATTTTTGATTTTTGATATGATTTAATTTGCTTTGATTTTCTGCGAGAGTTTCTCGGTATGATCAACAACGGTCAAATGAATTGAGCCTCCCGTGGCCTTTGGGTTGGTTATCTTTTTGTTGGAGACACAAGCGGTCGTTTGAAGTGACTTTTGAAGCCTTGAATTGAACCCAGGCCTCGCTGTGCTTCACTGGTCAATGGGCAGACCCCCACCACGGAAGGACCAATTAATGAGTGCTTGATTTACCCTGATGTCAGGTCCCTGGTAAGCTTCTTCTCAGTAAGCTGACGAGAGATAGCCGAGGGAGGAGGGGCAGCTCCAGTGGAGAATCCAGATTCCAGACGGCACCCGGGAGCTTGAGAGCCCCAAATGTTGCGCTGGTTGTCGATTTAACGTTATTCGGTCCTCAAGTACTTGACTTGGTCAGAGACCTGGAAAGGAGGGATGATCCAGATGTCTGTCCTCCCGTTCTCACCCGGTCGAATAGCAATACCCCAGACAAGCGACGTCGCAGCAATTTGCAAGGGGTGCTTGTCCGCATTCTCCTCTGCACTGGTCGGAGGGGTGCAATGCGCCGGCCGCAGACGCTGCTAGGTCTGTCCCTGACTTGTTGTTCAATGGTGGTTGTGTGATGTCCAGACTTTGACATACGGTCCGGTGCATGTGCAACAACATTCGAACCTTGGATGGAGGGCATTGATGAACGAAAGGTGAGCCGACAATACCTGGGCGTGGACACGACGGTTCATGTCAAATGTCAAAAATGCCAATGCCGAGCACCAAACGGCTGCGGCTGCGGCTGCGGCCGGAATCGATTTGATCACCCTAGTGCTGCCACCAGTTGACCCGCCAAACCGATGACCCAACAGCCAGGATCAGATGTACAGCCGATGCTGGTCCTACTTAGCTTACTACTTAAGTAAGTAAGCACTTGGTAAGTACCTATAAGTACTTAGTAGGGACTTAGTACTTTAGCCTGGCGCCCTGGCCCCTGGGTCAGAGGCACTCCGTGCTCCAATGCATTAAGCAACTTGAGTAGGTACCTAAGTAGGTACTTATAGCGGGTACTCAGTTAAGTAGGTACTTAGTAAGTACCTAGGTACCTAAATCTATGTGCCTCGTAGCTAGTACCGCGGCACTTCCGGGACGAGGTCCAATGTCAGGTAAGTACTTAAGCACTTACATACTCAAGTACTTGAGTAGCATTGATGACTCCGTCACCCCAGTCTGGAGGTTCAATGGGTTGAGAGTCATGTTATCAAGCACATGTCGTGTGCAATACCCTGTTTGACGGCCCGGTTGCCTCACCGAGGTCCGTGTTTGTAGCTGCACTACGGCCCCGTGAAATCTTCTTGCAAAGAACCAGGTCGTTCCCCAGAAAATTTGTAGCCTTCGAATTGTCCCCAAATGAAAGTCGTACAAGGCAGACGCGCGCGAGTTTGGGAAAGAGGAGCGAGCCCACGATCAAGACGGGCGATGTCATTGACGATCGAACTCTGGACGACATGCCCGAACCCTGCAAGCCGCATCAGCGTCCGTCGTGTAGTACGGCACAATGAGCGGTATAGGTCCGCCTGAGCTAAATATGACATTCTGACCACGTCCATGGGCCAAGTCATTACTTGTCTGTCCCAGCGATGAAGATACAATTGACTGGCTTGCATTTAGATTTCTGGAGAGGTGGCTTTGGTTCCACTAGCAAACGTCAAGCATGGGGCCTCTTTGGGCTATTGACGCATCCTTCGGCGCCAAAATTATACCAGTCAACTTCCGACATCGCGCTTCCCCGTCTGTGAAAGCAATTTTGTTTGTTCTTCTGTGGACCCACCCGACTACCTTTACGCGAAACCGCGGGGCATTTGTCTGTGGCTGAGTGTTAAGTGGAGGAGGGGCAACGTTGGAAAAAAAAAAAAAATGACACGCCGACGACGACCTCCAACAATGGCACAGAACCGTATTGACATTTACTAGCCAAGATACTGCGAACGTGACGGCGTAGCGCGGCAGCACACACGACCGAGGTCTGTCGTCAGCGTGTTGCGACTTACCTGGTCTGCTTGCCATCGGCGTATGACGGATTCTGGCTTCATCCCGCGAGACTGCCCTCTCGACTCAATTCGCACGAGCCATCCCACAACCGGCCCCTCTTGCTCGACGTCGCATTCGTACGAACCGAGATGGCTAGTGTTAGAGTTCTCCTTATTGGAAATGGTGGCCGCGAGCATGCTCTGGCGTGGAAGTTGAGCCAGTCTGCTCGGGTTGATACCATCTTCGCCGTCCCGGGCAACGGTGGCACTGCCTCGTGTGCAAAGGTTACGAATGTCACCTCGGTCTCGGCCGAAGACTTCCCTGGCCTCGTCACGTTTGCGCAGTCAAATGGAGTCAATTTAGTTGTTCCTGGCCCTGAAGCACCTCTTGTGGACGGCGTGGTGGATTTCTTCAAAAATGCCGGAATACCTTGTTTTGGTCCCTCCAAGGAGGCAGCCCGCCTGGAGGGAAGCAAGACCTACTCCAAGGACTTCATGAGGAAATACAATATACCAACAGCTGCATACGAGAACTTCTCCGACTATCAGAGCGCCGTCAAGTATATCGATAGCGTCCGTCACCAAGTTGTTATCAAGGCAACCGGTCTTGCTGCCGGCAAAGGAGTTATTTTGCCTCAATCAAAACAAGAGGCCAAGGATGCCTTGAAGCAGATCATGGTTGACAAGGCGTTTGGATCTGCGGGTGATGAGGTCGTTATTGAGGAACTCCTGGTAGGTGATGAGCTGAGCGTCCTCACCTTTTGCGACGGTTACACTATTCGATCATTGCCCTTGGCCCAGGACCACAAGCGCATTTTTGATGGCGACCAAGGCCCCAACACCGGAGGAATGGGTTGCTACGCGCCCACCAACATCGCCACCAAGGACTTGACGGAGCGAATTGACAAAGAAATTCTTGAGCCTACTATCTTGGGAATGCGGCGCGAGAAGCAGCCATTTCGTGGTGTACTGTTCACCGGCCTCATGGTCACCAGTTCGGGCCCCAAGGTCTTGGAATACAACGTGCGATTTGGCGACCCAGAGACCCAAACTGTCCTGCCTCTTCTCTCCGCTGACACAGATCTGGCGGAGATCATGCTTGCTTGTGTTGAAGGGTACCTCGACAACTGCCACTTGCAGGTTGAGGAGAAATTCAGCGCAACCATCGTTGTTGCTGCTGCTGGGTACCCTGGCTCTTATGCCAAGGGCAGTCCTATCACTGTTCTGCAACCACCGCAGGGCAGCACCATTTTCCACGCGGGAACCAAGGTGGATGGGAATCAGCTAAAGTCCTCTGGCGGTCGAGTGATTGCAATAAACTCCGTGGGCGAATCCCTCAGAGCAGCTGTGGATGCTTCGTATACCGCACTTGCATCAGGGGTCATCAGTTTTGAAGCCATGTTTTTCCGAAAGGACATTGCGCACCGTGCTTTTCGAAACCCAGCCAAGGAGGCCATGACTTATGCCCAAGCAGGTGTCGATATTCAGGCCGGCAATGATTTTGTCGAGAAAATCAGGAAGGCCGTGGCTAGTACGAAACGACCCGGCGCTGACGCAGAAATCGGTGGTTTCGGCGGCGAGCTTGATCTTTCACAATGCGGATACCCGAACGCACCGATTCTTGTCGGCGCTATTGATGGTGTTGGTACGAAGCTCATGATTGCCCAGGCCATGAGGAAGCACGATACTGTGGGTATTGATCTTGTTGCCATGAACGTAAACGACTTAATCGTTCAGGGAGCCACGCCGTTGATGTTCCTGGACTACTACGGCTGCAGCAAACTCGACCTGCCATCTGCCGCCGCCTTTGTTGAGGGCATTGCTCATGGCTGTCGCCAGGCTGGATGTGCTTTGGTGGGTGGTGAGACTGCTGAAATGCCCGGCATGTATCAGGGCGAAGATTACGATGCCGCAGGATGTGCAGTTGGCGCCGTCACCTCTACGAGCCGACTTCCTCAGCGACATGCCATGATTGAAGGCGATGTTCTCCTCGGTCTCGGGTCTGTCGGTGTCCATTCCAACGGCTTTTCTCTCGTGAGAAGGATAGTGCAGAACGCAGACTTGACGTATGGATCGCAAGCACCATGGGACAATTCCAAAACAGTTGGGGAATCCCTCTTGACCCCAACACGCATCTATGTCAAGAGCCTTTTGCCTGTTCTCGGCGACATCAAGGGTCTGGCGCACATCACCGGCGGCGGTCTCATCGAGAACGTCCCTCGTATGCTGCCAGATTCACTCGCTGCTGAAATCACCTATGGATCCTGGGACGTTCTGCCGGTATTCCAGTGGCTCAAACAGGCCGGGAACGTCGACCCCACTGAAATGTGCCGCACATTCAACTCGGGTATTGGTATGGTTATTGCTGTAGGTGCAAGCAAGGCCGACGCTGTGGCCCAAGCACTCTCCGCTGTTGAAAGTGTCTACAAGATAGGACGGCTGGTCCGCCGCGACCAGAGCCGATCCAGGTGTGAGGTCAAAAATCTCGAACTATGGTCATGATGAGTGGGGCGCAACGATCCTCGAAATCAAAATTTGAAAAATGATTGAAACGATTAAGTTGAAAACATCTCAACGCACGGTACAAGAATGGCGCTATTCTATAAAATGAAGTTACGGAAGCTACTAGAGTAGATGGGCGGGAGCGTGGCGCGTTTAAGTTCGTTGTAGTAAATAGACAGGCGTTTTCATTCAGACGCCTGAAATACTCGAGCTATCAGCTCTTCTCTACTGAACGTCCCTCTTCTCACTGTGTAATACAATACCATACTTTGCTCCGGAGAAGGAAGCTTTGCAATGATACGTTGCATACTATGATGTGCGCGACCATTCATCGCTTCGGAATTCGCCATTTGACTCTCTTCTGTACCCAATTTCACCTCTTCGATCGTCGATAAGCCTAGCCCATTCAAGCAACAGTCGAAATAGATATATCTCCCTGTCCTTCGCGCCAATTGCTTCGCTGGCCCAACGTTGGCCTTGACGTGCAATCCACTCTCCATCAGAAGAACGGCCTGTTAAATATGTATTGATACCGTTCATTTTGGCTTTGGTTGCAGTCCCTGTAAAGTAAAGTAATGTCGTGTGTAAGGCCTGATATCTGGGGTCTACAGGCACAAAATGCAGCCAAGGCGTGAGCCGCTCAGAGTACCAAGTCTTGAATATCGTTGAGATAAAGGGCAGACTGTGTGAGCGTAGCATGTTCAATGTCTTGGCTGGTGGTCCGTCGTCTTCATCAGTCAAAAGGACATAGCGGTACTGAAACGGATCTTCGGTCTGTGTGACTTCGCCATAAAAGGTTTTGATGACATCGCAGTGCTGACCTATACAAGCGGAGAAATCGTCTATACCGACGTTGAAGGACAGATCGCGATTAGCCTCCGGAACTGAAACAAATACCGACCTGAATTGATTATCCGCCCCTGGAACGGGGAGAATCATCGTTGTCCGGTCTTTGGCGTCCGCCTTGTTGATAAGGTGCAACAACCTCAACTTATGGCTTCCCCTTACCGCTTGTTCATTGATCATTTCTCCTCCAATTGCACTCCTCCAGAGTAGAGTGTCCTTGCGTTTCAAAAAGGGCTCTCCGTCATCCGTCCGGTCTTGTCGCGAGCTCGACAAGGGAATCAAGATATCTTGAAACCCTCCCATCTTAGATGGGCCAAATAGAGGAACGAGTTCTCTGATTGGTGCGGCGCTCAAGTCTGGCACTGAAAAGCTGTATAGATGATTAAGGTCCGGCTGAGAGCAAACGTCTAATAATTTCCCCCATTCGCTCATCAACTGGCCACGAGAATGATCCTTCACGCAGGCCGAACAGAATAGGCCCGTGTCCCAGTAAGGGCTTGTTTGAGCCCTGGACGTCGCAGGACATGCTTCAGTTTGCATTTGCCGGTAACGCCTTGCCTGAGTTTGAGGCGACGTTGTACTTTGAGCAGTCCGTTCCCTGGGTCTCAACCCGATCGTTTTGTTTGCGGCAGAAAAATGACTCTCCGACCTCTCGGACAGAGTTTTGGCCATCGAGTTCAGGTAACCTCGGCTCTGATATTGGGTATCTTTCCACAATGGAAGCACTCGTGGTGTCGGATTTAAGTTGACAGGCAGGATCATGTCAGGTAGATGTCTTGAGAACTTTTTAATCGTGTCGGCCAGCTCCCTCAGATCCATGCTCATGGATTCATGTCCTGCATCACTGACAGTGACATGTCCATTTTCCACAGTTATATTTCCCACGCCCGGGTTGGATAATGCCAACTGAACTCGTTTCCGAACTATTTCTGGCGATAGAGACCAGAACACATCCAAATCGCTGTCAATTTGCCGGAATTCATCTACAATCGACGAACCGGAAGCATATCGATACCAATCACCAAAATGGGGAGGTGGTAATCTGCCGCCATGGCGCTCTGAATATACTGTCACTGCCGTTGCAAGTTTCTTGCTCGTGGAGGCCTTCAAAAGCCAGCGGTCATGGATTATGCGGGCCTCGTAGATAAGGTCGTTTATGGGATGACGCTTTTCGAAGTGTTCGAGTGGGTATATGAATGTGAAACCTGTAGCGACAATGAGAAGCAGTGCCATGAACGAGACGAATAATATACGTCTGACGAGGATAACTGAGCGAATATCATGTGCATAAACGAAAAAACTCGAGCCAAAGGTTACGAGCCAAAGCGGCACAAGGCTTGCAGATCGTGATAGATGCATCCAATCTCCCAGGCTAAAAACATTCATGCTAGCACGCCAAGTTCCAAAAAGAAATGTTTTCACAGCCGTGGATACGACCGGCGACGTTTCACACGTCCAGATAGACAAACTGATAGTCATGATGGCAAGGGCAAAACTATCAGCTAGTACGTCAAGTCCCCGCACAAGCCCAAACCCCGGGTTGGTCAAGTTGCTTCCACCTAGCAAGCTGGAAGATAGCCACAGGACTGAGATAAAGAAGGATGAAGTGAGGAGAATGTTAGATAACATTCGCAGTCGCAACTTCAGAGTTCTCGTCCAGGTCAACACCCTCCACAGCATGATAATGATAACCGCATCAAGCAGAAGGCCAGCGTACTGCAGTAAAATAGTTCGCGAGCGACTATCCAGAGGCGGGAAACAAATGAAGGTCGACTTCACAATTTGATTAGCCGCGACATAAGTTCCAGCGGAAAATAATAGCGCTCCGGTTGTGAAGAGAGTGACGGCTGCTCTTGGACCGCTTAGCCAATCGCGGATGTCGTCGAGAACGCTGCGCCACGGGTCTTCTATGTCCTCTGTAACTGGAATAGTCCAGTCACGCCGCGTAATTACTATGTCATGCACAATAAGCAAAAGACAAAGCCATGACTGTGAACGTGACATCAGCGGAGATTTCAACATCTGGAAGTTGCTAAGCATTGCGGCACCTCAGTCCCCAGACGTAGCGTACAAAAGATGAATGAAGGACTTGGACCGTACCTCGATACCTGGTGTTGAGCATTGCTGCTTGTAGTTGACCCTGTTAAAAAGTTCCAGACGTATAACCACACAAGCTACCAAGGTTGGTACTGAATGGCGTCGTGGTCGAACAGGGGGTTGGAAACCAGGATGTGTCGAAGAATACCTTGATTCTGGGTTTGCTAGCAGGCCTGCCGGCCCATCCCTTGGAGAAAAAGTAAGTCTTCCATCGACTCCTGGGAGCCAATTCGAGCCATAGCTGGCACCAAGACAAATCAGGCCAGATAGAAAGACAACCAGTAGTAACCAGAGGCGAGGGTGATCTGGGAATGAATCGTCAGAACATGATGGCAGGTTATCATTACACATGCTGCGATATACATACCGGTCAGAGAGTAGCGCTGCAATGAATGACAAACATATGTGAATGAAACAACAGTGCTATCAAGCCGATGGGTTAACATGGTATACTACTCCGTAGTAGTGGTCCTTTTGGCGAGCGGCCCAAATCGGCAAAAAAAAAAAAAAAACAACTTACCACAAAGCCGAGAGCTCATGCACAACCGGCGGCACCATGGCGTGCTCTCTTTAGCAGACTGGAGTCTGTTCAAGGTACATTTCTTAAACGGCAGACGGTGTGCGCAGGTCATAAGATGCCGAAGTTGCCGTCCCAAGGAGTTCTGGCAACTTTGTCAGGGAGCCACAGGAACCGACTCTGGTGTGGTGGCTGTGCATAACTTGCCGTGGCAGTTTGTGCTTACGTAAGCCTAAGGATGAGCCCGTCGTCTAGGCTGTCCTAGCTGTCTTCCAAATGCCAAACCCAGCCATTAATTCAGAGCCAAACGAACAGAAGAAGAAAAAGAAATCAAAAGATTTGCTTCAGACGCCAAGTATCAGCACACCACGTTCTACGAAAGCCATAGACCCTTATTTCAGAGGATCATGTAACATAAGAAACCCTGACACTCTGCCAGACAAAGCCCCCGTCCCTGGATCACCATTACCATGGCAGGCCTGAATGACGCACCCATAGTGCAATCACTGGCAATCCCTTTTGTTTGTCTATTGGTAGTGTTTCTGGGATACTTTTCGCAATACTTGTTTCAGTATTCTTCGCTCGAACCCGGCCCCCCTTCATCCGGTGAAACCATCTTGTTCAACATTTCTCTGTCATCCCTATGGTTCACCTACTACAAGACTGTCACTGAAGATCCCGGTCGATATGTCTTTACGGACCAGGTGGTTGAGGTCGAGAGAAATTGGTGCAAGAAATGTTCAGCTCCAAAACCTGCCAGAGCTCACCATTGCCGACACTGTCGACGTTGCATCCCTAAAATGGACCACCATTGCCCTTGGACGGCAAACTGTGTTTCCATGACCACATTTCCGCATTTTTTGCGATTTCTGGTTTTCGCCAACATGTCGCTTTGGATACTCGGATACCTGCTCTGGCAACGATTCTTCGCTGTGTGGGAGTCGCGGCACTTGCCTGCCTATCTCGGCCCTACCTTGAACGCACTTATAGGCCTAGCTCTCACCTCACTCACATGCCTTTTCACCTCACTTGCTTTGGCCCTAATGATCGTCACGACGGTGAAAAGCTGGCTGTTCAATTGCACTATGATTGAGGGCTGGCAACTTGAGCGCCATGACGCAGTTATGCAACGGGGAGGCCAGGATCGGTGGGACATCAGTGGATCAGATGGAAAGAAAATCCGGGTTGAGAGGGTCGAGTTCCCATATGATTTGGGTTTCTTCGCCAATATGTCACAAGCTATGGGTTCCTCAAACTTCCTTTTGTGGTTCTTCCCTTTCTCTGGAAGTCCCAAAGTTGGCAAGGACGGAACGGGCTGCGGATGGTCTTGGGAAGAAAATGGATTCAATCGGAACGAAGGCCTGTGGCCACCGCCGGACCCGGAAAAGATTCGCAGGGAGAATAGAGAGTGGCCTGCAGGTCGCAGAGACCTTGAGGCAGAACTGAGAAATGCAGGAACCACGTCCCCAGAGGAGCAAAAACGCGCGTTCCAAGAACGCCAGTCGCAAGACCTGCAGAGGAGAAACCATTTGTTGGCAGAGCTAGAGGAGGTAGACGATTACGATTTGCTGAGTGGTGACAGTGATTGTAATGGCTACGGTCCTTATCGAGAGGTATATTGGAGAAACGCCGACGATGAGACGCTGCATGATTACGGCGTTGATGAGGATGCAGAATTCTGCGCCGCCCAAGCAACCAAAGAAGGTGATGATTCCCTTGCCGAACTCTTGCGTCGGCGAAATAATTTGCGCACTGAATGCGCCGATTAGACAAAAAGAGACTTGTGATTGAAGTTGTCCAATTCTGCATTTGTCTTCATGTACCACGTAGACTCGATAGCACCACTCTCGAGGTTGGGAGGGCACACGAAGAGAACAGCATACCTGAGGAAGCAAGACTGTTTGACAATTCGCATAATTTGATTTCTAGTCAATGACAAAAATAGCGATGTTTCATACTTGCGCCCAGCTATCTATATACAGCATGACAAACTTGTGCACGCTGCAGGCCATGGACCTGACGCTAACAACGCGATACATGTGAATTACAACTCTGTTCCGGATCGTCTATTCTAGATCGTGACCACGTGGTCAGCACCCACGTCTACCAGTCGTCGTCTTCCTTGTCCCGTTGCATGGCATTTTTCCTTGCAAGTAACGCATCAGCCAAGCTGCCTCCTAAACTCGGTGTCGGCGTTGTACTTCGACTCCCTTCGGATCCGCTAGTTCCGTTCAAGCCGAGGCCAGAATCTCGCTGCACCAACTCACCCGGCTTGCGTCCCGTAGCTGGACGTTTGGCCGGAGGTGCCGGCGGTGTTGGTTTTGACTTGGCGGCGGGAGGCGCCGGAGGTGGTCTTGGAGCAGGCGCTGCCTGTTCTTCTACATACGCTGCAGGAACCCAGGCTTGTCCACGGTCATTCTTAGCGAGCCACCAACCTATAAGGTGTTAATTAGCCATATTTGCTCACACATACGACTGACTGAGTTGCATACCATTGTTCTCTTTTTGAACTATCTCCAGCATATCTCCAGCCTTGATGGACAGTTCATTATCTCGTTGACCATTGAAATCATACAAAACTTTGGCTACAACCTTTGGCTTTGCGGGAGGTGCGGCGGGTGGCGGAGGTGGTGGTGCTCGACTTGCTCCTCCGTTTGTGCTGCTTTGAATCTTTGTATGACTAGGAAGAGGCTTGTTGAATGCCACAGGACCTGGGGTAGTTGTCGCACCGATTGATGTTGCCGTAGCTGCAGCTGGCGTCTGGGGAACCGCTCTTGGACCTCGTCCAGACTTTGATTGAGTAGAACGATTACCAATCAGCCGTGACGGCCGGCCTCCAGGGCCTCCAGGTTTGATGAGTTTACCACGAGTGATGGGTCGGGGTGGTATAGGCTTGGCTTTAGGCATGGGCCGTGATACGGAGTTCGGGAGCTCTCCTTGTTGTGTATGAATCGTGCCACTCTTGTAGAAGTCTACTGGTTGTTGAGAGTCTTTCGCCACCTTAACTTGCTGGAATTTATTCGGCTTCTTCGCGTACTCAATCACGTTGCCTATCTTGAGATTGAGACCTCCAGGCATTACTCGCTGCAGTTGAGTAAACATTTCGGTTTTGAAAACACAACTCATCAGAGAGTCTGCCTCCTGGGCCGATCCGACTCCAAGAGAGAACCAGTCATCACGACTAGTAGACGTCCCAATGAATTTAATGGCACCAAGGGGAATGGCTCGTTCGACTGAAATCTGGAAATGGCCGCTGGTGAGCAGCTGGACGATGATGTAAAACTTATTATTTGTGACAACAATCAGGCGGGGGCTAGGCTTGCTAGACCGCCCGAATTTTGCCTCCAAAATTTCTCCGCGGCAAGAGAACACCGTCCTTTCATTTGATCCGATATTAGCTGCGTTCCGTATCTGTGCGCCAGGACCGGCTGCCGCATTGACGCCGAGGTAGTCACCAAGAAATCTTCGAGATCCTAGTAAACTCATCCGCCTGCGCTCTTTTCGGCCCTGTAGAAGCGCATGCCCATGATCTCGAAGCTGCAGATACGCTGCTCCTGTTCGTTTCTTCCGCCACATGCGTTGAATACGGGTTGCAGATTCAGCGCGGTAGGCTAGGTATGCACGCCACATTCTTTGAATGCGAGCAGCCATGTTATGCCAATATCTATCACGCATGTGCTCCAAAGCGAACAAAGTCTCTGGTGATTTGATGAATGCTTTAGTCACGCCAAGTTGCCACTCCTCTTTGGGAATGCTGGTGTCCTTCAGAATCTGAGTTACAGCTTCTTCTGTAGAGCCTTGCCACGTGTACTCGCCTGCATATGATGTAGCTGGTGATAACAAGAAAAAGCGTTCGACAAACTTGTCGAAAGATTGACGATAGGCGAAGCCAGCTCGCCGAATACGAACATTCTCTTGCAGACCCAGATATTTAACCTGGTGAAGAACATTTGAACTGTTGTATTCGCTCGGCGACTTGTTCTCATTCGGTTTGATCGTCCGGATGTATGATGGTTGACATTTCATCAGGGTGTCTACCAACGCATTGGCAGAGGTACGAATTCTATCTCCTGCCGATGGCGGCTGTTTTCGATTATCTTGGTCAACTTGGTGAGGAAATATGGTGTGTACGAATTGATTGCCACTATGTTGAAATAGATTAAGCAGCCCCTTCAACAATTGATCTTTATTCTTGTCGGTGATGCCGTCCACGGTGTAAGAGACATCCCCCGCATAGTGCTTGACGATGAAGCTTCCCTGCCGGGGGGTCAAATGAGCGTGGGACATGCCGTTAATGCTCTGCATAAATGTCCTGTCACAAGCTGCTGGATCGGCATGTGCTGTCTTAGTCGCATCCTTCAATGCAGAGAAGATTCCAGGTGGTCTGATCTGCTCAATCAAGTCACAGACGACTTTATTGTCGAAATATTTGATTGGTGTCCACTGGATCTTCTCGCGAGCATACTCTTCCTGTTCCGTTTTTAGTGTGAGCTGGATAAAAATTTGTTGAAGCTTTTCGTTGACGTAATTGATGCAAAGCTGTTCGAAACTGTTCTTCTCAAATATTTCAAATCCGTAGATATCCAAGATGCCCATAGTGTTCGATGTATCTTGTCTCGATTTCAGTGACTTGTTAATTCGTTCCACGATCCAATCAAATAGATTATTGTAGATGGCTTTAGCCAGGGCGTCGCGAGTAGCAGTTGCCTGTGCGGGATTGCCTGGGGACTCAATTACTTCGCCATTGCGGGGCGTAAGAATTCGAATAGTGATGGCATGGATCAGTTGATCCGGTGTCACCTCCATCAAGTATGCGACAAAGTCCACAACTGACTGTTCCGTGACTGCGGCGTAGCCACTGTCATCTTCGCGGAACTGGATGTTGCCGATCCATAAGATAGCAGCAAGCATGCGAAATATTTCGTCTTGTTCAGTCTGAGAAAGACCGATTATCTTCATAGCATCAAGCGTGTCTTGAAAATCGGCAGCGTCATCAATGCCATCCACATCAAAGCACTTGGATCGACTCGTGTACGCATATGTCTCTGGTTTTTGAATACCGAACAGCTCTTGATATTGCTTTGAGGCGCCTTTGGTGAACTGGTAGAAGATGTGAAAGTTTCTTTCGTTTACAATCTGGCCAACAACACGGGACTTTTCGAGCAAATAATTCGTGATATCGGCGCCAACCGGTTCGCCAGTGGAATTGAAATAGATTTGCAAATACTTGCCGAATCTCGAGGAGTTGTTGTTCCGTAATGTTTTGGCATTTCCGAATGACTCTAGTAAGGGGTTGGTCGCAAGAACCATTTCTTTGATCTTCTTGATATCCCCCGACTGTTCTCCAGACACGTTCGCAATATATTGCATTATGCGCTTGGCAGCCTCGGTTTTCCCAGCGCCTGATTCGCCCGAAATGATGACACATTGATTATCGTGGTAAGCCTTCATGTTATAATAAGCGGACTCGGCTATCGCGAAGACGTGCGGGGGCATCTCCAAGCGATTTTTACCCTTGTAACTTTCGAGGACTTGGTCGGTATAAATGCCAAGATCACGAAATGGGTTTACTGAGACCAGTACATGTCCAATATACGTGTAGATCTCTGCACCTTGGAATCGCTTCTTCAAGTTATCGTTGATAGCTTCGTTGGAAACCTTGCTCAACAAGGTCAGATCCGAGACTCCTATCTCCTTCCTTTTTGTTGCTTCGAACGTGGCTTTTTTGGGTCGTCCAGCGTTCGCGCCTTGTGTTCCTGGTGCGCCGGACTGGGCATTACGCCCAGCTTTGTCCTTCGGACGCCTTGATATGCCCTGTTCAAATGGTTACAATAACATCAGTTAAGGATGCATTATGGGCAAGATCTCTTACCATGTCAGGAGCGTGAGACGAAAGTCGCGGGATACGGTGAACGCTTGGGATTCAGTGTTCAAGTCGTGGGGGCGCATCAACGGACCGGTCCCAAATGAGGTGAGCGCTCAGTAGTCTTTTCAGGGCACGATTGTAGATCAGACTGGAAAATGGGTTCTTGGAGCATCGGCAAGGGTTCCTCTCTCTCTCTCGCGAGGCGGTTGATGATGTGGTGCCTGACGGGTGACGAAACGCCGACAATTTTCCGCTCACAGCCTCATCATCGGTGGAGTAGATACGGCTGGCTTACTTAAGCAACCAACTCGGGCTGCTTAAATTCACAGTTGCAGTTGCTGTTCGCCTGTGTCTCTCTTCATGTATATTATATATTCTTGCATACTTATAATCCTGGCAGGCCTGAATGAATCTCCCGCGTTCGTTTTCTAAGCGCCTCGTACTCCGTAGCAGGTCATTAATTAACAATTGTGCACCTCCATACTTTAATAAGCACCGGCCCAAAAGCCCTTCAGCAGCTTGGCGCACGAGGCTCCAAGCGCTCGTCAAGAATTTTCCTGGCAGCCGCGCGCCCTCCATGACTGCGGGGTTCTGAGGTCCACATACGTCAGTCGATACCAATCGCTCACGGGCAAGCTCCACATGCCTATTGATGTGCCCTATCACTACGGAGTACTCTGCACCAGCATCGATTTGCTTGGACTAGTAAATCACGACGTACCTCAACTGGCCAACCAAACTAGCGCTTCCCCCGCTTCGAACCAGAATGGAAACACCTGGAGCGTTGATGAAGGAATACATGTAACTTACTGTAACCTTGCAGACCCCAGATCGGACGAAGTCTGGTTCTGAACCAGTTGACCTAGGCAGTTGGACAGTCCACTCCATGTTGCCACATTCAAACCAAGCTCAGTGGCTTAACCGCAATACATAATACTTAAGCTTCCCACTGCCCACTTAGCTTCCCAAGATTCCTCCATCCTCGGACCTCCATAACATCCGCCCGAATTGTGATGGCCGAGTGTCATCCGTTCCCCGTCTCACGTCACAACCAGCAGCTACCAAAGCTTCCCCAGATCTAAGTCTAACAATCCGCGACCTCCCAACTCCAGTTGGTATTTGCAAAATGTCTGAGCCAGCAGCTATAGAGCGACAATCCCAGCAGGTCGATGAGACTCCAATTTCACCCATCAGACCAGATGCAGTCAGGAAGAACTCGCTCGAGAATCACCTGATGCACCGACCTAATCGTGCAGAGCTCGTAGAAAGTGGGTAATGTCTACATCTTCTGCGGTACCTCTTCTGCGGTACTTTGGCTGCTGGATTTCGCTATCGTGCTCAATTCTGCAGGTGGACAGCGCTGACTAGCATGTAATGTTGGGCAGAGAACATCCTACCGGCATCGTCTGCCGCACCAGGACTTCTCGCACACCAGAAAGAGGTAAATTTTGCCAGCAAAACGCCGGTTGCTTGTATCTGTACGCCGGAAACTAATGTGACTCGTAGCTGGAAAGAAGTATGCTCGAAGACAAACTTAACGACAAGATTTCTCACCGCCCGAGCCCAGAAGACCTGGTCAAAGGCGGTGTCTTGCATGAAGATCCGCGAACTGCGGACCAGCAATATGAGGAAGCAATGGAAGAAGAGTATGCAAAGCGTGAGGGTGGCGCCTAGCCAGATCCTCTCCAGTTGCAGCAAGCACTCGTTATCCTTCTACTTTTTGGAATGCCAAATCTGCGATTTCAAGGGATGTAAACAGGAACTTCATACATAATTCCATTCCTCAATGTGACCGGTTGTGACTACAGGAACTTACAGCTTGGTCTCTTCTCCTGGCCGATGTGCAAAGCAAGTTGTCCAAGCCTCCTTTAACCCCAGGGATATACTTTATTCAGATCAGCCAGCACCCGATATGATCGAAGAACTTAACAGCGGCAGACTACTGGGAAAGGTGAAGAGCATTTCTCAACGGTGCACAGGACATGGTGACTTCTCGGACCGAATTTTCTTCTCATCGACTCCTGTATTTTGATGGATTTTTATCTTGATGTGGCATCTTAACCTAAACTTTTCGTAATACAAATGGTATGTACGTTGAAACTGACTTGCGTGAGACCCACTTAGCAGGTCGTTGTATTTCTTGAGTGGAGGGAAGTAATCTCAGTTGCCGCTGACATTGAGAAGACCGTGTGGTCCTATGATCCTGATCTCTATACTCCATCCAATATTTGATACAAAGTATTCTCCCAACCGATGCGCCTTACATTAAAGTAAAGTCTAGTCGAGCAAGTCCACGTCTCCCAAATTTGGACAAAAAGCACTTATACAACTCCCATCTAGGTGATGTCCCTAATATAAAAAGAATACACATCGGAATAAACACACAAGGGGAAAAAAGGAAAATGAAAAGGGGCAGAAAGAAATCAGACATGAGCGAACGGGTCGCAATTCACCACCACTTTAAGTCGAGGCGCCTATCATCATCATCGGCGATTGGAGTTGCCATAGCCGGGGCTAGGTGATGCATGTTCGCGTCTGGGTCTGTTGTGATTGACAACCCTGGTTCCGTTTGACGCTATATTTACTTGAATCGCATGCTTATCTGCTAGCACGTATTAACAGATATTTCAACTTGAGTATTGTGCCCAGGGGTGATGACTTACCACCTCCATACTGTCGATATGTGCCAGAGGACAAGGAGCTGCAGCTCGAATCATCCATAGAGCTCGCGTATGATTGGCTGGAACAGGAGTAAGAGCTTCCGATCGAGGGAGTCCGGCTTGACTGGTGTACTTGGACCTGGTATTGAGTAGGCATTTGAGGCGTTGGTTTTCGAGGTCAAAGACTCGCCTGAATCAGGGCTATTTTGTGATGCTTCAAAGTAGAAAAGTAGACAGTAACAATGCCGGCTGCGAATGCGGACAGCTATTTGAATATTGCAATGAGCCCCAGAGCATGTGAGGTAGGATCAAGTAGAGTATGGAACGAAAGAGACATGGTCCGAACACTGGAGGGAAGAAGAGACTGATTATATATTCACACAGGCTACTTAATGTAGGCATGGAAACATCCTAGGTAGACACGGCGTGCAAGGAAAGGACAAGGCGATGGATGGGCCGATGGCTTGGGAACTGGACCATGCCTGTCTAGTTGAGAATGAGGCAAGCATTTCGTTTGATACGAGCTTGGCTAGGGCATGTTTCTAATGGGACCTCAAAAGCAGGAATGAGTCAAAGTGGTGCGCCCCTAGTAAAAGGCAAGTGTGATGACGAAGACAGAGTCGCCAAACTTCACGGCGGAAGGATTGTAGGGCAAGAGTCCGAATAAGGCGCAACATGGGCTTGGTTGGCTGAGAATACTAGGACCATGCCGGCCTCGTTTGGATTCACAATAGGAACAAAAAGCATAGCCCGTATGTAGGATGGCAAGTATTGGTTGTCTGTTCCATCGTAAGCGAAGGCGAGGCGGGAGTGGCAAAACTTGCCCGCGTGCCCAACCAAGCGTTTGAGCATGGGGATACGACGAGTAGTAGTAGCAACGAGGAGGAAGCGGGAATGTCGCCGCCAAGCCAAAACGTGTCGACGTCAAAAGCTGCCCATGGACAAGGCCAGCAAGGCGAGCATCAAGCTCAACGGCGGTAGGTGCTTGCTTGGTGGCACAGCTCGTTAATGTTGACTCACCAGCACAGCGGTGGTGAGCGCAGAGCTGCTGCCTTCGCACCCCAGCAAGTTCTGGACCTTGAAGACTGAGCTATCTGGTGAGTGATATTTCATGGTACTCCGAACACCGTCCCAGACTCCCAGCAGCCTCGAGACGCATACGACCAGGAAGAGTCGACGCACACCCCACCACCCCCTTACCAGATGATGCTGCCTTGTCAAGGGGCATTGCCCTCGACGATGCGGAGAACATGCCTACTTTGGTGCTCTGTATATAGTATTGGGTAACGTACTTAAGTACGTACCTAGGTTCTCCGTCCTAGGAGTACTTTGGCCCCCTCCCAGGGCCATCATCCCCCTGGTGAGATGCATTGACGGCTATGGCTGAACTCTTGACGTGAAGCCCCAGCAGGCCTGGTATTGTTGATTGGCTGGCTGGCTGCCTCTGCCTCGAGCCTCACTTCAGAGGCCCGGTCAGGCAGAGACCAGCTGCTGACAACTCCGTAGGTCTTCGCCAACCTTTGGCTTCCGTTCCTTTTTTCTAAGTTTCTGTTGTCGCCAGCGTACCATGTCCAACTGGCACTCAACCAGCATGGACCGACTGTGCATATTTACGTAGTATATGCAGGCGACGACCAACCCACAGCATCTTCAGAGCACGAACCTGCAGTGGTTCCTGTAGAGCTATGCCATTGAGCCAAAGAAGGGGAGCAATATACGATGGGCACATCAAACAGAGCGCATGTGGCTGTGCCTTGAATCTGTGATTTGCTCGGCGGGATGCCACATGCCCTGTGCTGTGCGCCTTTGGGTCTGCTGCAGGTACCATTGGGCACCAGGCCTGCTAAAGCTGCAGCGAGACCACACACACCCCAACACATGGTTCCCAGGTTCTTGCCCTTGTCTTCGAAGCACAATCACTACTCCGTACCCGGGCCAGGCACGTTCAAGGCGGCAACATTCGAGCGGGCATCTTTTGTCGCATCATCAGATGAAACACACCAATGCCCGGGTTGCCGGGCAGGGACGTAAGCTGTGGCAAATCTAGTCGCCAAAAGCTGGGCTATCTTTAGTACAGGCAGAGACGAATCAGCACCAGAAGATGCCGAGGTTCCTTGGTACATGTAACCTAGATGATCGTGGTTGTGCTGATGACGCTTTCCACAGCATGCTGGGTTCAAGTAGTAAGTAATTCAGCATGTCCAAGTGCCAGCCTCGCATGCGCTCGGGACGATGTATGTGCGTATGGGACGCAGTGCTTCATCCATCACCCAAGTAGGGCACGTCTGAAACTGCAAAATCATGCGTGCTTGGGAAGCCTGGCGTACTACGTGCACAGGGAGGGAATTACTTCTGCCACGCCCAACCCAAGTACATACCCTAGGTACCTACTTAAGTACGTTGACCCGACACAAGCGAACCCGGCGTACAGGTCTCCAAGTCCACCCGGACTCTTGTTGATGTCGAGTCCGCTGTAGCAAGTTATACATTGACAAAGCTCCCAAGTTGTTGACTCACTCGCTTTCCCACGCCACCAACCAGTTCTGTCTTGATACTCCGTATCCGTACGGAGTACCAGACTAAAGGATCTCCAGTAGTACGGAGTACTCCGCAACACGCTGGCCTGTCAGGACTCAGGTGTCAGTGGTCCGCCAGCCCCTCCCGCCAGCCCTCACCTCGTCGTCACGCAAAACGCGTACACGCAGGCCAAACAGTCACCTTGCAACAACGCCGACTTCACGTTGGGGAGCAGTCTACTACCGCCCTTATTCATATGCAAATCAGTGTGGCCATTTTCGAAGCTTCCACCCCACTCGTCCGCCCAATTCAACTTTTCAGTGCCTGAAGATGAGGTCTCTTGCAACTTTGTCCATCCTCGCCGCCTCCGTGGTCAACCTTGTGACTGCCGCTGCCGAGGACCTCAAGATCGACGTGACACGTCCAGTCCAGTGTGACCGCAAAACTCAAAAAGGCGACAAGGTCTCCATGCATTACAAGGGCACACTGGGAGGCTCGGGAAAGAAGTTCGATGCTAGTACGTTACATCTCTATCAACTCATGCATCTGGAACGTGAAGTAGCGCTGACCATGACTGCTTCAAAAGGCTATGACAGAGGCCAACCCCTCTCTTTCACCTTGGGGTCTGGACAAGTCATTGCAGGGTTCGATGCCTTGACCTCTCCTTTCTCGTATAACAGAGCTAACAAATGGATGAGTTAGATGGGACCAGGGCCTTCTCGACATGTGTATTGGAGAAAAGAGGTCCGTGTCAAATACCCATGAGCGGCCACATACTTCTGTCTAACCCCTGCCAGAACACTCACCATCCCCCCCGAGCTCGGCTACGGCGAACGTGGCATTGGCCCCATTCCCGCGGGAGCCACTCTGAGTAAGTTGGTCCGACTGTGTTATCTCTGAAGGTGACGATGCTGTTGTTCACACGTGTTGCGTAGTTTTTGAAACTGAGTTGGTTGGAATTGAGGGTGTTACTCCCACCGAGAGAGAGGCGGGAGAAGAACAAGAAGAAGTGGACGAGACAAAAGTAGCCGGCCAAGCTGGCGAGAAGGTAATCACGATTGTTTCTCATGCTACCAAGACTGCGAAAACGCCCATTACTGACGACGTATGAGGTACAGGGTCACGAGGAATTGTAGTCGTTGCCGATCAATTTCCTTACCGGACTTACTGGAATACTGACGTTTAGATTGCAGAACTAGTTATGAGTTACACATTTGTTGATTTATAGCCGCCCCAAATGTAGACTCTACCACTCCACGTGTTCCATGCAACCGGTATCCACTGACAAGTCGATTATGGCACTGAGTGTTTGTGTCGGATGATGTGAGCCTCCAGAGTAGCCAGCGGGAATATGTAGTACCAGGACCGTAATGTAGCATGAGTGGGTATCATTACACATGTGCCTTTCAGTCCTCCAGCCTGCCAGGTTTCTTCACCCGAATGAGAGCCTTTTCTGCTTCGGATCTTTTGGGATGGTCTTTCCCCTTTTCTTGTTCAAAGACGGCCGCTGTGAATCAGGCTGAAACGCCTCTATTTTCTTCGACACCTGGCACTGAACTGCGTCACGTATCGTCTGCCGCGATAAACAAAGGTCAATATGGTCGTTAAATACCTTTTCATTAGCCTCTTGTGGCCGAAAGCAAACAGGACAGTCCCACCGCAACTCTGCCGTATCTAGCCCGTGTTTTTTAGGGTTAGGCACAACCTCCCTGCCATGTCTGCCAAGTCTCGGAGGTCGTTCTGGAACGCTTTCATCGGCAGATAAGCTTTCGAATACCAGGGTATCATCGTCTGTTACTTGACCCTCTGGAGGCCGGTCAGGTTGGCACTGGCCTCCGATACGAGCCATTCCCCGCCTTACTAGACCAAAGAAAGCCATCGTATCTGGCTTTTTGGTGCTCACAAGATGCGTGCATCGCAGTCCCATCAGTCTTAGTTTCAAACCTGGGATCTCTTGCTCGAGCTTGGCCAGTATCGGCAAAGAAAAGTGATATAGGTCATCGGCGGAACATATAGCCCGTGGCATTACAGCCTGTCGTGTAAGGACTTCGAACGTGTGTAACTTGATCTTCAAACAGAGGGTTCGGCCTTTACAATGGGCTCGCTCCATATCTTTCTCTAGTTCCTCTGCTGTCCATCGCAACTTCTCCCTTAACTTCGCCGAATCAGACATCTCGCGAAACGTGCTTTCCGTTCCGATACTTTTTCGATCATAATCCTCGGCGGGTTGGACCCTGGTGCGACCAAGTCCAAGGTAACAGCTGATCAAAAATTCGAAAGTCTTGTCCCCAAACAATAAACTGAGATATTTCCTATGTTCGTATATCTCACCACAGGTTCTCACGCCGAGTTCCAAAAGCTCACGTTCAAGGACGCGGCCGATACCATTGACTTTTCTTGTCGGCAAGCCCCTCATGAAAGCCATGATAGATGTACGGTCGGATGGTAGCTCATACTGGCCATTCGGTTTGTTCATGTTTGAGCAAATCTTCGCAAGCTTTGTGTTTGCAGCAATGCCAGCTGATACTGTTATAGCCGTTTTCTGGTGAATTTCTCGTCTCATCTGCTCAATGACCTCAGACGGAATGACATTTCTGTCGTGACAGTACTCGGTTATGTTTAGATAGGCTTCATCTATACTCGCGCTTTCAAACCGCGGGTCGTAATCGGCAAGAATCTCTCGAATCTCCTGGGCTTTGGCAGTGTATTTTTGGAAATTTGGCTTGATGAGAATCAAAGAAGGACACAATTGTTTTGCCACGAAACCAGCCATGCCGGATCGACACCCAAACTGTCTGGCGATATAGTTGCAAGTCGTCAACACACCCCCGCCAACCGCAAACGGTACGTCTTTGAGCTCAGGATGCTCCAGTTGTTCTACAGCTGCATAAAAGGCATCGCAGTCAACGTGAACAATGTGTTGAGTAAGGTCTCTCGACAGCTCAAGCTCGTGGATGACGCGATCTGCATTTCGGAGTTCCTGGGTGAGGTCTTGCTGTTCAAGCTGACGCTTTGTCACGAGAATTTTCTCGATCTTTTGGGTCAAGGCTTGGTCTCTGATCTCTTCCTGATTGAAGAATTTGGAGCCTTTGGATGCATTGTAAATAATTTCTGAAACCTGCGCCAGTGGTTGGTATGAGATATGACGGTGAAGAGAGGAAGAGGGTGAAGGCGAAATCCCACTTTATTTTGGTCCACTTTCTCCTGGCCAGCTTTGGTCAACGAAGGGCCTAGTAGATGATATTTGAGGGTCTTCAATCTCTCATCTGACTCTTCTGGGCGTGCCGCAGCTTCTGGACAAACCTGGGGACTATTGCTGTCAGTCATTTGCAGTGATGCTCTTTGGGAGGGCGCCAGGCGAGAGTGAAAGGGATCGGCGGATGCAATTTCATCTCTATTTTTCTCGGAGCCAAAATCCCTTCATGCACGACATACTTGAAGACTATGATGAGGAGGAGGTTGTGATGATATCGTGAAAACCGAGCTGTCAACGCGTGAACGGGAACAAGATGTGTGTCACCACGCGAAACACGAAGGCACGTGATCATTTGTCTTTAGCTTTCCTTTAGACGGCCCCACCTATAACTACCTCCACCAGCCTAAGTTATTGGTCGTTTTACAAATCTGTCTGGTGGGGCATCACATCGACACCTCAAGTCAGTTGTCTTATGTCACACGATAGCGGGGGCACCGAAGCTAGATATCACGTACGGAGTAGACGATACCCAAAAGCCCTGAATTAAGCTACAAAAAGAGAGGAATTGTGTGCGCCCTATGAAAAGGGGCGCTCGGGTCCACGAATCGTGTGCGCATTATCCTAATTCCATGCGCTTACGTGGCCAAATGCCTTAGTGGGTCTGCCGTGCCGTGCGATATCTTATTGGCTAGTACTAGTGGCCCAAAATAAAGGGCTAGACATTTAAGCGCCGAGGAAGTAGCCATTCAAGGGTCACTGCATATGGTTCCATGATCGTGTGCGGAAGACAGAGAGTGGCACCTAGGAGGCTGGCAGTACAAAAAGCTGACCTACCTTCGGCTTCCCCGCAATCCGTCATATTGTTTGATACCAGTTCCATGACAACATTCTGAGAGCTTCTAGGGCCGAAAATTTTCGGACCAGAACTCCCTTGGTTGGGGTTTGCATGTGAAAAATGGCAACGCGAGCCGGCGAGGAAAATGTAGCTACACTGTGAGTCGATCTCCTGGTCATCTGAAACGTCCAAGGGCAATTTCTGATCACGGTCTCCGGGTATTCGTTAGATTCGGTGACGTACATTATTTCTATGAGCCCGAGAATTTCAGACCGAGACATCATCGTTTTGACAAAGGTTCATACGTGTACCTTTTTGAAAACGCGCAGGACAGAAGGTGTCGCATAGAGATAGCGAACAAACCAGGGACTGATGAACAGGATGCTTTTGACGGGTGTGAGGACCTCGCCAGCCATGAAAGCCAGATTGAATTTGATTGGACTAATTTGACCATTGTGCAGTTCTTGACCAAGCCCGTGTGAGATACTCTTTCAAGCATCACTGTGCTGTGACTCTGATTGTGGCCGATTCTGTGGATCACAGTGAATGGCACCTCCCAACCTACGATCCGCGCAATGAGAGAAAGTACCACTACAAATTACACTCACTCGATATTTATTTTCGGACTCAAAATGATGCTCTACAGTTCGTTAACGGTGTGAGAAGAGTTTTGCCATCTGCCCAAGTGGAAGTTTTCGACGAACCCGGCGACTCACAAACCGCAGCAATGAGTTCAGTCGTTCAAAACCTTGAGCATGTAGCCGTTTCGGACCCGCAGTACGGAACTACTACTACTACATCATCATCGACGATTGTGCCTCAAGAGGGGACAGCTGATGCGGCTTCGGCGGCTCCGCTTGATGTGTTAGCGAATCCGCCGCCTCCTCCGCCGCCGCCGCCGGGCAGTTTCGCACCAATGGCGTATAATCCTGCTGCACCGGCTGCACCAGAGGCGATAAGGCATCGTGAGAAAACACCACCACCGGACGAAGATCCATTAAACCCATTGGCAGTGGCGGTTGCTCACGACTATCAAAAACAACCATTCACGCCAGCGTTTCCTCCTCAATCACTGTTTACTCTTGCGATGACCAGTCCTGGGCTGCCGCCGAATATCACCAACAGCTCCAGCTTGCCTCCTCAATTTTCTGGGCCTCCGAGGCAGTTGAGTATACCAACAGCCACAACTATACCTGCAAATTCAGCATCTGCTTTTTCAGGGCTCCCAGGTTCTCCGGGCTTCGTACCACCGCCGCTTTCTCAACCAGCGACGCAAGTTCCAGGGCACAGCTCTGTTGCTCCTCCTGGAGGCTTCTCCAACTATACATACAGCCATCAAAGTAGTGTGCGGCAAGACAGCAAAGATTATTCTATACATCAACAGTTATATCAGCCAACACAGGTCGAATTTGGCGTGAATAATTCACATCAATATCAAACTAAAACAGAACCGCGAGGAAGGTTAGAAGAGAGTGCAGGACGTCTGGAAAGAGGGGTTTCAGGCATGCTGAAGAAGTTTGAGAAGAAGTTTGGATAGATTATGGAGGAATTTCATATCTGACGATACCGAGATCCTCGGCACGATGCCTGGGCAAGTGGAATGCATGGTGATTTCAATACCTGCTGCCCTTCAGCATGCTTAGATAGTCATTGTTGTTTAGGGGCAAGCCCCATATTTTTGGGATCAAGTTCATGTTCGGGAAGTCATGCTCGGAAAGGGGGTTTTCTCATGAGTCGTTCCAACGGACAACTCGGCCCAGATTAGTATCGTGACGACCTCTCTGCCCTTGTGACCGTAACGAGTCGCTTCTGGCTAGCAATGAGAAGTTTGATGCATGAAAAATTGTGACAGGAGTCTTTCTGTTGACGGAATACCACCATCCCGTTCAAGGTGCATCTCTGCCGCCTGGCCTGCGTCTTCCCGCGGGTGAAGCAAACTACTTGAAAGTGAACAGCCATGCAACATGTCCTTATTTTATTCTGTAAAGACGTGTTATCGTGAAGCTTGTCCCCTAGTGTCACACTAAAAAATGGACGTGGCCCACGTCACACTTTTGTGTGTGGTAGAAAGCGCTGGCCTGAGGCGTTACACGTCAAGTCAACGTTGCTGTGGCGGTTCCACTCTTCCTTCCCTCTGCCAGCCACTCCCATTCCTATTGGCTGTTCAACCAATGGTGGCTCAAGTCGCCAAGGCGGCTGACAGCAATGTTGGATGACGCTGCCTGAGGAGTATTTTGCGATACGAATCAACAGGCTTTACGGAGTACTACGTAGGTCTTACGACGTCCAAGGTCCGGTCCTCGCCGTTTTCAAGGAATATCTAACGTTAATTATCAAGTTAACTGCCGTCCCTAACGGATTGCTTTGCAACTCGAGCTCCGGGACTGTTCTCCGTAAGTATTGTGTTTCTCAAATAAATACCTTTTCAACTCCTCAGCCACCTATGAATGATCTGATCTGGCGACTCTGGCCAGGTCATTGAAAAACGCATCGACCAGCCGCCAAGGCAACAACTCATGGAATGATCTATTCTGACACTGTTCCCATTATTAGCCTTACTGTATACAGAATCATGTAGTCATAAAGCTGTACGATTGCTGTCGAAAAGCATGCGCCTCTCAGATGCAGCTCTTCCGCGACCGCCCGTCTCCCGCACCTTGTCCAAACCCACTGGTCAACGACATCGCCGAGACCTGAATAACAAGGATTTAACATTGATCGTATGCGTCTGAATGCATCTTTGGAACTTACAATATGTCGCTTAACAATGGACACATTACAGATAATTGTAGCCTTCATCGCACTGTTTGCACTATTATCAGTCCTCTTTGTCGCTTTCTTCAGAGCACGCCGCCGGCGGCCAGATGATCAAGCCGCTGGAGCAAGCGGGCGGTGGCCAGTTCTCCATCTATTCGGGCGCAAACCATTTGGCCATGCAAGATACCAACAAGCTCGTGGCGAAAATCTTGACGGCGAAGCTCACATTCACCAGCTCGAACCAACAGCGGTGTCTATCAATCATGTCAATACCCTTCGAGATCCACGACTTTTGGGGAGTACAATGACATGGGCGACTCAAACTGCGGCTTCTGTTGACCGAAACACCTCTATTCGTTCTGTGATGACATTACCTGCGTACCGTGCCACTGCCGCAAATAATGAGCAGGTTCTCGGGAGAGAGGGTGATAGGGATGGTGTTGACGTTATCGTCGATCTCCCTACTGCCGAGGAGGAGGAAGCTTTACGAGACGAGGAAATGGAAGCAATATATCAAATACGAGTTACCAGACGAGAACAGATCGCAGTGCATAATGAGTTGAGACGACAACGCCGCGAGGCTCGGCAGCGGGGTGACAGTAATGCCTTGGCAAATATCAGGGCTCGCTCTCGCGCTACCAACAATAATAATAACATTGACGAGCTCCGCCAAGAATTGAGCCGTATACAAGACCAGCGACAGAGATCTGTTTCCAGCGTTTCATATGCAGATTTGGGTGTTGCGCGACACGACGGGACTCGGATCAGGGCTAATAGCAACGAGAGCGAATGTGCTGGACTACTTTCCGATGCTGCCAGCATCGCGCTTTCAACCCGTTCTGAGCTTGGTTCATCACCAGGTCTGCATCGCCGAGAACGGAGCACAAGCTCTCTGAGTAGTATCGATAGCGAATTTAACCCGGGATCCTCCAGGACGCGGGACTATTCAAGATCTACAACACCAAGGTTGCCGAGTGTAGAGCCTGAGGCTGGATTCGGGCCGGAGCCTGTGGAGGGTCGTTCTGGAGTGGAACCAATTTTTCCTCCAGAGTATGAGAACGTATCCCTCGGAGAAGATCATGCCGGGGCAATTGCAAGATCGATGACCCCTCCGCCACCGGATTATTCGGGAACAAGCGAACAGACACCACAGACTGAACAAACAATCACAGAACCTGCTCATGCAACTCCCCAGGAAGATTGGGCATTTTCTCCGTTCCGTACACCGAGAGGGGTTGGTGGCGTACCTCAATTACCCAGCTTGCGCATATCTAGGCTCCCGGCGATTGTTATCCAGCCACTAAACGAAGAGTCTCGTGATGGTAATGCATTATGATCGGACGTGAAGTGTTGCTGGACGTTGACGAATGATTATGGTTGCATAGCGTTTTGGATAGTATTTCCCCTGCTGCTTGATGCTTTTGGGTTTTCAGTCCTGATTTTTCAGCTTTGGCCATTAATGGATGGATGGTTTTGATGTTCATGTGGGCAGCAAGTCTAAAGCCATATACTCTTGTTCGCCGTACTCCACAGGTGGCACGGCTTTTGTCCCGGTCTTTCATGGTACCATGGCAATTGGCATTACACAGTACATATGAGCATGGCAGTTGCTCTAACGGAAATTGTAGTATTTTTACCCCATCGCCTCCTATACTGACGACAATGGCATCTGGGGCGCATTTGGGATTCTGGTCATCAGCAGTAATGAAATTAGTCAGTGCGGTGGGCTGGTACGGAGTAACTAGACCGCTGTCTCTGAAGCGCCACGGAGCTGCCATTAAGAAAGCATTAATAATATCCACATGAGCAGCTGAATAACTAACCGCCTGGATACTAAGTAGTTGGGCAGATTGTGTCCATTTCTTTGTTTGGGAAGATTTGGACATGCAAGGGAGCGCGACATGCACCACCATTAACAATCACGGGGATAGAGCTTATCCAAGCCTTAGCTAATCCGGTTCGTTGGCTTGGTGCTTGGTGCGGGGTCTTTGGTAAGAATCTGTAAGCCAGACTTGACCAAACACTACTCCGTAGTGGGGAACTTCCCGTCGTCATTGATCTGTGACAAAAGATCCACCAAGACATGATGCAAGCAGAGGAATCACCAGGTACATCATGCGAGCAGAAGGGGCACCACTGACAGGTTTGTCCAGACTCTATCGTAGCGGTACCAGTACACTGGCCTAGTTGTTTCAAATTTCAAGAGATATCGCAGTCAGGTACACCATCAAGTCTTGCCTGCTATGAACCGATCCGGGCGGCACAGCGGGTAAGGCGGGTGGACTTGGTCAGTTTCAAAAGGCTTGGCTTGCTGAAGTGAGCCGAACAGACGACAAGGTAAGACGTTCATAGCCCAGTGACAGACACTTTGCAATATTTCAACGAGGTTGAACTTGCTTCGTGCCCACCATGCTGCTCACAGCGATCTGGAAAGATCACTCACTGGGCTGCACGCGCACGTAGGCACCTAGGTACCCAGCAATTCATTTTTCGACTCTGTGAGGAATAGCCCTCATGTGAACTGACAGCAACTGCTAGCAGCAAGCACTAGTGACTGGAGCGGAACTCGACCCATTGACGTGGCAGCCCCTGCCGCCAAGTTTGCCAAGGTACAGGTACATCCACGACCTCATCACCATGGAAGTCAATGTCGCAGCTGCCACCTGCCCAAATGCGGGTTTTGGCATCATACCAATGCTTGCCGGGTGGATTCGTTTGCCTTCCACTTAACGCTGCAAGATTTCTGGTCCGATTGCCTTTTGAATTAGTCAAGCAGCTCAAACTCCTCGAGCTATAAGACCTCCGCATCGCCCGGAGCTTCGACTTGCCACAGCTTGTCACATTGCAGCGATTCATACTAAATACTTGAGTATATATCAATCTTTACGTGGCTTTTGACTGCCGTACCCTTCTCTGCACAATCATACTCCGCAACGTAAACCATGGCCCCCAAGATTGCCATCGTCTTTGTATGTCCCGCCCACTCACCTCCCCTCACTTTCGACATTTGGGAGGCCATGGAACTGGCCGTTTGTCTGCTAGGAGCTTGTCGTCTTGCATATCTCCAGCTTGCCATCGATTACCATGTTCTTCCCTTTGCTTCCTGCGGCCTCTGCAATTATATTCCATTGACTGATCTAAAACTTTCGATTCAACAGTACTCCATGTACGGCCATATTCGGCAGCTTGCCGAGGCCGAGAAGAAAGGCATTGAGAAGGCTGGCGGCACAGTCGATCTGTACCAGATTTCCGAAACGCTCTCCGATGACGTCTTGAGCAAGATGCATGCCCCCCCGAAGCCAACCGACATTCCGGTTCTTCAGGATCCCACTACCTTAACGGAATATGATGCCTTCCTTTTCGGCATTCCTACCCGATATGGCAACTTTCCTGCCCAGTGGAAGGTCAGTGACTCTTTTCGAAGAATATGGAGCGTCAGCTATGTCGCTTTCATGGCTACAGCTGCCAATGCTACCTATGCTAACATGTGGGACAGGCCTTCTGGGACAAAACTGGCAGCATCTGGGCTTCTGGCGGCTTCTTTCGCAAGTACGCGGGCGTCTTTGTGTCTACTGGTACCCCTGGAGGCGGCCAAGAATCAACGGCACTTGCAGCAATGTCCACTCTCACGCACCACGGCATCATTTTTGTGCCTCTCGGGTATGCGAAGACTTTTGCCCAGCTAACAAATCTCTCCGAGGTCAGAGGCGGTAGTCCTTGGGGTGCCGGTACATTTGCTGGGGCAGATGGATCACGCCAGCCGTCTGCTCTCGAGCTTGAGCTAGCTACTATTCAGGGCCAAACCTTCTACGAGACTGTCGCTAAAGCCTTTGGATGACTGCATGATAGGAATGGCGAGAACGGCGGAATTCCGCATGGAAACGGAACACAGCAAAAGGGTCCGGGTTCTTCAGCGACGAATGGCGCACAAGTCAGAAGAAACAGGGGAAGGGAGGGACCATGCGGCGTGCCTGTTAAGTGCACGGTACTGTGAGATACCAATGCAGATATGAATGAATCGTACTTACGATTGGCATGGCCGTCTATAATCAAGTTCGTATTTTGTGTCTAAAGACATTCGTCTTTTCCAGTTCGTATTCCATGTTTCTCTCCAAATGTCAGATCTTACTACATATCGGCAGCCTTGTCATTATGCCACTTAACGTCTAACCAGCTAACGCGAATATCTTCACTTCTGTAAAGGTATTGCCAGCATGCCAGCAGGCTGCAGAGTCCTTGTGAATGAATAGAATCATGGCCTCTCGTACGATTTCAGTTCTTTATTACAAGTGGTATATACCTTGTCATTGTTGGTTGGAGCCAGCCAGAAAGCCGAGCTTAGCAAATGGGACACGCTTGATGGCTTCCCCGACTCACAAGGTAGTAAAATAGCAAGTCCCTGACTTGGCGGAATAGCACAATAATCAGGATCAACTACCGGAGCTGTCAATACAATTATTGTGGCATGGTCAGGGTTGTATTAGGATTATCATGACTGCCATGGTGCATTCCTCATTCCTCTTTGCTCGTCTGTCCACCTGCACAGGCCACGGCAGTGGTGATAGTGCAGCTGATGACGAATACCGGTCAGGCTGGATTGAGGGTGGCTATTGGCTTGGCACAAACACGGGCTACATGCAGACCACACAAGGATGGAATTCATCTTAGCATCAAGTAATGTCCGGCCGGGGAACATGTGTAATTTGTTTTGTCCTGTCTTCTAGCCAGTGCGGACAATACGGGCCAATGCATGCAAATGTACTTGACCACTTTCATCCCACCGTCTGTCATGGAACGATATTCCCGCGGGCACTGACTGGGCAGGCGCCTGCACGCTCTTCTGGCCCGCAGCTCCCCCTCGCGCTCAGTTTTCGAACATTGAATCGATCCGCAGTCTAGACTCTAGAGCAGTGGCAGGGGCAAATCATGTTGGGTGCATTAACATGGCGTAAAGCTTTCCTGTGCGATTTTCCTCTTCTCTTTGTTTTCCTTTGGCCAGTTCTGCTTAGGCATTGCATGGCGCCGCTTCTGCTGAGCCAAAAGGACCGTCAACGGTTGGGAACAACGATCCAACTGACCCACAGAAATCGGGCAGTAGTATCTTGGTTACTCTGTACGGAGTACTCCGTAGCACTGTACTGGCGGCGACGAGGTACCTAGGTCGGCATATACTTGAGTACCTAATGGGAGCCAAGCGTGCGTACCTGCCCGCGGCGCCCCTGTTTCCAAGGACAGCAGAAGTATCGCGAGACAGGTCAAAATTGTCATGCGATGGTCAACAGTCTGATAAGCCGTCTTGTATAGCTGATGAAGCTAGGGACAGTCCTGACTCCTGAGAACACCGCTCCGGGAGCTATTAGGTACCTAGGAACCTCGGCACCTAGTCGGGGTATGTATTTGAACATTGAGCAGTCCGTATTGTGGCGCACTTGGCGGGCGCATCTTGGGATGGCCCATGTCGGCGAGGGAGATCCTTGAAACACCAATGTTTGGGCAGCCTCGAAAAGCTGCCTGCCGGCTGGTTGGTTATTGATAAGGAGTGATGGGCAGCAATTGGACACCCCGGGCATCAGGCCGAGTTTCCTCGCCGCATCAACTCTACCCACATAAGTACTTAAGTACCTACTAGTACCGGCAAATATCGGGAGAGGAGACACAAGCGACAACGACTTTGACCTGACCGATCATCACCACCCGCTACTCTGGTCGATAACCTCCGTCCCGAGCATACTACACAACTAATGCTACGACTACTATGCGGAGCACGTCTCCGGATTTTCGCGAAATTTCTTTGACGAAAGGCAACCAACCCGTCGGCAGATCGAAGAACGAAACCTCCCTCGTGAGTCGTGGCCGCGGTGCAGCCCCTGTTACCCAAGCCCGCTCCCGGCTTTGTTGAATTGTTCAGTACGGAGTACACAAACTATATACTCCGTATAATTCCTGGAACAAACATCCATCCGGCGCTCACTCACTCACCCAACGAGGGACGAAGAAAAAAGTCCCGTACAGGGCACCACCTGTCTGGCCGTCTTTCTCTTCACCGGATGCCACCGCCCATGTGCGCTGCCAACAAGATTACATGACCTGTCATTCCTGGCTCCTCTGGCTCGAGTGCTCTCTTTTCATTGACAGAATCCATTGTATCGTCCTAGTCTCCGCATCCTGCCGGGGATTCGTCGTTGCGCATACGGAGTACATGCTCTTGCTCTCAACTACCGGCATGTCGTACAAGAGACCGGGCAGACGACTCATTTAACAGCCAATGGCACCTTGGTACATGTGACGTGTTCCCTTGTACCTTCACTTGCGGAGGCGGAGTATCTGTATCATCATGAGTGACTGACTAGACTACGTTTGCATTTGCGTCGGGTCGAGTCTCAGCGTGTAAATTGAGCCGAACTCGACCCAGCTTTTCCTATGAATTATCGCCCAAAGACAGAGAGGACTACTTAGCACTGGCAACCTACCAACCAACCTCCGGTTGCTCCCTGTGCCTTTGCTTTTATTCTAAATGCCCTGGGTCGCTGTTTGGTGTTGCTGGCCCTCGTCCGTCGCTGTCGAATCCTCCGTCCATTTGGCGCCTCTATCAGCCATCGCGACTAGCAAACGCCGAAACGCAAATTCAGGCCAGCGTCCGGTCAAGGCTTGGCAGAACCACAAGGAACAACTCAAAGCCTCTCCGCTTGGTCCTCCCAACGCACTCAACGGCGGTATTGGACGTTCGACATGCTGGTGGCGGCCACAGGAGCGCCAGAACGCTTCTTTGACGGGAGGTCGGCAAGCTCCTCCCACTTCGCGAGACATCATGGGCGTACAACAACCAATGTGCCATCTATCATCGAACGACTTCCCCGCGAGCTTCAACGTATGGTCTTTTCTAACTTGGACTATCAGTCACTGATTTATCTTTCAACAATGAACCGGTATTTCCATCGAAGCGTCGATCCGCAGAAAATGTCGACAACAACAGACAAGGCTCAATTTGTGATGCGAGCTGCCAAGGACTTCCCACAGCACCGTCCCAGCGAAAAGGGTCATGACTTTCGTCCAGGAAACTTCGAATGCTACATATGCTTTCGAGTTCGGTCCCCAGACAAGTTTGATATGCTGCAGCCGCAGACGGCATTCGTTGATATATGGGGCTGTGTCGTCAGGGGTCGAGATCCGGATGTTCGGATAGACAGAAAGGTCATGTTGCGACGCTTCTGTATTGAGTGTGGGGTGGATGAAGGTATTCATGCACCCCTTGATTGCCTGACAACGCGGACGGGAAAAGACCTCTGGGTATGCAAGTGTCCCGGCGTTTGGTCCAAGCCGGCTTGTCTGAGATGTCCGAAGTGCCGCTCTAGCTGTCCATTACGACCGAAGGCTTCCAATTCAATCCGGCCAAATTCATCAGTAGCTGTCTCGATTCTTCCGGATGCAGCTGCATATCCAATAGAGGGCCTCTGCCACAGACCTCCCGGCAGCATCGTAGCTACTGGAGACCTTCTCGGGCGTAGTAAGCCGCAAGGTTGTACTTATGGCCAACCGTCCTTTCTTCTATCAGGCCAAATTCGTCAAAAGCTGCAGAACTTTCAGTAGCTTCGATTCCGGCGGATTCTCCAGACCTCGTTCTGCAGCCTTGCCTTCTACTCTTTGAAACCAGTAACTGCCGCAGTGAACCCTCCGGCAGTTATCTTGTTCTTCATTTCTTCCAGTTGCATTACTCAACCCGGCAACAGCGCTCAGTCCAGCGAGCTTAATGACTTTGCGGCCGAGGCATTTGATGCGGCTGCAGCATTCAACGGCCTGTGAGGTTGATCCCCCATTCTTCTCTCTTCTGTCGAAAGGCCGTCTCACAAAGAGCACGGATTAGTAGCGACGAATCTGTGGCACCTGAGGAAGAACTACCAGTTAAGTGCACTGCGGGAATCTTTCCTACCTATCTCTCAACAGCAAAGGGGACAAACAGACGACAGCTAGTAGCTACAGCACCAGGGACCAGGTCAGCGCCGGCTATTAGACTGACAAGACACCGTTACATCGGCAGATGTGCGTAGGGCCATATGAAGATCGTTGCTGTTAGTGAATCCAAGAACGGACAGCTTGGCAATGGGGCCCCGGGGCAGGGAGTACTGGCCAATTTCAGGAGTTTCCAAAGAAAGAAGATGTTTTCTAATTACAAGCTTTGAGACTTGCAACCTGACTAAACTTGTCGAATTCAACATGTTCAATAAAGTCTGGTTCCAAGGGCTCGACTGTAACAGCTCGGCTGCGAGTTTTGAATGAGCTTGAGGCTCGCAAGACTCGGAAAGCAGCTGAAATGGCTTTGTTAGTAGCATGCCGGTAGCTGGAGTGGTAGCGTTTGTCTTATCAGCGAACGTGTCCCCGTGTATTATAATAATAGAAGTCACTCAAAAACCTCGATCCATATCCATCTTCTGAGCGCAATCAATAACTCAAATGAACGTTCCAGCCTAAGCGCCGGGGAACTGAATACGGGCAGTACGACAACTTTCACTTACTATATAGGGACCTCCCTCATTGAATGGACACGATAGGCCTGACTGAGGATCACCGGCGTTCCTCAGTCCATAAATGGATAACTTCCAGCGTGTCACGCAGCATCATGCGAATAGATCTGATAGAATGTCAGCGGAAGCCTCACGCGTAGCTTCCTCATTTCCTAGCCCGCGATACATTTCTAGTTTCATGAGCTTTAATTATCATTCTGTGAGTGTACTACCATGCTTTTACAGCACGATGTAGAGGGCTCTCTCTCACAACATTTGTCTAGGTTGAGTTTTCTCAATAGCACAAGGAGAAGCTGATACATACCTCCAACGTTGTGCGTGCTGCGGCCCTTGTCGCAGGGCTGATTCTCGCTTCAGCTTCACCCGCCTTTCAGTCCTGAAGTTAGGTTGTTCTAGGCCCATATTCGGCAATCTGTTGATCAAATATCGTTACCGAGATAAAGGGACCCTATTAATAGTCGACGGGTTTGCCTTGTCTCCAGGAAATACCAGGTCTGATCGAAAGTCCATTAAGGTGCAAACTAACAGACCACGACGCTTCCAGGCAACACAAGAAGAAGTCGAGAGGACAGTACCAAACTGCTTGGGTCTTAGGAGCCAGCTGAAATGAACTTGCCACTCCAAAGGTGCGGGCGTGAATACGTCGCATAAGTTTCCAATTGTGAGACGCCCTCTGACTCCAACAGAAGAGTAAAAGATGAGCAAAGTCATCCTTGACACAGATGCTCTGGTTGACGAAGCCTGAGAACGAGAATTCACGTTGATTCTGCTGCTCAGAATCAGCCTACAGAACAAGCATAAATTCTTCAATAATTCAGCACGTCGAACACAGGGATACTCCTCCAACGAGGGGCGAGAATTAAAGCCAAGACTAGTCTACTCTCCTATAATCGAGTTCAAGGTGAAGTCAACTTGAGTGAGTAATTTTTCTCTTGAATCCCGCTCAATGTCCAATTCGCCATGGGATTTGTGGCTTTGTGGCCAATCTGAGCTATACGTGCACGCTTCCAATTTTTTTGGTCTACACCAAACTGACGGAAAATGCCTTGTGCGTCGACGTATATAGAATTATTATAATGATGCCCAAACACTTTGATATCACGCCTCGAATGCGGCCTGCGAACCTGGCGAGGTCACCTTGTTCGACGCTGAGGGATTTAACCCCTGAAACAAACAGTCCTAGCTTTCAGTGTATCCCCATCAGACCTGGGAGATAGAAGAAGGCAGAGAGTGCTGGTCTATTATTAGCGATCTCTTCCTAGTGGATTTCATATGCTTTAAGCATGTGGTCCCTTTAGGTAGTGACGAAGTCCAAGGATAGGCTTCATCAGGCTGCTATCCTTGCTCAACGCCTCGCCATGCTTGGCCAGATACAAATACCACACAACTGAACTAATCCCAATATCGAATTTCACCATCCATACCCGCCGACGCGACTTTGCTCGTCTCTTGCGGATGCCACCTGACGCATGTCACAGCTTGACTGCCACACTTGATTTTGTGATACATTTTGCACGTCTTCCAATCCCAGAAGCATATGAAACCGCCCGAATCTCCTGAAGCTAGGAATTGTCCGTCCGGACTGCAATCCAAGTCTATGGCCAGTCCAGCATTATTATGGCCCCTATAACTCTTTTTCCGATTTTGACGAAACTTATCATTGGCCCCGTATACAAGAATCTGGTTATCAGAGCTCTGGTATGCAACATATTTTCCGCTCGGGTGAGGCGCTGCGTTCGTCATTGGGTACATGTCGGGCTCAGCAACGTATTTGATCGGTACGGGGATGTTATAGTCCCATGCACGAAGGGATTTGTCATCCGAAGTGGTTATAAAACGACGGTTCTGGTCCACAAAAGTAATTGTGTTGATTGCAGCGAGGTGGTGGTCATACTCTTGGACGATATCCTTAGGTGCTCGCACATCAAACTGAACGATCTTCTTGTCCGACATTCCGGCCAAAAACTCAGCGCTGTGCTCTGGGTCGGGGTTGAACTTGATGACGTGAGGGGTCTTGCCCGTGGTGAACTTGCTAATACAGGTGCCTGTTTCTGTATCCCAGAGCTTTATCATGCGGTCGTAGGAGGCAGAAAGAAACTGCGTACCGGAGTAATTGAAAGACAAGTCTGAAATTGCTTTGGTGTGACCTGAGTATGTTCTTAATAGCATTCTGTCGTGATGGACATCTCGAATCCTTACAGTCGTATCGGCACTGGCGGAAAGTAATAAATGTCCTGAATTAGGAAAGAAGCGCAACGCGGTGACGGCTTTAGTATGGTCTTTCCAGGAAAAGATCTGTTTCTTTGGTATGTAGTTGGTCATGCTGCCAAGTTCTTTCTGTAGATTGATTTCCAAATCACGAGGAACATGCATGTACGATCTCCCTTGGTAGTCGTACTGTTCAGAGCCATGAAAGGTTGTTGTCTCATCCCCCAACTCTGCCACATACTTCCGTCGCGCAAGGGCCGCGTCTGGTGCTTGAAGTACTGTTCCACTCTCAACCACGTCGTCGTCGTCTCCTGCATCGTCTAGGACCTCGTATTCCTCGTCGTTGCGAAGTTCTGCCCCATCATTCATCCTCTCGCGCTCTTTACTTTTGTACTTGGCCCATGGACCAACATAGGACCCAGCTCCTTCCACCACCGTAGCATCCCCTTTTGCTTCTCGTGTGGCTCGTAATCGCGCGGCTTCTTCCTTCAGTGCGGCACCATTTTGATACGCTCGTTCCGGTCCGCCGGTCCTCTCTATCGCTCTATGCTTGCTTCGAAATGTGTGCTCACTCAACAGTGTTTCCTCCGCATGACCTGTGAGAATATTTTTGCGCTTTTTGGCAGTTGAGTCATCCCTAAAAGGATTTGCTGGGCCAGTCTGGGGACGTTCTAAGCTCTCACGGGAATAGGCGACTGCTGCATGATCCTTTGCAGTTTGCTTTCGGACGACGAGTGCATCTCCAGGCGCCATGCTCGGTGGATATTCGCCAAAGTCGGCCATTTTCGTCATCGAGGAAGTCGAATGCGGGTTCCTTTGAACAAGTTCAACATTTCGGTTCGAGCGTTGGAGTTTGGGATTGGATGCAAGAACGGTCACGTGATTTCAAACACGCGCCAGCTTGCTTGCCTCAGCGTTGTGTTTGATCTGTAGCCCAAAATATGCCGATCCACGGCGTTATTTCGTCGCTGCTATTTCACTACACTCGAATTATACCAGTCACTTAAGTATTCAGACAATCACTTGGGGCAGTGGGCCAAACCAAAAGTAAGCATCTACAGATACTACGCATGAGAAAGCCCCTCCAAGCAAACGCCGTAGTGCTAACAGGTATCTGTGAATCAAAGAAAAGTGAAAAGAACTCGCCTCTTGCAACTCATATTCTTATTCGACCTCGCACTCTCCATGCCCTTCAAATAGCGACCCTGCGCAACTTCGATTACTGCACAACAATGAAAGGATGTTCATCAAATGCGACTGATCTCAACCAAGGATAGAAGAGCCTTTTAGTCCACCAGCAACATATAATACCGACTCATTCGGTATCGATAGCGAGGTTTAGGTTAAGATGACTCATCTCGAATGAGTGCCACAATCATGCTGTAAAGGTAAAAGAAGAACATAACAAGGTGAAAGGCTAGCTTGGCGAACGATTCCTATTCGTACAGGTCGTCAGCGTCAGGTTAGAAGAAAGTTTTAAAGCGCGTGGCACGAACCTTCTTGTGAATGTTCAGCTTCCGGAATATCTCTGTAGCGTCCAAGAGATGAGTGTTGTCGACGATCCTACGCAATTTGTTAGCTGGTCCGATTCCACACGACTTAACAAGCACACCCGTCTCACTTTTTCGCATTCCAGGCTAGGAGAGGCAAGTTTAGGATCAGTGCCAGCCAATAGCCATTTATAAGAAACAGAAAGGTCAAAAATCCATGCACGGCAGCTTCCGGAATAATGTAGGCGTTTAAGCGGTTGCAGAGCTCGATTGGATTGATGTAATCACTTTGATTTAAATTTGTCAGTATGTATGGTACACGCAAAGAAACGAGAAAGAATTCAACGGGCATTACCCGTGCCGAATCGTTTGATGTGGAAGTAGGAAATGTTCTTGGCGTACCATTCCAAGTCGCTATACATGATGGTGAAAAAGACCTGCAGGAAGAGGTTGACCGCGTTAATCAATACGGCCAGCAGGTACAGCCAGGCCTCTCCGGACATCATGACGACACTGGGGGCTTGTGTAAAAGCCAAAATTCGTTGGACAGCACCAACTTAAGCTCCAAATGAAATTTTCGGCTTGTATTTTCGCTCTATGAGCCGTCCAACGAGGGAGTGAGGGTTCGGGGTGCAAAATGGGACGGCGCAGAAGAAAACGTGAGGTGATGAGAAAGGCTAGCGTGCGCGGACGCCAGATACCGTTGAGATGAGTCTAAAGAGTTCTCTTAGCTTGAGAACCAAAGAAAAAGACAGGTTTGCCGGCGCGGCAAATGGTTAGGCAGCAGAGGTCGCGAAAAAAGGAGTTTGCGTTGTGCGAGAATTTGTTGTGGAACGGGCGGGCAGAGGTCACCGTGAAGACGTGGGTTGCTAGCTGGCGGTGGGTGGCGAGCATCAATTTGGCAATCTGGAGCTGGTCGCCGAGAAGCTGTCTTGACGGGTGGCGGGAGCCGCGTGGTCTGTGCTTCGAACCAGACCAAGCGTGCCCCAGCATACGTACTACAATCGGCGGCCAGCGTCAAGCTGCCGGCTAACAGTTAGGTCAGTAATCAGCCGCGGTCCACCACGGAGCACCAAGTGGCGCCTAAGGGCGAGTGCACATTAGGTCGCCATGCCTGCCCCACGACACTGCAGCAGCCCAGCTACCTCGTCATACGTAGGTAGGTAGGTATCAATCAAGTTGATTGTAGTGCCACGTTATAGTTGGGCCAGGTTAGCCAGTACCAGAATAAACATCAGAGACATGCTTGTTAATAGATCAAGTAGGCCACCAAGTCTCGACCTCCTTGAGCGTCTAGGCCTGCAAACCACCTGTCGAGATCTCCAGGCACCGATGCGCATCACTGCTCTCTGGACTAATAAGCGCCACTACATCAACTAGGACATGATCTCATTCCTCGGCGAAGCGCTGCGATCCCGCTCCCCTATCCCAGCTACAGCATTTTTTGCCCTACCCGTACAGCCACGTGGAGAAACAGTACTGAGTAAACACAAAGCAAGAACATGCTAGGGGGGAAATGCCATTGTGATTTTGAAGCTGTCGCTTAGCACGCCTGGAACCACATCAAGGCAGTTCATCTATTCGGTATTAGGTAGAAGCCCACACGAGTATCTGTCATGAGACACTGTTCCTGCTTCATGTTGAATGGCGTTCCCCAGCACCGACACGAGTAGCCAACAAGATAGTGTCGCACGTTCGTCAAGCATCCGCATTGCCATTTGGAACTTCAGGTTCTGGCATGGGTAATGGACCACCTGGCGAGTCCTCCCTCCTCGCCGTTAATACTTCAACACCGTCGTCAGTAACTAAGAGAGTATGCTCTAGATAGGACATTAGTGGAAATCGGACAGCCAATTCTATGGGTACAGATACATACCAAATTGAGCAGTTCGTTTCCCATCGATGGTTGTGCTAGTCCAATTATCCGGCCAGGTGATATCTCGATACTTGCCGAGCGCAATCATCGGTTCAATGGTAAAAGTCATGCCTGGTTTACATTCGCCAATAGCCTTGTTTTTGGCATAGTGAGGCACATTGGGGGCACAGTGGAAGAGCTTATTGATGCCGTGTCCGCAGTAAGTTCTGATGACACTGCAATTTTTCTTTTTCGCATGCTTTTCAATGATGTTGCCAAACTCGCGGATCAGGACGCCAGGTTTGACGGCTTTGATGGCTTCTTCGAGGCATTCGCGAGCTGCTTCAACGACTCGCACACTGTCTGGGTCCGTCTTGGCCTTATCGCCGATGTAATATGTCTCGTTCAGATCCGCGTGGTAGCCTTCGTGGAAGAGAGAAATATCGATATTGAGAATGTCTCCGTCAATGAGAACCCGCTGGTCGGGAATTCCGTGGCAAATGACTTCGTTTACGGAGGTACAGCATGATTTGGGGAAGTGGTTGTAGTTCAATGGGGACGGATAAGACTGTGCGTCACTTTGTTAGCTCGATCACGTACGTGCCCTCTGCCATACACCTCAAATTGGCAGGGGTCTGAGAATCAGTGAGTTGGAATAATGAAACCCATTAAAAGAACACTGGCATTCAAAGCTATCGAGACATGATTATCACTCACATTTCTCTCAATACAGGCCTGGTGAACTACTTCATCAATGTAGTCAGTCGTGACACCAGGTTTAGCGATGGCACCGGCGATGTCAAGGACTTCCCGAGCTAAGCGACAGCTTTTCCTCATAGCTTCCTGGGCCTTATCATCAAGTATTTCTATCTTGTTTCGATTCGTCAAAGACCGGCTGTATCTTGGATTTCCGTCTTGCCACCAGACAGGGTGGGGGATCGATTTGGGAAGAGTCCGATGTTCGGAGAGAGGATAGACGGGTCGAAGTGGTCCAGAGAAAGGGAAGCTTGGAAATGGGTTGTAGAAACCTGTATCTGTATCTGGTGAGATTGCTTTCGGATCGACCAGGTAGGGGAGGATTTTACTTTGAGTTCTGTGCACACTCTTGTGGTTGCTCTATAATTGAATCAATATCGGGTTAAAGGATATGCAGGAGGGCTAGTCGAATTTTCCACAAGCGTTCATAGCCGACAGAGGAATTCAGCCAGTGTAGCGCATTGCAGTTTTGTTCATACCCAATTTTTCTTGAAGCAGTCCTGAGAACAAAAAAAGCTGTCCTTCACGCCGAGCTTGAGGCAGGTCGGACATTGCAAGGACCCAGCATTGTTCTCACAGTCTACACCCAAGCACTTCTTCTTCAACGGTGGTTCGGACGCCATAATGGAAACGACGGAGGTCTTCAAATACGGCGATGGCGATTTGACATCGAGTGAGTGCCCTCGCGAGGCGATTTTGCGATGGTGGAGTCAACGGGGCAGGGCTGAAGGAGAGAATTACTAAGTAAGTAGTAGTAGTTACTACTTAGGTAGGTAGTAGTCAGCACTCCCGCCTAAGCTCCTACTTAAAGTAAGTAACTAGGTCGTTACCTAAAGTACGCACGCGCGGCGCCCCTTTTTCTGACAAGAAATGTACTAATTGTCATGGAAAAAAATTTTTGTCATGCGCTGACAGGAAACTGTGATCTGCAGTCTCGTTTCAAAGCCGATGAAGTTTAGGACAGCCCTCAGTATACCCCTCCGCGCACTGTGATACTGATACCTACGTACTTAAGTAGGTACACAGTGGGTAGTAAGTACGTATAATGAGTGATCGTAGCATTCAAGTTGGTCAGAATAGCTGTTGTTGGCAGAGGCGGCGGCGTGACATCAATCAATATTTATCTTCTCCCCGTGCCTAGTGCCAGTAACTATGGGAGTCTTGAACGAGTCCTTCTCTTTCTTTTCCATAACCATCATAGAATATATCGGTACTCTATAGATCAGTACTTAGACACATAAAAGTCTGCTGCGGGCGTTTGACCCAATTTTTTGTTGCAGCAAGCGCTGGGTTCTTTAGCAGCAACACAATCTAAGGAAAGCGCACTGTATCGAGGACGGCTATTTAAGAGCCAACTTGCTTCTTGAAACTTCGCCTGCGAGGTCAGCGGGATTTCTACCTCTCCTTTGCAAGGCTCTCTTCGGCACCAGGTATCTTATCCACCTGACTACTCCGTACATGGGTGCGTGTGCAGGTCATCTATCGCCACCACAGACACAAGCAACTGCGAGTCTGAAGAAAGTGGAATAGTGGGTCCCGGCAGACATTCCGGAAGGCAATTAACCGCTAATAAAAAAATGAATTGCCATCCGGTTGCCGGCGACATGTTGTCTTTTGTAAACCCTTGATGAACATCCGAAAGGTCTACTGATAGGACGCACGGCTTCAGTCTCAATTGCCGTTTAGACTTCAATTTGGCATTTAAACCTAGACACCTAGGTAATCAAAAATGTCTGTTCCACAGAAGACCGTTGTTGTTGGAGCTGGACCTGTTGGCTCTTTGGCTGCTCTATTTGCTGCTCAACGGGGTCATGAAGTTGAAGTTTACGAACTCCGCCCAGGTAAGCCATTTTCGCATCAGCACATATAAGACAATATCCTCGGACATACTGTGTGATTCTCGTTTCTTGTTGCCTATGCCGCTGGGGTACTGGCCTTTCTTCTTCATGAAGGCATGCCCTGCGCTCCGTTTCAAATTGTTTGCGCTGCTCTCTTTCTCAGTATTTCCTTTTCGCAGAGTTCCCGACGTACTGTGCAGTCTGACAAAAGTATAGATTTGCGCAATCCCGGGACAATTCCCTTGAACTTCACAAAGTCAATCAACTTGGCAGTATCAGAGCGAGGCATTAATGCAATGCGGCATGCCGGCCGTCCCAGTCTCCTAGAAACTGTAATGGCTGGCACTATCCCAATGCGAGGCCGCATGATTCACGGCAAGAGTCCATTAGGCGATTTGTATGAACATGCTCAGGACTACGATGCCAAGGGCCGTGTACGCAAGAACTTCTGCATCTGGCCTCTAACCCGTTTCCTGTACTAATGTTGAGCCTAAGGCCATATATGCGATCGATAGATCCGGACTAAACGAAAAACTTCTTAACGTCCTAGACTCTATGCCGAATGTGAAGTTGTTTTTCAATCACAAACTGACGGGAGCTGATTTTCGCGCACGTCGAGCTTGGTTCGAAGCCTGCGACGTAGACATATCGCCTAACGGTCGCCCAAGGGAAATTGAAATTTCGTTTGATCTCATGATTGGCGCCGATGGTGCTCATTCCGCAGTGAGATACCACATGATGAAGTTCACTAGGATGGATTATCAACAAGAATACATTGATACGCTTTGGTGCGAGTTCCGCATCGAGCCGCAGGAAGCGCGATTAAATGAAAAGAATGAGGCGAGGTTTCGTCTTTCACCAAACTACTTACATATTTGGCCTGGTCAGGATTTTATGTTTATTGCTATCCCGAGCGAGGTAAGCATAGTCATGCTCCTGCCCGGCTGATTCGACTCGTGCAGGCTAAATCGAGCGCAATAGGATGGATCATTTACCAGCACCCTTTTCCTTCCTAGCAAGCAGTTTGCTGAATTAGAAAACGATCCTGCCCAGCTGCCTTCGTTTTTCGACCAGAATTTTCCTGGGGTGACAGACCTCATTCCCAGAGAAAACCTCATTTCGTCGTTCCAATCAAACCCCCATCTGCCACTAATTAGTCTTAAATGTCGTCCGTATCACTACAGCTCCTCTGGGGTTATCATCGGGGACGCAGCCCATGCAATGGTTCCTTTCTACGGGCAAGGTATGAACGCCGGAATGGAAGATGTTCGTATCCTTTTCTCCATTTTTGACAAACACAACGGGATGCTTGAGGATAACAGTCCCGGTACTGAGGGCCACACATCGTCTCCCACGTCTGCGTCATCATGGGTTGAAGCTTTGGCAGAATATTCAGACGTTCGGGCACCAGACGCATATGCTATCAACGAACTGGCTTTACAAAACTACGTGGAAATGAGGTCTTCGGTGCTCTCCATTCGTTATAGACTGCGGAAATTTTTGGAGGAGTTTATTAGTGTAAACTTTCCAAACTTCGGTTGGCACACGAAATACTCCAGAGTTAGCTTCAGCAACCAAGGTTATAGCGATATTGTGAGGCAAAGTGATCGCCAAGGTCGGATACTTATGCGAGTATCTGTTGCTTGCATCACTGGTCCTGTTGCTGTTGCATTCTTGATTCTTGGACATCGATACAAAATGCGTCTATTTTCCATGGCAGCCGCTATATTGGGCTTGAATTAGATTTCTAGGAATACTGCCTTAAAATTTTGTTATACCTCAAAATTTGGTAACACGATCCGCAGCTCGCAGAAGCCTTCAAATGGCTTCGGATCGTTTTTTGCCAGTTCTCAGCGTGCACAATCCGGAAGCTTTTTAGCAAAGTCTGATATTGGAAGCTTTAGAAAGTGTACGTCATTGAGTGCACAACGTATGACCACCACATGGCGCAGGCCTTCAGACTGACACTCATGAGATTGATGGCCAGAGCTTTTCTTTTTTTCTGAGTAGATTGAGATCACGGGTGTTTGGTACATCCAAAGTACTCAAAGATTATGGTGATTGGCCCTAAAGTGCTTAAAACTTTGTTACCAGATCGGATTCTACCTAATTAAGTATGCAGATACTCGTGTATTGAACAGAGCATGTACTCGAACAGATAGATGCTATCAGCAGCGTCATACGTCCACGAAAAGATGCTTGGCAGGCGGGCGGTCGGGTCGGCGGATTGGCACCTGAGCGGTAACTAGGTACCCAGCTATGCAGATGAATTGGTACGAGTGTCAAAATTTCCAAGACGGCGTCCATGTATCTCTAGCAAAAAATTGTTGCTAATTGTGTTGTAGAGTTCTGAAAGCCCTGTGTTGCTCAGGGGCATGCGGCTTAGTCATCCATGAATTTTTCGCCCGAAGATCCGACCCCGACTAATCAATCTTCTGTATCATCATGCAAAGTGCTTCGTCTCTCTAATCACTGCTGCATATCGGCAAACACCGTCGCCATTGACCCAGTGCTGTACTTATTGTGACAGATCTAGGCCTGATTCATACATTGTTTGTGCCACTCACACATCTGACATTGAATGTCATTATGCTTGCTAACATCAACTTTCCAAGGGCCTACCGACCATGCTTGTCGTGTATATTCCATGACTAGCGAAATTGGGATTGCTTTCAAGTGACCATCAGCTAGTAACATATCGACCTACCGATACTTAGTTCAGTTTTGCCATGCCCTCTGTTCTAAACATAGCACGCATGTGCTCTCACCTCCAAAATGCATCCAAAGCTCGCCTCGCTCTCACGTCCGTCCCCAACAACAAATACAACCTTCACCTCGCCCTCGCGCTTCATCGCTCAGGCTTCTTCTCGTCGGTTTATCGATCCGGTTCTCATCCTCCTACATCGGAGCAAATGATTTCGCAACCACCAGAGAAAGTCACAAGTGCCAACGTAGCCAATATGAGGATATGGCTGGGTCTCAAGTACTGGGATGGGAAACCAGTATTGTCGAAAGCAACCATGATCAGCAAGCCCTCGAGATTAATGACTGCCGACATTAAGGAGTTGGGGAGGCTAACAAGAGGGTTTCCAGCGAAATTGAAGGGCGGTGTAGTTCCGGGACTGAACTTAGGGGAGTGCATGTTTGTGGCCACATCAAGGGGAGTCTTGGAGACGAGGGAAGCACTGGCCAAGAAAGTAGGCGGGCTGCTGATTTGTAGGATATCATGATTGCGTCAGACGAGTCTGAACATGTACTTTTCACAGAGAATATAAGGGGCTTGCTCATTTGCTTTGATCGTGTCTCCCAACTAGTACATTGAAAGCCAAAATCGTCGTCCCTTGTGTTTCTATTCAATTGTACTATGTGAAGATTGCGTTGCACCACTCTTGGCTATGAGTTTCAAATTGAACGCTCAATTGTACTGCTATGCTAGGTATCTAATTTGCTAGATCTAAACTGTCCTGGCTAGATTGCGCCGCCCAAACAACGAGGAAGAATAATCAAGTGTTTGCAGTTGACAGAATCGATGGCACTTTATCGTGCGCACACCTTCATTACGGGTCTCCCCATCTAAACACGACGGTTTTTGACGTTGTTGCCCGTAGAGGTTCCAGCACATTCTGTTTCTAGGGACGTCTCCACCTTGGAAGCATGGTCTTGAATTGCAGGATCATAGTGGTTATCCAGAGCAGCATCTATTATCGCGACATCGTTAGTCTTTCGAGCGTCGAGGCTGACTGGTTTGATATTCGAAAAAGAAAGAGCGTTTCCTTCCAATTCAAGGTAGCTTTGAGTGATTCGATGCACTTATTGAATGGACTGTTTATCTAGGTGATTGGTATCAAGGTGCGAAACGGAGTTTTCAATGGCATGTTGCTCAACGAGGTCCATCTCGACTAGGCCCATAGTCTGGTGACCCTCAGCAATTATCGGCTCCTCGTTGGCTCGATTATTCCCAATTGGACCTTGATGTACTTTGCCCTTCTCTGGCACTGATTCGGCTTCAAACATTTGCTGTTTTGTCGTGGTTCCCAGAATCTCATCGTTAAGCCCTTCAATTGCACCACACGATTTATCCTCGCCGGCTATCTCATTGCTGCCTACAGATTCAGGTGCTTCTGTCAGCCCACCGGCAGGTGGCGTGGGTACTGCAGTGAGTGAAGCCTTAGGATCGTCAGCTTCCTCTCGTAGTCGACTATTATAGATAGGATCATTCATTGCTAAATTCACGTTGCCAAATAAGCTAGTGACGGTTTCCAATCTTTGCGGTTCTTGTGGTGCCGCTGATGAGTCCATCTCTTCGGTTGAACACTTAGTGGCGGGATTAGAAGAAGATATGGTGTTTTCGTGTGCATTGTATATTCGTAATTGATGGTCATTGAGGAATTCGTTGCCTTCTTCTTCAGGATTGAGAGGGTCAAATTCTTCGGTGTAGCCCGTTAGTGGCACGGCAATCCGCCTCGGTGTTGTAGACATCGGAATCCTTTGACTCCTGCTGCTCGCTGACCTTGGAACTGCCTGATTCCCATGCTCACCGCCTACTAGTCTTGGGACAGTTCTTTTTGGTGGAGTGACCGGGACTTTGTCAGTGGCTTTTGAAGATGATGCCTGTGTAGGGCGCATCATACGTGCTAGAAAGCGTTCGTCGACATTGCTCTGCCTCTTCTGACTGGCCGTAAGTTGCGACTGTTTTCTGGGAGGCGGTCCAAGACTTGGTCGGGACTTAGAAAAAGAGGAGCCTTTCCCCTTGATGGCGGGCTGTGGAACCGTAGAATTTGACATAGTCGATCGAAGAGTGGGTTGGATTATTTTATCTTGGATTCCAATATGGCGAAACAGGGACTGACGAGATACATGTACTTTCGATACCGAAGAAGCGGTTGGCGCGGTAAGTGATGATGGCATTTGAACTGGCTGGGTAGGTGACTTTGGCTTCGGCTTGACAAAACCCGCATCATTCTGGCTCTTCGTCTTGAGAGTTCGGCTTTTGGCAGCCCCTGGGGCAACCGTTCTCGCTTTGGCAGATGGGATTGGCCCCGCATTAACATTGTGGATCTCATCAGCAGATGACTCTCTAATTTTGAGGCTTCTAGTAGCAGTGTTCGAGCTTGATCTGGCAGCAGAAGTTGCACTGGTATTTCTCATTGCTCCTGTCGTAGTCGTAATAGCTTGGGCTGAGGAACGCGTATTTTGCTTGGTGGAGGGAGACGGGTCCATGACGGAGGCAGACTTGAATTCTGCATTTTCCGCGGAGCTTGTTCCTGCTTGTTCGTTCGCTTGGCGCAGAGGTGAGGCCGGCTTGTTCTCGGCTTCTGTGTGTGCCCTGTTCACATCTGAATCTCCGCTTACAGGAACACCAGCCTTTTCGTGGTGGGGTAATATTCTCAGAGATTCGAAGATCGTCTTGCTGGCGACATTGCGACGCGAAGATTCGCCCACGCCATCGGATGGCATTGTGCTGGGGTTGTCAAGATAGTTGCCGTTGGATTCGGTGTCTGCAGTTTCGACACTCGTTCGTCTTCTGGATAAGCTCGATTCGCCGCTGTGGTCTCTTCTTAAACCCATGCGGCCGTCCTTTTCAATTGCAACAAAGTTTGTGCGAACCTTGGAAAGCGGCCGCGATGAGCCGTTGGAGCTGGCGTCTGCATCGCAAAAGCACAAATCAGCCTCTTTCCATGAATAGTCTCAATAACTTGGCGGCCTTGCAAAAAGACAAGTGCTCTTGTAACAACCTCAAGCCGGACCATAGTACTACAGGAAGTGACTTCTGCTCCGTCAAGCTTATGACCATGAATGCCACAGTACAGCACGGTCGATCAAGCTGAGACTAAGAAATGATTCCACAAAGCCCTCCCCGAAAACTCACCTCCAATATGCCCACCTGGCGTGATTCCTGGAGACCTTCCTCTGTCAGGCGGGCTTGCGTCGCCTTTGTTCTCAAACATGGCTCTCAGGTTCTTGACCTGGCTCATCTTTGCTCTGGCAGATGTCGCGGCAGAGAAAATGATAAATGGCAGGACAATTGACTAGTGTAAGGATGATGACAAATGGCCGACAAAGATCGCGACAAGGCTTTGAATGCAAGACAAGAGCAAGTTGCAGCAATTAGGTCACTGGTCACTCCTTACTCCTGGGGCTGTTCTATGCCAATGTGGGGCAATATTAACGAAGTACCAAGCACCGGGTCTGCAAGTGACCAAGTACCCTACTTAGGTACCTATAATTAAGTAAGTACCTTAAAAGTAAACGTGGCCGGTAATCGAACCAAGCAGAAGCAGCCTGATGTTAGGAGCGCAAACGTGGCGTTTCAGGCACTTTATGTATTTCTTCAAAAGCTAGTAGCTAAATTTGTAAGTCGGGCATTTGCAACTTTCCGTGCAAATAGACGATGATAGGTCCATAACAGACAGTATGCCGTAGACGCGTAGCTCTACCACCACGGGATGGTACGGCAGCACTCGATATGAGGACAGGTTATTGCATACACACTACCTCTCTGACATGCCTCCAGCCTAACAAGTGCTTCGATAGAAGTCTAGTCGGTAAATCCATAAGGTTCAGCAAGCTTTTCCCCCTGATTCTGCTCTGCCAGACCTAGCTACCCATAAGCACAAAGCAGGAAAACACAAAATGTTAAGTCTTATAGTGACTAGAAGCCTAATCTTAAATGGTTATATATAATTGCACGCAGATAAGTAATCTCAATCGCGCGCAATCGGCTGATATTGGCTTCCGAGCTTGCCTGGAGCGCGTTAGGTCAATCACGAGATTAAAGGTACAGTAAAGATGTACCAAGAAATGTAGCAAAGAGGCACATATGTCAATTCAAAGGTGGTAGACACTGTCTTATACTCATTTTAGCCAAAATAAACAATTAAGATAGAACCTACAATCACCAGGCTTTATAGCCTCAAGGAATGCACTCCAGCCGCCACACACTAGGTACCTGCGTTGGTGAAAGGATATAGAACCGGAGTACGAAAGAATTCAGTATTAATGCGATCATCCTAAACAGGGCTCTTTGCCCTAAATAACTGAGTCCATTTGCGGGCAGAAAGGCTGAGCTCTAGGGAGGGCCTAGTAAAAAAAGGTCTAACCCGCTGTTAACATACGATCTGCACGAACCAAACGGTCGTCTACAAGGGTAATGGCTCTGTCTTGCTGATGCGTTAAGCTTCAGTCAGGTGTGGATGCATGAAGGGTGATCTAGTGCCTACCGCGCGGGACTTAAGCTCACTTGGAGCGGACCAATATCGTAGTATTATTATGGGGCAGCATCAAGCACGCACGCCCAGCTTTATAGCCTCCGATCCTCGGCTTCCATTGCAACCGCAAAATTTAAGCTCCATCCCAATTGCAGTCCTTTATTACTTGTCACCAGCACAATTTTGCCGCCACAAGCAACAAGGAATGTCTGTCCGCACGCTAAGAATCGGTATGTTTCCATTGACACTCTCACTTCCACAGTGCACACTCTAACATCCAACCGAAAAAATGCAGGCCTCATACCCGGTGACGGAATTGGCAAAGAAGTCATTCCAGCCGGCCGTCGAATCCTCGAGGCCCTACCCAGCTACCTCAACCTCAAGTTTGATTTTGTAAATCTCAAAGCAGGCTTCGAAGCTTTCGAGCAGACCGGAACAGCCTTGCCAGAAGTCACTGTCGATGTCCTACGAGATGAGTGCGACGGCGCACTCTTTGGCGCTGTCAGCTCGCCAACGCATTCTGTCAAGGGTTACTCGTCACCTATAGTCGCTCTGCGCAAACGCCTCGACTTGTACGCCAATGTTCGTCCTGTAAAGACCGTAGTGACCGCTCCTAAGCCTATCGATATGGTCATTGTCCGCGAAAACACGGAAGACTTGTATGTCAAGCAGGAGAAGACATTTGACGGCCCTAATGGCAAGATCGCTGAGGCGATTAAGCGCATTTCAGAAAATGCTTCGTTCCGAATCGCTTCCATGGCTGGCGATATTGCCGTCCGGCGTGACAAGATCAGACAGTCAAGAGCCGTCAGTGTTCACAAGAAGCCTCTTGTTACCATCACTCACAAATCGAATGTACTCGCTCATACGGACGGCTTGTTCCGTGAAGCATCTAGGCGAGCACTCGCCGATCCAAAGTTTGCCACCATCAAAGTAGAAGAGCAAATTGTTGACTCTATGGTGTACAAGCTTTTTCGCCAACCAGAAGACTACGATGTCATTGTCGCTCCTAACCTCTACGGAGACATTTTATCCGATGGAGCTGCTGCATTAGTTGGCAGCCTCGGCCTTGTCCCAAGTGCCAACGTCGGGGAGAGGTTTGCCATCGGAGAGCCTTGCCACGGCAGCGCGCCAGATATTATGGGCAAGGGGATCGCAAACCCCATCGCTACATTAAGAAGCACCGCGCTCATGCTTGAGTTTCTGGATGAACCTGCTGCAGCAGCAAAGATTTATGCGGCCGTTGATGCTAATTTGGAGGATGGCCAACTTCTCAGCCCGGATTTAGGAGGCTCGGCGACTACAGAGCAAGTGGTTGAGGATATCCTGAAAAGGTTGTAGAATTATGTTGAGAGCTGTCTCTGTGTTCGTGATATGTGGGCGCAATGAAAATTTGTACAAAATTGTCCACACGGTCACGGCACGTTCCTGCTCTTGCCGTACGTGGGCACCCTAGTCTCTTTACTTTAAGTGCAATAGTTTCTTCCTTCCACGCTTCTCAACGCATATCAGAACACACTCTGTGCTACATATGAGCTGTGAAACATGACCACATCGGGAATCGTTCTAGTCTACAGATTGTTTTACATGATGTCGCAACGCACTCTGGTTGTCAGAAGCCGGACCAGACATACATATATACATTCGATCTATTTCGTTCTCTTCGCTTCGAGCTCGGCCTGGTATTTGGCAATAAGCTCTTTCCTGGGGATCGATTAGCATGCCATACGTCCTAGCAATCAATTTGGCGTACGTACTGTAAATGAGGAGGAGCAGGGGCGTAATGGCTAAATTCCATGCTAAACTCTCCCTTTCCCTGCGTTGCAGCTCTTAGTTGAGAACTAAAGCCAAACATGGCATTGAGGCTGCAGTCACAAATTAATGTAAAGTCCTCGTTGCCAATTTCTGTGTCGTGGATGGTCGCGTTTCTCTTATTCATGAGCATTAGAATATTGCCCTGAAACTCATTAGGTGCTGCGATGGTTGTCTTCATCAATGGCTCTAAAACCTGGCCACCGGCATCGGTGAATGCTTTTCGAAAGGCCATCTGTGTCGCCAGGCTAAATGCGTAATCAGAGGAGTCCGTGACGTGGGTAGCACCATCATTAATGATCATTTTAGTACCGATGACTCTGTGGCCGAGAAGAGGACCACGTTCGCAAGTCAGGTCGAAACCCTTAGCACAGGCTGTTAGGAATTTGTCTGGGATATGGCCACCAACAACTTGGCTTTCGTAGTGGTTGTCCTCCGGCGTATCATTGGGCTCGATCCATCCAGCCACACGGGCGAAGTCTCCGGGCCCGCCGCTCTGTCGACGAAGCAAGTAATCGAACTCAGCACGGTGAGAAATCGTCTCTCGGTAAGCCACACGTGGCTGTCCGGTGATACATTCTGTCTTATACTCACGCTTCAACCGCTCAACATAAACCTCCAGGTGTAATTCGCCCATGCCGGAGATAATAGTTTCTTCGCTTTCAGGGTCCACATGCACCCGGAACGTCGGGTCTTCGCGCTGAAACCGATTCATGGCCTTGCTAAAATTGTCTGCGTCGGCCGTTCGCTTTGGTTTAATGGAGAGAGACATGACGGCATCTGGGACAAACATTGACGACATAGTATAAGGCAGACCTCCATCCGTGAATGTGTCTCCTGATGCACAGTCAACCCCGAATACCGCACAGATTTCCCCTGCACCAACTTCAGACACATCTTCCATTTCATTGGAGTGCATTCTGACAATGCGGGGGATTCGGACTTTCTTGTCTGTTCGGGAGTTGAACAGGTATGTTCCCTTTGTAAGGGTTCCTTGGTAAACACGAATGTACGTAAGCTGGCCATAATTGTTCTCTTCGAGCTTAAACGCAAGTCCAACGAAAGGCAACGAGTTGTATGGTACCAATTTGACGGCTTGTTCGTCTTTGGACTTGTCGAGAGCAGTGTTCTCAATTTGAGATGGGTTTGGTAGATAGTCACAAACGGCATCGAGCATTGGCTGTACGCCCTTGTCCGCCAGAGCAGAGCCCATCAAGACGGGTGAGAAGTTGCGCGCAATCGTGGCCCGTCGAATAGCTGCCTTGATCTGCTCATTGCTGGGTTCCTGCTCCTCAAGGAAAATTTCCGCGATCTCGTCATCAACATCGGCCAATTTCTCGATAAGTATCTGACGTTTCTCTGCTGCAAGATTTCGTAAACTAGCAGGAATGGCATCAGATCTGACTTTGGTTCCTCGGGGGCCTTCGAAATACATCGCCTTCATCTCGATTAAGTCAACAACACCTTCGAACTCATCTTCAGCTCCAATAGGAATCTGGATTGCGGCGGCCGGCATTTTTAGCTTCAAGTTGATTTGTTCCACGGCTTTCCATGGGTTGGCACCCATGCGATCCATCTTGTTGATAAAAGAGACTCGGGGAACCTTATATCGCTTCATTTGACGATCCACGGTGGTAGTCTGCGATTGAACGCCACTGACGGCACAAAGAATCATGACGGCGCCATCAAGGACACGAAGAGCTCTCTCGACTTCAATTGTAAAATCAATGTGGCCAGGCGTGTCGATCAAGTTGAAATGATAAGTCTCTTCCTTGCCGTTCTCTTTCTTTTCCCAGTCGCAAAATGTAGCCGCAGATTGAATGGTGATGCCCTTTTCCCTTTCGAGTTCCATGGAATCCATCTTCGCACCAATAGCGTCTTTGCCCCTTACCTCGTGGATAGCCTTGATTCGACCAGTATAGAAAAGAACACGTTCGGTAACTGTTGTCTTGCCGCTATCAATGTGGGCCTATGAGAAACAAAGCGTCAGCTGTCATTTTGTATCGTATGTCCAAGTAGTTCTTACCGCAATGCCTATATTCCTGACTCTAGAGAGTCTCTGCACCTCTTCGGGTGGCATATTGGCTTCAACATACTCAACTGTCAAACTTGCGGCATCTTCTTGGGCTTTCTTCAACCTGTTTCAATTGGCAAGAAAGGCCTTAGTTAATTTGTCCAAGGCTAGTATTTCCAAAAAAAAAGTCTGGATGTAGTAATTTGGTTTGATATGCTTGTCTTACGCTTCTTGAGCCGCGTTGGCCGAGCGCAATGCTGTTTGGCTGAGGTCTCTTTTAGCTGGGTAGCTCACTTTCGGAAGATCGAGTTTCCCGCAAAGCGAATCGACAGGCCGCCGTCGTAGAAACAGGAGACGACAGCCTAGCTGCCTAGCTGCCCCCTGTATTATCATTGCGTAAGTTGCGCTCAATGGACTTCCGAGTCTGCTCGTTGATGCCACAGCAGGTCTACTCCGTTCAAATGTTGCATTAAACTTTTTTAGGTGGCCTCGCCCCCTTGGTAATCGGATATCTCACGTGCCCTTCGTGGGTTGGATTGACTTGGGCTCTTCCTATTGGGCACTCAGCCGACTGCTTTGCAATGCTAAAATCCGTAACAAACTTGTTCACAAGCTATGCATTGTTTTGCACATAGAAGATAATTTCGATTTTCATACATAGGTTTGTTTTGGAATTGCCAGTGTCTCCAGCCCGTACCACACAACTACAGCTCAGGTATACAACACTCTCCGCTGAACTCCCAATTCTACTTCATCTCACAAAAGTTTGGAACACCACGACAGAAGAAGAAAATAATTTCCGGCAGTGAAAGAACGTGAAGAAAAAAGAGACAGAAAAATGAACTTATCGATATATGAAGCTTGGGCTGCCCATCAACAGGGCAGCAATCGTCATGCTGATAAGAGCCGATGAAGAAACTGACAGCGGTTCAAGGGAGCAAGCCGAACTGCCTTCTTGAAATCCTTTTGCAGCGGATTGACCTGTTTGGTTTGGTCGTGGCTGTGTTCCCGATTGACTGCTATTATTTACTAAAGTGGCCGAGGGTATGGCTGCTCCCTTGCTCGCAAATACCATGACATTTGACTTTGTCGAGTTGAAGTCAGTTGGTGCAATACCGACTTCATTATTTATCAAGTCATAGACGACATAGGCAGATCGTAAAAATGTGTCCCCTAGAAGCCACGGCGTTTCCGATGATTTCTGGATACCAAACTCACAGATAGCTTGGCCACTATGAGGGCCTGATGAGAACGTCGGTGGCTTCCCAGTCGTCAATGGCAAGACAAGCTCATCCATAGCGACATTAATGCGTGGACCATCAGGTCCAGAGAAGACGAAAGAAAAATTGCCAACATGGTTTGCGTAAGAACACGGGATGATGGCTGTCTGGAAAGAGATCTCATCGTAGGTTGCTCCTACTTCGCTCCAGACTTGGGCTGCTATATCCGGAGGTAAATAGCTAAGAGTTGTGCCAGAATCAAGCACTACCTTCATAGGTAGCTCTCTTGACGTCAAAACATCATTTCCACTAGAACTAGTAGCCTCGAGAGAGTACAGTGAAACAATAAAGTGGGTAAATTGTCGATTTTCAGGTTGTATTGGAAGTCTTGTCAAGTTTCCAACATATTTCTCAGTGTCGACGCCCCCAAAGAGAATACTTCCTGTGCTGGCTTCCAGGTCATTCAACCACAAGCTATAGGCAGCAGAATTGATGATTCCGGCCTCCTGCATAGCTATCGGCAGGTTCGGGTATATGGTATCTGCTGTTTCCGTCGATGCCTCGTCTCCAGCATAGCCAACTCCTATCACCCCAAACGATATGTCCGTTCTCCTCCCCAGGCCCATGGTGAAGTCCACTACTGATTTCGAGCTTATTTCTAGCTTGTCTGTAAAGTAGTCGCCAATTGATGAGCTATTGTCTTGGTAGGATACGTCGAATCCGTTTGCGAAAAGGACATCAAATGTTCTGGACCGATCAGGGTCAACTGGCGACAACAGTTACTGACTGGTTACATGCATTTAGGTTTGTATGTGGATGACTTACAGGAGCCAAAAGGGCAGCCGCCTTGAGTTTTGTCCACACAGACGGGAGCTTTGTTAGACGGCACCCAGACATCGCTGCTACCAGTATCGAGCTGCAGAGAAAGCTCTTGACCAGGTGTTCCGATTTTGACCGCCACAAAATATCCGCCTTGAATTTGTTCATTGGATACATCCGACTGGAGGGTTCGGGCCCGGGTTTGGAGCCCGTTCGCCTGATGGTGTTTCTGAATATCCCATCGAACCACCTGTCCAAACACAGTTGATGCAAGGATGGTCAACGGAGACAAACAAGTGTACACGGCACTCGAATGCTTCATGACGAACGCTCCGGTTATATATTTCTGGAACAGTCGTATCGGGAACTCTCCAGATGATGTAGCCTAGGTCGCAAGTTTAAAGTTGTCGCTCGATCGCATGACCACTTCCGGTCCAGGCCTTCGAACGATGCAAACCAACGGAGAGTCGAAGTCAATTCCAGCTCACAAAAACCATCTGGGACCCAAAGAGTTTCAATCAATTAAAGCTCTCCAGAGAAATGATAAATGGCAACAGACTGTATTTATGTTTATGTTGCGAATGCCGGCCACTCCGGGTCATGGAAGTCTGATTTGTCTTGTCGGCAAGTTCGTTGACGTGAGTGTCGTCATCAACAAGCTACCGGGACGCCCGAGGGAAGGGGTGTGTGATGCCAGCGCCTTCTGCTATTCATTTGTCAGACGAGGGGCTTCACACCCAAAGCCATATGTTAACAATACTGTATGTAATTAAGTCCCATGTGTATATCAAACGCTTGAGTAAAATTATTTCGCACGAAGATACATAACAGATAATTTAATGATAATTCTATTCCCAATAAAATTTTATCTCGTGATATACCCTGAAAAACTATTAGCACAGAACTTAGCAGTACTTAACAGTACGGAGGACTTGCGGTGGGCTTGCTGCTCCTTCCCCTTACTCTACCTCGGAGCTCGACAGTCTGTCGCACGGTAAACAGGGGGTATTGACACAAATGAGAACTGGCCTCTAGCGACGCCTATTTTGCGTGATCCAATATCTGATGATACTACCATGGAGTGGGATCATGTTAGAGAAGAGTTTTTTTGCATAAGCGCCAGCCCGAGCATCCTTGTGGCCAATACTCGCCAATTCCATCCACCAGTAAGCATTTTTTAGTGCCCTTTTCCATTTCAAAGACGACCTTCACAGATACAACGGACTGATTGGAAACCCTAGCGCTTTTATGTTGCGGTAAATTGCAAGACACATTTCTGTTATACCTGGAAGCGATGATAATCTCTTCTTCTCTTTGTGTTAGCTTTTAGTAGTTGATTGCAACAAGCTGATCCATGCAGAAGGGGCCAGTTGCAATTTCGAGAACATACGGAGCATACTCCACAATAGTGTTTTCACTACTACCTGAAGTTACGAGATGACCGGGAGCAGAAGGCCTCGGTATGGAAAGTATACCTTTCTTGCTATTTACATAGGTAGGTAAAGTATCCTAGCGCGCTCGTGGTATTCTGGTGATTGTTCTCAGCTATGGCAAGACCGCCCATCACAATCTTCTACCAGGCACATGACAGATTCCTATAGCCAATTTTTCGATGGCTCTGCTGTCCTCAGAAACAGGGGTCGCGCACGTAGGCATCCGCGGGTTGGCTTAAAACAGTCATACAACAACAAGAGTCAATATCCCAAAGACGCAAAGATAACAAATCCATACCCAAAACTATGCCAACTATAACTAAAATCTGTAGACACAATGTTATAACGTCCTTTCCCAATTGTCTCTCACATACTTATCCAGCTTCGTCAAAGCTTTCTGTAGCACTGTGGTCTCGCACACATAGCCTACTCGTACAAAGCCAAGGAAGTCTCTGCCACCACCAAAGCAGAGCGAGCCTGGGCAAAATAGAATTTGCGTCTTCTCGAGGAGGTCCTTGCAAAATGAAACATCATCCACCGGCCGGCCGCTGACACAAAATTGAATGAACGCTGTGGTACCTGCAGAGGGCTGTACCCAATGACAAATATCATTATGAGCGTCAACAAACTCTTTCAACAGGGATAAATTTGTCGCCGCTAAGGCAACATTGCGTCTCAATAATCGATCAATGACCCCCGATGATAATGCATAACCAGCGACGTAATCGTCTAGTTGAGACACGCTGATGGTTGTGTAGTCCCGAGCAGCAGCCAGCCTCTCCAAAATGGCCCGGTCCCTCGAAGCGATCCAACCTATCCTGATTCCCGCTAACGCAAATGCTTTCGACATGGACCCGGTAACAATGATCTTCTCATAATCCAAGGCGGTGGCCGGAGGCGGCGAATTAGGATGGTTGTATCCATTGTGAAACAGAGGACGATATACCTCGTCTGACAGGAGAATAATGCCCCTCTCTTTGGCCAAGGCGGCAATCTTTTCTAGTATTCCAGTCGGAATGACGGCACCAGTGGGGTTATTTGGATTGTTGATAATGATCATCTAAGCAGTAATGTTGGTAAAACATGATTCACGTTCAGGTTGCCGAGGTTAATGGCTGTCACGTACCTTGGTACTGTCGCGAATGAGACCACTCAGTTCATTAACACTAGGAATATAGCCAGTCTCTGACCGTAAAGTCCACAAGGATACATCAGCTCCGAGGCTAACTGGGACAGAATACAACTGCTGATATGTTGGGTAGACGCAGATGACATGATCCCCGGGCCCAATCAGGCTATACAGCACAAGGAAGTTGGCACCTATGGCACCCTGTGTGATTATAACGTTGTCCTCCGTCAAGGAATGTCGGCTAGCGTCGCTACAAAGATTGGCGACACTGTGCCGCAATGCTGAAGATCCCCGAATAGAGCCATAAGTAAGTCTGCGAGATGTCGGCATGAGTGCGGTGACGGGGTTGCCGTCGGAGAAACTTGAGAGCTCGTCCATCGAAATGGAAGAGCAGCACGTTTCGGCGACGTTCAAAACGTCTGGGGTGTACTCATACGTATCCATCCATTTTTCTACTTCAAAGGAGTTGAAGAGAACCATGTTTGTAAGGGGGCAACAGGTTGAAGAAGAAACTGGTAGCTCAACTTCGTCGTTGTTGTGCAAGTATCAAATACAATATGGACGATGCGAATGTCACATGGGCTAGGGTTTATCTCTGGAAAACCCTTGGAAAAGAGCTAGGACGCGAAAAGCGACTGTGGCTCCCAACTGCGACCAACATTTGAATCTAGAAGGCACCGTCTCTTTTGTTGGTAGTAATACCACGGCTCTCCCACACCGTGGATAGCCCGAGCATTGAAACTGGGCCTCGGAAGCTCGATGATGCGCTCCGACTCTCTCTCTCACACGCTCGTTACACAAATAGGACTCTTTCGCCATCTCTTTTGTAGCTGGAACAAGGTTCGCAATATCGCATCGTGACTGTGCATCTATGCCCGCTTGTGTGCGATAGATATCTTAATTCCCTGCGGAGTACGGAGTACGGAGTACTAGGTTCCCCATCAGCAATCTCCACAAAAACAGTAACGACCTTGAAGGAGCTGTACTACGTGAGGTAAGAATCCCCTTCCCACAGCGGTAGCGGTCGACGGGGCTCCCAACTTGCCGCCGCCGCCCCTGCTTACGCCTTGTCAGCACCCTCATGCTTCACCGCGAGTACTTCCCCTTCCTGCCGACCCCGGAGTCGGAGCCACGGGGTCCAGTCGACCAGCCCATGCTGGGGGCGCCCGCCCCCGAGGGCTGGTGGGACGACAGCTCCCGACTCCTCTTCGGCGCGGCAGAGCACATCGCCGCCATTCTACACGAGGCCTCCGAGTGTGGCGTGCATCTCATGACGCCCTTTGCCGGGTTCTGCGCATTCTCAGCCGGCTACCTCAACCTCTACGTGGCGAAATACCCCCGAATGAACCTGGGCCGCAGCCCGCGAGCAAGCGACTGTCTCAAAATGTGTCTCGACTACCTGGAAAAGTTTCGACTTGTCTGGAAAATCGCCGACGGATGGGTAAGCCGCCCGCAAGCATGACACGACCGTGGCCACCGTTGCGCTAACATTGAGAGGGCGGCACGCGCAAGATCAAAACGATACACCATGCATCCGTGCTCTACGAGCGAGCAACCGAGGACCGGACACGATACCAGGGGCGCACACGAGCAGACTTTGATACTCTACACCAGTCTGTCCACGAGTTCCGTGTCGTGGATAGATCCGACGCGCATACTCGGGAGATTCGGGGCGCGGAGCGGCCCTCGGCGCAGGCGACTTGGCCGGTTCAAGGGCACGAGCACGAGCACGAGCACGAGCACGAGCTCGACACTAATACCTTGTTGAACCAGCTTTTCGCGGAAGTCAGCAATAACCTCGACGAGCAGGGGGCCTGGTCTCAATGGTGGCCGGCGATTGATCAGGTGGATCTTTAATGAGCTGCGTAATTACATCCGGGGTTTTTTTTTTCGTTGAAGCTTCCAATGAATGAGTGACGACCTTTGATTTTTTTGATTTTTTTTTTAAAAAGGGCTGTAATATCTGGTTTTCTATACATGTCCTATTTTTATTTCCCGGTCTAGAAAAACAGTCAACAGATAATGCACCTCTTCATATGGCTCCCCTCCCGTCACCGCCAACAAATGCATACCTGTCGCGTCAACCATTCGCCGTTTCTCCTTCCAATCACGCCTTTGCAAAGACCTTTCTCGAGTTCATCAGGCGAACAGCAAGCATAAAGAGCATGCCGACAAAAGGCGCCACAACCACGCCAAGAGGACGTTTTTTGAAGCAGCTAAAAAGGCACGTAAATGGCGTCTGGATTCTGTACTAGATCTACTAGAAATTTGGGACGAGAAGGGTGTACATTATAGGCGAAGAGGTTAATAGCGTTATTAGGTTGAAAATTGGCCCGCCTTGGTGTCCGGCCCGCCTTGCTGTCGAGCACCACCTTTGGTGGTGAGGGCTTTTGCTAGCCGAACCACATAAAGTGGGGCGGGCACGATTAGTAGTACGTAGTACACAACAGCCAGATAAATTTACCCACAGCAGGATCTCGTGCTAAGCGCTTTGACGAAGGATAATTTGAGCACCAAGACTGGTTGAACGCATTTGAATCGCCAACAGCCACATTTTAGACCCGTGGACGATTTCGTGCTTCTGAGCCAATCATCCTGATCCGATATGAGGCGTAGGTGCGTGCCACACTTGGACTTGACTCGTAAAAAGTAAGTAGTTAATACTCAATGCTCCGTACCTAGGCACCTGATACGCACAATAAAGACCTGGTGGACTTTTTTGTTTGAATATGTCATATGGTACTAGGCACAGGTATGTCATACCATGTAAGGTATTTGGGCTCTTTTGTAACCGTTGATATAAGGAGATTTAGGGGTTCGGGCGCTGCGGCTGCTCTCCGGTTAGCAGGCATTTCGAAGCTTGGGCGTCAATCATGGTCACCCGTCTGCTTGATGGGGAACAGACGTGGCCAGGCGTTGTCAGCGACGTGAACCAGACCCACACCCACACCGCGGCGACGTCACGATCCCAAGCAGATACCTCGACCGTCCTCAACATCGCTCCTTGCACTTCCGCCCTCGAATTTCTGTGATTGTATCGGCTTTTCTATTTGAGTACTATGGCCATTATGGCCTCCTCGCCTCGGAGAAGCTCGGTTTGGGGGGCCGTGGTTTATCTGCCATTATTAGCAGCAGCCTTTGGGAACTCGACATATCCGCACATGGATATGCTACGGTCTAATTTGGCTTTGATGGATGGCCGGCCTAGTGACTGTCCCCCTTGGTAAATTCATCGAAGAAATTGCATTTTATCTGTTCCTAACTGCTGATAGTTTCAACTGTCTCCTTCCATCCCACGTCTGTGCTCAATATGCTGGTTGCAACGAGTTCAATGGAAAATGCGATTGCCCAGCTGGCTTTGGTGGTGACGACTGCCTCCAACCCCGTACGTGCACCGAAACTTGCATAGAAACTGAATGCACGAATGATAGCGTCGATCGATCACATATTAATGCGCCCTTTGTTTAGTTTGCGGCTCTCTAGCAAAAGGTCGAGACCGACAGATGCGATCTGGAGACACCTGCGAGTGCGATAAAGGTTGGACAGGAATCAACTGCAATGTTTGTACAGATGACAGCGCCTGCAATCCCTTAGTGGAAACCGAACAAGGCGGCGTCTGCTATCAGAATGGAGAGGTCGTGCGCCATAATCACCAAATTTGCAAAGTTACCAACAAGAAAATCACGGACCTCCTTGGTGAACAACGGCCTGAAGTAACTTTTGCTTGCCAGAAGGATAAACGAACATGCGACTTCCAGTGTACGCCTTCAATTTATTTGGCTTTTGACGTGATAGTTTCGATACTGACGTCTTCGCTGCAGTCTGGGTCGACGCCGTCGAATCGTTTTATTGCAACTTGAGCGATTGTGATTCGCGTGCCGAATTTGGGGATATTAAGAACACAACTTCGTACAGTTGCGGTAAGATAAAATGCAGCTGCATCCCGGAGCGCATGCTGTGTGGCAAGGACGGGTCAATAGACCTGAGCGACTTTCTCAACCAAGCAATCCGCGGCCCTGGGGGGTTTCAATGCACCCAAAAGAACGGCGGTGCCCATGATTGCGCCTTTGAAGAGCCAGAGATGGACAAGCTGATCCGCAGTCTTATTGGTGATTCTAGCATCCTTCTTGACTGCCAGGCTGGCGAATGCCTGCACGAGACTCAGGTTCCAGGGTACACAAGGCCAGTCAAACAAATCAACACACCTCTTATTTCAGGGGTCATTGCTATATGTGCACTGTTCGTCGTGATTATCATCATCACGACATGGATACTATCGCGCCGCAAGCTGAGATATGGTGCCATTCGCCTTGAAGATTCCGATGACGAAGCAAGCAAACTCATGGATGAGCACAAGCCGGCTACGTTATATTTTGAACGCATCTCATATCACATGAATGGCAAGTTTATTCTCAGCGCTATTCAAGGGCTGTGCCACCCCGGCGAGGTTACAGCAATCATGGGCGCTTCCGGCGCCGGAAAGACAACCTTCCTGGACATTCTCGCCCGCAAGAACAAGCGTGGCGTTGTAGAAGGCGACGTTTATGTGAACGGTGAAAAAGTTGACAGCTCTGAATACAGAAAAGTTGTTGGATTTGTCGACCAAGAGGATACCATGCTTCCCACGCTCACCGTTCATGAGACGATTCTCAACAGTGCCCTCTTGCGACTGCCCCGTGATATGAGTCGTGCGGCAAAGGAACAAAGAGTCTTCGAGGTAGAAAAACAACTCGGGATTCATCACATTCGGGATTCGCTGATTGGGTCCGAAGAGGGCAAGGGGCGCGGTATCTCCGGTGGTGAGAAGCGTCGCGTTGGCATAGCGTGTGAACTGGTCACGAGTCCGTCTATTCTCTTCCTTGACGAGCCAACCAGCGGTTTAGATTCTTTCAACGCCTATAATGTTATCGAATGTCTTGTTACTCTGGCAAAGACTTATCAACGCACAATTATACTTACGATCCATCAACCACGGTCCAACATTGTGGCCTTGTTCGACCGTCTTATTCTGCTGGCGGGAGGCAAGACAGTATATTCAGGGCCGTTTGCTCAATGCCAGTCGTATTTCGACTCTATAGGCTACGAATGTCCGCAGGGTTTCAACATAGCCGATTACTTAGTCGACCTTACTATGCATGCCGGCGGAAGAGTTTCCGCCGACAATGGAACTGTGGCTATGGATACGGTTAGTGTCGGTCCTAGCAGTACAAAAGCAGTGAAGTCAACAGCGAGCGTTTCGGGAAACAGTACGGGAGAAGACAGTTTTGCAGAACCGGCAGCATCACCTAGGCCGAGGGACTTTCGTCGGGACTCAATCCGCCAACGACAAGAACGCCAGTTATTCACTCGACGAAAGCAGACTGTTGATTCTGCAGCCTCCCTCGATTCCGGCGGGGATGAGACGGGCAATTATAAGCTTCAGCTGAATCCCACAAACGCGCTGCTTTCGCAAACAAGGGATGACCCTCATGATCTTCCCCCAGCTGCCATATCTGGCACCGATCTTGACGGCATTACACTGGCGTTTTCCCAATCTCAAATAGCCGAAACTACTCGCCAGGAAATCGACCAGGCAGTGATAGCTGCGGTTCAAGCGAATGGGTCGAATGCCAACAACCACAGCGAAGATGGGCCTTTCGCTGCTATTAGTGCTGTTGGCCGAGGGTACGCGCGTGTAGGATACTTGGGCCAATTTGCGATTCTCTCTCAAAGGACATGGAAAAATCTTTATCGCGACCCGATGCTCATGCTTACCCATTATGCCATTGCCATAATTCTTGCCGTTTTCTCAGGATACCTCTTCTACGGCTTAACGGATGATATCCCAGGGTTCCAGAATCGCCTTGGCCTCTTCTTCTTCCTTCTAGCCCTTTTTGGATTCAGCACTCTTACAAGTTTAAATGTGTTTTCAACGGAGCGTCTACTCTTTCTGCGTGAGCGAGCAAACGGATACTACTCTCCCATCACATATTTCGCTGCCAAAGTTCTTTTTGACGTAATTCCACTAAGAATTGTCCCACCAATCCTCATGGGGTCGATCATTTATCCAATGACTGGGCTAGTGCCTGATGCATCACATTTCTTTAGGTTTATGTTGGTTTTGGTCCTCTTCAATCTGGCTGCTGCTGCCGTCTGCTTGTTTGTTGGCATCTTATGCAAGAATGGAGGTGTTGCAAACTTGATGGGCAGCTTGATTATGCTTTTCAGCCTCCTTTTCGCTGGATTCTTACTTAACCATGACGCGACGCCCTCCGGAGCATTATGGCTTCAGTCGATTTCGATCTTCCACTATGGGTTTGAATCACTTATAGTCAATGAGGTTGTCGAGCTGACCCTAGTCGACAAGAAATATGGACTTGACATCACCGTGCCTGGTGCCGCGATTTTGAGTTCATTCGGATTCGACAATAGTGCCTTGTGGCCAGATATTCGCAATTTGGGCATCTTTGCGATGACTTTTATAATCCTAGCATATGTGGCGATGCATTTTCTGCTCGTGGAGAAACGATAGAGAGGAGACGTACGCGAAAGTAGGTATGATATTCTTGCCATTATTTCTGCTGCGCACATGTCGGCAGATCCTAGGCATCTGCAAGTTTCAACATGATTCACAGTCACACCACATTTTTTTCGGGTTTTTTTTTCGGGTTCTTTTCTTTTTCCCCAATTACAAGACGGTTCGTTGAATCGTGTCACAGGTAGACGCCGAGGTTCAGGCTTCTGAAATCGCAGATATTTTAGACACTCGATGGTGGAGCTGGTTTCTCAATCCAGCAGCTACATCTGTTGTAAGGAGTGGTGTACATAGTGGACAATACATCTAGATCATCTTCCCACCAGTTAGGTCCTCCGCTATTCGCTTTTGCCGTTTAGCCGAACGGTCAGATTCAGTTTGATCAGCTTCCATAATCCGAGTTGACATTCCAATAGCCGAGTCCATCATGTTAGCAATAGACGGTGGTTTACCGTACGATCCCCAAACATTTCCTGTTGTGCTATGGCGATGCCCATCCTCACTCCTTTTGCGGAAGTAATCCTCGGCAAAAACCTCATCAATCTTTGCCTTTAACTCATTCTCATGAACAATAAAATTCGATGCGCTTGTATAAAGCTCCATCAGCGCATCCCGCCTACCTTCCAACTTTTGTTTCTCCTTCGCAATAACCTTTGTACGACTTCTATCCGCACAAGAAAAACGATTTGGATCGGGGTACACCTTTGTGTCCATGATGGCAGTCAAAACCGTAGGTCGAGTGAGCTTGTCATCGTATCTCTCTGGAGCTGCACCAGCCTTGTTATGTTTGTGGAACCTGCGGCTTACACGCTCGTTGCGAGATCTATCCATCTCCCGCCGGCGGAGCCAGAGTGTATCTAGACCTTCTTTGAGATTGGTACGTCGGCTTTCTGCCAAGGCGGTTTTCCATTCCTGCACTTCCGAAGGTGATTCACTGGAGGGTTTTGTTGATCGTGGTGCAGTTTTATTTACGTATTCAGGTTGAATTTTGCGGTCGCCTTCCCCATAAGGAAATATTTCGCGCGGAACTGGAAGATGACCACGTACTCGGGGAGGCTTGGTCTCATCGGACTGTGGTGGAGTGGGAAGGCGGGTGTAAGATGGTGATTCAGGAGGCACACGGTTCGTTTGGGCAGGGATCGAAGTTGAAAAATTAACGCGGTAATTTGAGAGTGCTCGTCGTAATTGAAGACAAAAATAGGGTCCAGGCGAGCTGGGCACCATGTTTTCGGCTCTATTGCTGGGATTGCGTCGCAGTCAAGATTCAGTTCGTCACATCGAGTTGAACAATCCAAATTCCCAAAAAAATATGGATGCATACAAGCAAGGCCGGATTATCTAGTGCCGACGTCTCCACAGCCTATCTCTAGTGGGGCAACAACTATTGGATTAGTATGGGCACGTGAGAAAGAAAAAAAAACCAAATGAGCAATCTTTTCCCGTGTTCGGATTGTATCTCCCCAGTGAAAACTTTTGGCATAATGGGAACAGGTAAAAAGGAGGTCAACAGGCGTAGTCGCCTAGGAAAAAATGGAAATGGCCTCGCAAATGTCCGTGTCAAGGGTGAGAATTTCTATCGGTAAGTGTCGTTTCTTATCTTTTCAGGTGTGTCAGCCTAACAGTTTCATTCAAGCAATGCGAAGAAAGTCAAGGCCTTGAATATGTACAAGGAGGGCAAAGCGCAGAGGAATTCTGAAGGCAAAATCACGAAATCAGCCTCTTTCCAGTCCCGAGATGTTCCAGACGCTCGAATCGAGCCTAGCCGAAAGTGGTTCACAAATACCCGTGTTGTGTCGCAGGACACCCTGAAGGCGTTCCGTGATGCCATGGCAGACAAGGCAAACGATCCATATCAGGTCCTTCTCAAATCAAATAAGCTTCCTATGAGCCTTATCCGAGATAGCCAAGACACCAATGGGATTAAGCAACACAAGGCGAAAGTGGCGGTGGAAACATCACCTTTTGCAGAGGTGTTTGGGCCCAAGGCGCAACGGAAACGGGTCAAGCTTAATGTTAGCACCCTGACAGATCTGGTTGGAGACACTGCGAAGAGCATGCACACCTACGAAGACCGCTTGGAGAAAGTTAGACTACTCAGCGGAATGTCGGGCCAGGATGAAGACGAGCGACAAGTCACGATGGCAATTGAGCCTGTTTTCGACAAAGGCCAGAGCAAACGAATCTGGAACGAGTTGTACAAAGTTATCGACTCCTCTGATGTCGTTATTCACGTACTTGATGCTCGTGATCCTGTGGGAACCCGCTGCCACAGCATCGAGAAATATCTCAAGGAAGAGGCCCCACACAAGCATTTGATTTTTGTTCTGAATAAGTGTGATCTTGTCCCTACCAGCGTCGCCGTAAGTTCTTCCACTCAAATCTTCCCGTTGTCACAACTCTGTCATCCTCGGCTTCCCAAACTGGACCGCAACCCAATGTCTTTTGTCAGGACACCTTCCTTTCTTTTTTCATGGAGGCCGTCTGTTACAGCGTTGGGATATCAATCACGCCACACTCGTCTGTCATTGACTCCTAGTTGGTGGCTTGGTGTGTGCCGTTCTGGCACTATCATGAGTTGGTTTGTGTGTTCGATGAGTTGAAATTTCCATATCCTTACTGGAAATTTGACTGGAGATTTCTTAGTGATGACACACACATTACTCATTTCAAATATAGCTCATTCGGTACTCAAAATGGAGTTCACGCACTAACTTAAGACCAGGCTGCTTGGGTTCGGAGTCTATCTAAGGAATACCCCACGTTAGCCTTCCATGCCAGCATCAAGAACTCATTTGGCAAAGGATCTCTAATTCAATTATTGAGACAATTTTCCTCCCTACACTCAGATAGGAAACAAATTTCTGTTGGGTTAATTGGAGGGCCGAACACCGGCAAGTCCTCCATTATCAATACGCTTTTAAAAAGGAAAGTATGCGCAGTGGCCCCAATACCCGGGGAGACGAAGGTTTGGCAATACGTAAGCCTGATGAAGAGAATCTACCTCATTGATTGTCCAGGTGTTGTGCCCCCTTCTAGCAACGATACTCCCACTGACCTCGTTCTACGTGGTGTTGTTCGGGTCGAAAGGGTAGAGCATCCAGAGCAGTACATTTCTACTGTGCTGGATAGGGTCAAGCGCCATCACATGGAGAAGACGTATGATCTTAAAGGGTGGACCAACGCAGTTGAACTTCTTGAGCTTATGGCAAGGAAAAGTGGTCGCCTTCTACGAGGTGGAGAGCCTGATTTAGATGGCGTTGCCAAAATGGTGTTGAACGACTTCATGAGAGGGAAAATTCCCTGGTTCACAGCTCCCCCGTCAACGGACAAAAATACCAATGGCATCATTGACCATAACGGGAAGCTTGGTGAGATGCCGAAGAAACGAGGCCTAGAGGAGGCTGACAATGGTTCCAGCTCCGATTCTGCGGAAACGGCCGCTGATGAGTCGGACATTGGGAGGGCCTACGATGGTGAAGAGGTCTTCGAGGGATTCGACAACAAAAAGGATGCTCCATCATCTAGGGGCCTAATCAGTGGTCCGTCTATTAAATCGTCTGATGCCAGCACATCAACAAACAAGCGACGCAGAAAAACTTGATTTTCGTTCTTCGTCACCCTTCTGGACTGCAGACTTGCGTGCCAGCTTCGTTGAACCAAGCTCTATATCGGAATTACCCTTTCGACATCTAGATTTGGGTACTGTGATCTGCGTAGCCCGCGGGTAGTGCCAATACATATCGCGGGTTCGAAGTAGGACAATGGATCCTGTTTTTCGTCGACATGTCCCACGCCATGGCTTGCAGTTTTGTGCATGCCTCGATTTTGGGGTGTAGATACGCCGTGCACGTCAGCAGCCGTCAGATTGTCGATGCATCGGATGGAGTGCACAGGCCAATGACACATGTCGCTTGCAATCAGATCCTGCATCTGTCTGACAGCAACATGGTCCTGTGGGAATGCTTGGCTGAGTTCGGTACAATGACGCGCCCCTGGTTAGAGTATTTCGTTCCAAGGATAACTACCTGTCGGCTTCTAAGGTCCGGCTTCATCGGTGGAATGTGACTATTATAGATATTGTGGCATTGGCTAGAGAAATAAACCCAGATCCCGTCCTGTATGTCCTCGTCTGTAGCTCGGGTTTTGGCAAAAGCTACAGCGACTCGCCTTAATGCTCACTGTCAGAGACGTTGAAATGCATGTCAACGTGTGCCAATCAGTCATTCGTGAGGCCCGCGGCTATCATTGTTTATGACAATGAGTGGCGATTTCGAGTTGTCCTGGAGTGTTCTGCCAACTGGGGATGGGGTAATATGGCGACCGAGGCAGGCAGTCACAAGCAGCTTTAACGTTCAATCAGACAGGCACCATATCCGTTGATGGAGCGCAGTCTGGCGCTACACGATGCACTAACTAGACACCACCATGTATCCACAGACCAGCTACACAATCTGCGCCGCATGGTGAGGACGGCCCCACCCAGCTTGTCGACACCCGGCCCGGCCCCGTTACCAGGCGAATTCTGACGTTACGACATCGTAGCGACAAACTTTGGACACCATCGTCAGCTACACACACCTGTAGCTCGTCGCGTGGCCAGTCAGTATAATATGGGCTCATCAGCCTCTAAAGTTGGTCGTGCTGCTCCGGCAGTAGCACGACGGTATCCATCGCGGGACCGTGGCGGCCAGGCACCAACAAATTTACAGCCTGCCGATCGTAATGCACGACAACAAGCAAGAGGCAACCGCGAAAGGCACAATGGTACGTAATGGGTTATCCCATGGGGCTGTACCACGCTGTATCCACGATAGGTCATTCATACTAACCATAGCGCATCAACATCAGCAGAAGCAGACGGAAACGGTCCCGACTTTGCACCTTCCGACTTCTCTCAACGTCTACATGAAATGGGGATGGTACAAGCGAATACGACATCCTTGCCGTGGCAAGTAGCTCAAAATAATACCCGAGACGCCGTCAGCGACACCCTGACAATGCACTATCCGCCAACCAAATGCAATACCACACTATCGGTACTGGAAGCCCGTCGATGTCTTCAACAACAGGCGAACGATGATATTGCCAAACCCGGACTGCCTGGAAGACGTCTCAAAAGATTCATCGACATGAGCACCTTGGTTGACACTATGAGTTTGCGGGACCAGGGCGTGTCATACGCAGTCATTGAGGAACGCCTTCACCTCGAACCTGGGATGGTCAGAAAACTTGGCCGCCACGGGGTTTTTTCGCGTGTTTCTAAAATCAGGTAACAAAGACAGTAAAGATGGTTTAATTTAGTGTTATGGGTCGTGCCCGGGCCCACGTCAAAACACGGCAATGCCAGTATGACTAGAAACGGATGTATAGTGAGTGACACGACATATATCATCGAACGATATACAAGCTAGAAACAGCAACACGGCAGGGCAATACTGAGCTGCGCCAGTCATATGAAGACGTGTCCGGTGTAATGATGCGGCAATCGACTACTACTATCTATCTATACTATGTCGACACAGGGCAACTCAGATTCCAGTACGGACCAGTAGTCAGAAGACTGCGTTACTCGTCACCAAGCCGCATGGCCTCCGTCGATACGAAGGTCGCTACCTGTCATGAAACTGCTAGCATCACTCAGCAAAAACACAGCTGCACCACGATACTCATGCGGCATACTCAGGCGGCTGAGCATGTTTTCTGTTGGCCATAGGGTCTTGCGCTCAGGGAAGCCGTCAAAAAGATTTTGCAGCATCTCGGTCATAATGTAGCCTGGAGAGAGCGAGTTCACCCGGATACCGTGCTGGCCCCATTCCGCCGCCAGACTCCTGCACAACTGTATGACGGCTGCCTTGGACGCATTGTACGCACTATTTATTATTCAGTCTTGTCAACGGACACTGTTCTCATCATCCGGTTCCATCTTGGAAATTTTGCACCTTGGAATTGCCACTCGGTCTAGTAATTACTTACGGTGCGTACATGCCCTTATTGGCGATGGTACCACTCATGCTTGCGACGAGGCAAATGCTGCCTGGCTTCTTGAGGCGAACCATTTGACGAGCGGCTGCCTGTGCCGTCATGAAGACGCCTGTGACATTAATCCCCAATATACGGTTGGCCACGTCGGCGGTGTGTTCCAGAGCCTGGGTCTCTTGGTTGATGCCTGCGGCAGCAATAAGCCCGTCCAGGCGACTGGACTGGTTGGTGATGTTTTCCATGATTTGGTTTAGAACTGAGACATCCCTGACATCTGCTTGATGGTAGGTTAGAAAAGTGCCAAGCTCGTCCTTTGCTCTCTTGGAGATGCTAGAGAATGTTGAACTGAGATCATTGGCAGGAGAGGGAAGTCTATCAATGGCGTGAACTAGGGGAAAGTGATTAGCAGAACCAGATAAAAAAAGTCTTTGAATTTGAAACTACTTCCATGACATACCTGTTGCGCCGGCCTCGAGCAGAGCCTCAGCCAGCACAAGTCCCAGTCCTTGAGCGCCACCGGACACAACCACTACTTTATCCCTGAGGGAAAATTCCGGCAATAAGCATGGCTTTGCACGAGAAATTACATTGCAGCTCCTCGCGGAGCTATTGAAAACCCGTCGATGGGTCGAGTGAATAGCCGAAACTGTATTATTGTTGGAGACGTTGACCAACTGCCTGAGTGCGGGGGCGGACCTAGACATTGCTTTTAATGCCATCGCGAATGTTTATCGGTCAATGATTGGAAACCCAAGTAAAGCCTCGACAAATGGCAATGAATGACCACGAGCACTCGATAGCGGCGGACATGTCAGGATGAAATCTACTACGGCCTATGAAGCAGAGCTCTCGCCATGAACTGGGAGCCTCCGCGCAGTTGTCATGAGACTACGTGGAGATATAATGCGGGGGATTTTTTTGGGGGGGAGGGGATAGTAATAAGACGCAGTACCCAGGACGGATGCGTGCATGCGAGTGGCGTATTTGGGCGGCCCGCTAATGACAGCGGTGGGCCGATCTAGGACACTCACCCAACGGTTGTGAGATTGATGACGAGGGGGTGCGACCATGTTCAGCAATTCAAGTCAAGTGCTCGAGAGTGCCGTGGGTTTAGTTACAAAGCTATCTAGCCCTGTATCCATTGAGCAGAGGTGACCGATGTTGTGTAAAGCATGGCAATCAAGCCTACGATCATGATTGTCAGATCCAAAGTCTTTGCCCACGGCGATTCCGCAACACCCCTATAATGTAGATACGCCGGGTAAATGTATACAAGTGGCACACATGCAAAACTTCCAATTAAGGCGACAAACTTGTCCAAATCACTGGCACCGACCATGCTGATGACGACACAAAGACCCATTACCAGGGTCCGAGCCGCATTCTTCTGCCACTTGATGGCAATGCTCTTCTTGCCGGTAGCCCTCTCCCCAAATAAAGACGTTTCGATGATGCGTACGGCTGGAAACAACTGAACAGGTTCGCCTGCTAGGACGGCGAGAGAGTAAAGAAATTGCACCGCATTGACTATCACTGCGTCCTGCGGAAAATTTGAAATGACCTGAATCTTCGTGTCTTCGCCGAAAGTAGCATAGCAAAGGGCACCAACCGATGTGAAAACGATTGTAATGAGCAGCATCACAAAGTAAAGAAGTCCACCGAACTGTTCCGGTTTCTTCATGCTAGACTGAATAGGCAGGATGAGACCTATACCCTCGAAAGTGAAGATGGCAGAGCCTATAGTCAATGTGAAGGCCGAAGGATTGAACAGTTGTACAGTGGGTGCCATTCCGTGTGTTGCTAAAGTCCGTATATCGAATTGCCAGATGTATACGAGGCCAACAAGAATAAAGACGTCAGCAAGCAAGGCGACAGGCCCTAACTTGGAGATTTTTCGGATTAGGGCCAGTGGTACAAGAGGTAGAAGCTGCAACGCAATCAAACTTGGTACCCCAATATCAACATGAGTTACGGCATTCAGGAACGAATATAGGTTTTCTGCAGTAAAGATCAGTCCGGTACAGACAAATCCAAGCTGAGATAACGCAATCGAGCCGAGAATTAGATTGCGGAACTTGGGACCAACAATGGACACTCCCAGTTCGCCATAGCCGCCGCCATATCTGTGCCGACAGTCAAGCAGGAGGCGAAAGCACAGGCAGTTGATCAGTGAAACAACCACCAGCGTCAAGGACGAGAAGAGAATACCGCCATTACGAAATGCTTTGGGAAGAAACATAATGCCGGTCCCAATGAAGGCTTTGAGAAGGGTGAAGAATGTCTTGACGGTGCTAGCGTCACCTTCGCGTGCCAGCCGCCTGGAGCTCCTGCGTCGTCTGAATGCAGCTGGTCGGGTAATAATGAGTGGTCGGCGTTCGTTTGGCTCGTCTATGTCATGGTCGTCAATCGCAGACTCGTCGTCCTCCGATGTGTCCTCGTCTTCTAGATCTTCGCCGGCAAAGCTGCCATATAGGTCCAAGAATTCGACAAAATTCTTCGCAAGGATGAGAGTGCCACTGAATCTCCGACGGTGCCTGCCATGATGTGCATGTTCGTCAGCCGGGCTCAAGCCAGGCGACGGCTGATGTGAGAATGTCGCAGCTCGCCGCAGTGAGTTCGCCTGGGCTTTAATCTTAAAAATGTCGCGGTGTATATCTCCACCTTGTAGTTTCAGAGACGATTCGAGGGTCTCTACCGACAAGTCACCGTGGTTGGTTGATGACGATTCGGTGATGTCGCCGGTTCTGGCATGATCAACTGGGGTTTCTTCCACACGTCCACCACTCGTGTTTACTGAGGGCTGCAACGATAAGCTCACTTCTGGGTCAGCGGAGTAGCCTTCTGGGAGAGATATGTCGAGGATAGAGCCGTGCTGTAAGCTATTCGGAGTCGCGTCATTCTCGTCCATGGCTGAGCTTGTCGGAAGGAGGAGGGAGGAGGGAGATTGAGTGATGACAGAAGAAAAAGAAAAAGGGTTTTTTATCTTTCTTTTGTCTATCCCCCTTTTTTTTGCTGCATAAAAAAAATAATAATAGAGCCTTTAAAAACTTTTTGTTATTATTTTTTTTGTTAGCTTTTCCTCAATGTCTATATTTTTTAGTAGCATCTCCCCCAGTTTATTGAAGAAAAGCCCTCAGCTATACGTTTAATTTAAAAAAAAAAAGCCTACATAGGGAGCCCAAAAACGTCTAGACTATTATTTCCTTAATTTCTCTTTTTTCTTGTAGCATCCCCCCAGTTTATTTAAAAAAAGCCCTTAGCTATACATTCAGTTCCAAAAAAAGCATCCCCCTAGTTTATTTAAAAAAAAGTCTACCTAGAGACCCTAAAAACGTCTATATTTTTTTTTTTAAAAAAAGACCTAGCTCTCTAAGAGCCCTTAAAGAAAACCAAAAAAAAAAACTATCAAGCAAGGCAAAAAGAAACATTTTTAATTGAATTCTCTCTGAAAAAAAAAAAACCTTTACAAGACCCGCAAAAGCTCCGCTTGATTTTTTTTCTGAGGCGACCGATTTGAGGACCGAATGATTCACGGATTTCTAAGTACGTTTTACGTGGAGAGCACATTTATTGCGTGGCTAGGTTAGTCATATCCATCCACCATGCAAACACCGCTAGTGTGGCGGTCGTCCTCACCTGCTACATACTATCTTGGCCGTAAGTTGTGCGTGGCATTGCTTTTTTTTACCTTAACTTGTTCACATTTGCAGACATACTTCCCTTTGATATCGACATATCTAAATATCCAAGTTCCGAGCCGTTATCCTACGAGGAGGATCAAGGCGCCTTTATTGTCGAGATGGATGACAAGAAGAACGAGGATTTCGTTGTGCAAGTATCCGATGAAGGCTTCGATGGAGATGAAAAGGTAGCTTTGAGGGCCAAGGCCGCTATATCAAAACCTCGTGAACAAAACGAAATCAATCAGTCGTTGTCAAAGTTGGACAACAGTCCTTTGCTCTCGGTCGTGGCATATTGCTTCTCTTCTATCAGCATGACTGTTGTAAACAAGTATGTGGTATCAGGAGCGTTTTGGAACCTGAACTTCTTTTATCTTGCCATCCAGGTACCTATTGTCGCCACCCTTTTGCTTTTCTCGACAAACTGTCTCTACAAGGTTTGGGGGAAAAGCCCGAGATATTATATGGAGTACTAACAACGTATAGGCGGTTGTCTGTATCGCAGCTATTTCGGCCTGCAAGTCTTTTGGTCTTATTCGAAATCTCGCATCCTTCGACAAGAACCGGGCTAGAAAGTGTTGGTGATTTCGTCCTTCTAATATCCGTCGGGTTGGCTACGTCTATGAGACTGATACACTAGTTTGATGAGCAGGGTTTCCGATCTCGCTTCTGCTCGTCGGGATGATCTATACTAGCACCAAAGCCTTGCAGTTTCTTTCGGTTCCGGTGTATACGATATTCAAGAATTTGACTATCATTGTCATCGCCTATGGCGAAGTTTTGTGGTTTGGCGGCAGCGTGACACCGCTTGCCCTGCTATCGTTCGGGCTTATGGTTCTCAGTTCCGTGGTAGCTGCTTGGGCAGATATTCAAAGTGCAATCGCTGGGGACTTTGGATTTACCGACGCCTCAGCAGCCATATCTACTCTGAACGCCGGGTACGCATGGATGGGGCTGAATGTCTTTTGCACCGCATCGTATGTTCTGGGTATGCGCAAAGTGATCAAGAAGATGAACTTTAAAGACTGGGATAGTAAGTGTCTCCCTCTTCCCTTAGAGGCTGGCGGCCTGAGGACGGAGGACGGAGGACAAAGAGTTGATCCAGCAAATTCAATCACAAAAAAAAGGAAGAAGCAAACTGACAATTGTCGAAAAAAGCTATGTACTACAATAACTTGTTGACGATTCCCGTCCTCTTCATATGTTCGCTGCTGGCAGAAGATTGGTCGGGCACTAACTTCGCCAAAAACTTCCCTGACGAGTCGCGTAACCGGATAATTATCGGCATGGTTTACTCTGGATTAGCGGCAATATTTATTTCGTACTGCTCTGCGTGGTGCATTCGAATCACATCCTCCACTACTTACTCCATGGTGGGAGCCCTCAACAAGCTGCCTATTGCCATCAGTGGGTTAGTCTTCTTTGCGGCCCCAGTCACATTCGGTAGTGTATCGGCCATTGCCATTGGATTCGTCAGTGGCATCGTCTATGCGTGGGCTAGAGTGCGGCAATCAAGCGATGCAAAAGACTCCCTACCAATTAGCCGGCCACCCATCAGCGCCAGTTCCCAGAGCAGCCGCGACGCGGCAAATTCTTAACATTGCAGTTTGGATTTCTCAGCCTGTGCGTACGTTCAGTAGAGTTGGGAGCGAGGGATAATTATTCTTCTGTACAATACAATGTATTTTTTGATGCTAGTTTGGATTGAATGTTTGTTTGTTTGGCCGTATTATAAATGCGGTCCCTCATCTGGCATCCTTGTGAGATCGTTTTGGGAAATTGGAAGCACATCGGACGTCATTCTACGTTAAGAGGATGTCCGTCATCTTTATGTTACGACGTCGATATGTACGCTGTTTTTTGGGGACCGGGTTTTACTTACCAAGTAGGTACGGTACTCCGTACGCAAAGGGTTTGAATCCCATCTCACTTAGTACCTAGGTACTTAAGTAGTCTGCGAGTGGGTATAAAAAGCCCTTGACACTGTGCTACTACCCAAAAAAAAAGAGACCCCACCCACACACAGCTTGAGTGCTCCAATGTCATTCTTCTGCCCTTTGTGGTATTAGGTTGCCCACCTTGTTCCTTCCAACATACGTCTTTTGACCTCGCTCGTCAGAGTCTTTGTGGATCGCACGTTACGAGCTGGTTCAATATTTCGCTGCTGAGTGCTGATTTCTGAGAGATTGCCTTGCGCGATGTGTCATTGAAGAAGTCCAAGGAAATCTCCCTCTCTAATTCAGTGTCAACTTGTTGTACCAGCGTGTTTGGACAGGATGTTACACTTTATACATCATCGTACGCTCTCCGCAATATCATATCGTTCACTGATCCCTTATACTGATTCAAAAATACGCTGTCAGCCTTTGAAGTGGCTTCAAAGAATCTCGGAGCATCGCCAGACGAACGTGAGCCATCTTCCCACCGCCACCGTCGCCACACCAGAGTCTTTTCCTGACCCTAATTCGGAGCAGTTAAACTCATATTTTCCTTCATAATTTCGTATCCTCTGGCGGGACTCCTCAAGCGTGTTCCTGATGCAATGCCGTATCGCAAGAATTTGTTCATAATAGGGTAGTATTTTGGCCGCTGTTTGCGTCTGATGCTCTCCAAACTCGACTGATCCGCTGAACTAATGTTCTTACGTTCCAGGACGTCAATTTTTTATTTGGTAGGCCTCTTCAATCTTTGGCATGGCCTAACAACCTTAGCTTTGAGTGCAGGCTGTGTGTATCTCATTGCCAAATACTTGAAGAAAAGCCATTACATGCCATGGGTTGGCTTCATGTTCGTCATGGGCCACATGTCGATCAGTCATATCCGACGCCAAGCCGCGGATAGCCCTTCTACGGTTGACATCACCGGCGCGCAAATGGTCTTGGTGATGAAATTGAGCGCCTTCTGCTGGAATGTTGCTGATGGCCAGCTCCCCGACGAACTTTTATCGGACTGTCAGAAAGATCGAGCACTGCGGGAGCTCCCAAGCATCCTAGACTACGCAGGATACATTTTATTCTTCCCCTCCCTCTTCGCTGGGCCAGCCTTTGATTATGTTGACTATCGGCGATGGATCGACACGTCGATGTTTGATATGCCGCCCAATCTCGACCCGTCGAAGAAGCCTCCTTCTAGAAAGAAAAGAAGAATTCCCCGCAGCGGCACTCCGGCCACCTTCAAGGCTCTGCTCGGACTCTTATGGCTTAGCTTGTTCGTTGTTTTGTCTGCGAGCTATGGCCATGAGCAGCTGCTTGTGGACACTTATATGCATCATGCTCTCTGGCGCCGAATTTGGATCATGTACATGGTCAACTTGGTAACTAGGTTGAAATACTATGGAGTTTGGACGTTGACTGAAGGTTCCTGTATTCTTGCTGGACTAGGATATAATGGAGTTGATCCTGTTACTGGCAAGGTGTTCTGGAATCGTCTGCAAAACGTTGATCCTTGGACAGTTGAGACCGCACAAAATCCTCGGGGCTATTTAGCTGGGTGGAATATGAACACAAATAGCTGGCTCCGGAATTACGTGTATCTTCGGGTCACGCCCAGGGGGCAGAAGCCTGGATTTCGGGCTAGCATGATGACATTTGTGACCAGTGCTTTTTGGCATGGATTTTATCCCGGTTACTACTTAACCTTTGTCCTTGCCAGCCTCATTCAAACAGCTGCTAAGAGTAAGTGACCACGGTACCCATGCCAGGCAATTCTTATTTGAGCTAGATGGCCTCTGCCTCCCCGTATGAAAATCACGAAGTTCGGTACTAAAATATGCAACAGATTTCCGACGCCTAGTCCGCCCGTTCTTCCTTGATGCCATTACCGGTGGTCCGTCTCCGAAGAAGAAGTACTACGATGCCGCCAGCTTTATTGTAACGCAGCTCACTTTTTCATTTGCAACGACGCCGTTCATCGTTCTCAATTTCGCAGATTCTTACCGCGCGTGGTCTCGTGTTTACTTCTACGGCGCGGTCTGGACTATAACATGCCTCATATTTTTCGCCTCGCCAGGCAAGACGGTATTGAAAGAAAGGCTAGAGAAGCGCCAGGGTAGGGCAAGTGCGAAATTATCTCGATCACTCAGTAACGATAGTCTTACCGGCAAAGAACCCATCCTGGGAATATCGAAAGATCCTGAGCGTGATGTCACAGAGGCTGTGGCAGAATTTAGGGCCGAGGTGGAAGCACGACAGAAGAAGGCATCTTAATATTTTGTACGGACGTCCATACATGACAACTTAGAATTGGCTCTAACACGAGCTTATTTTTTCTATTGTACATTCTGTTTCGTGCAAATAAGAAAAGCTTACGTGAACTGCGTGAGCTGCGTGAGCGTCCCCGGCGTATCTATTCTTCGTTTCCATCCTCTGTGTTACTCCAAAGACGTTACACCATGGTCGTCGGTTGAGTGTCGCGTTAAAATCATGCAAGTCATATCCTGTACAAGGCGTATCCTCCGCTCATCGTTCAAAAATCCAAATTCGTAATACATAAGTACCTAGCCCAGGAAAAGAGGTCATCGGGATAGGCAGACAAGAAATCAATAAAGTGGTATAGAGACGGTATGTGTGCCCGGAAATGAGAAAACTACGCCACGAATCCAGGAAGGACTCAGAGAAAGTCGAGTACACGCGTGGCAGCAGAGCTAATGGCGAGCTAGCCGCTACTAGGACTTCCGCTGTCGTTGTTGTGTACTGGCAACGATGAGGGCAACGACAGCTCCAACCAACAGTAGGCCGATGACGGACATATATCGATTGAAGTTCCTCCACCATTTGACCTTGCTGTAGCAGTTGGCGCTGTCTTGGCCCGGTTCGGAACCATTTTCCCCCTGCTCCAAGTCTAGATGACCCGTGCCACGATTTTTACCCTTCATACCAACCTCGGTTATTGGTGGTAGGGGAAGAAACGATGCAATCATCCAAGCTGGAACCAAGGTTAGCCGTGATTTAACCACTTAAAGGACGAGACTATTCCTACTGAAAGGACAAACAAAACCCAAGATGAACAGTACTACTTGAATGTTACTCCGTCGGAAATTGTGTGCTTCTTTAATCCAAACTGTAGATGGTGGTCGCCAGAGGCTGTATCTTGGTGATCTTCTGTCCCGCCTCAAATGTGGCGACCAAATGCTAGATGTCTTCTGCTTAATAGGGTAGGCTATATTAAACGGAGGATTAAGCAAAAACCCGTCCGATACTGACCGTGATGCTGACTGAGCTTCACATGACGCCGGAGGCAATGGAGGAGATGCAGGCTGATGAGGGAGTCGGGTCACCGGCTTGAAGCGTTCTGCGCTTGGAGAGCGGCTGAGAAATGGGCTATTGCGTACACTGGCGCTGAATTCTGAACGTAGGGAATCCGATGAGTGTTGTATAGTCAGAAGACGACGCTCACCGCTACCGTAATAGAGCCTGCCATACGTTAGCGGATCAATGAGGGCCAAACCAGGGCAGAAACCTGGCTTCCGCAATGCCGACTAACCTTGCCCAAGCAGGTATATAAGAATGACTGAAACTATTGCTTCGAGAACCACCAGAAGAACGAAGATTCCACTCGGAGGGAAAATTCGGCAGGTAGCTGTGAAGCCTTGTTCGAGATGGGCGTCGCTGAAGCTCTTCCAGTTCAGCAAGCCCGTCTCCGTGCTCGTCTTGGTTTCGGATTAGTCGCAAGCTGCTACTATTGACATCCCGATTCAAGACCCTATAACTAGCAGGATGCGGAAGATCCACGCGTGTTTCAACATTAAGTTGGCCATCTCTGCGTGGCAGACCTGGCGTACTTGGGTCGAGGGAATAGCTATTGGAGCGGTGGTCGCCAGCCGTGGTGTGAGACAATGTCAATGACGGCACGGCACTCCCCCTATCGCTCTCAGATAGCACAGGAGATAGAGTGGTAAACCATTGATGATTGTGCACTAAGTTCAGGTGGCGATTGGCAGGTTTGATAGAACTATTCCGTCGAGTTGAGATATTCCGGAAACCACCGCCGTGCGGTGTAATCACAGAACTGCCAGCGAACAATGAAAGAGCGGCTTCTTCAACGAAAGCACTAGAGATTGAGGTGAGAGATACCGATCGAACAGAGTCTCTGGACTCCTGACGACATATAGTAACCTGATCAGAGAAGGATCGTTTCTTGGGTCTCAGCGGTGCCACGACTAGACTTTCTCTTGAATACTCCGTCTTCAACACTGAACTGGAGGACACCGCCGCCCGGGGGGGTGACGAAAATTCTTCGTGTAATACGTAATTTCCGTCGCTGTCTACAGTATCTGAACGTGAGCGGTTTCTCAGAGATTCTTCAGAACAGGATTCGCCGATGATATCGAAATTACAGTTGCTTGATGAAAGATTCGTGTAATTTACGTTCCAGTCGTCAGCTGCCTCAATACGTCGGCCTGTGCCGCCACAGGGTGACTCGCTGACAAACGTCTTGTAATTGGACCTCTCTGACAACGTGGAGATTGACTCTGAAGAAAGTGAAGACTTTTTCAAAGCCAAGATGCCCGGCCGCACAAAACCGCTGGCTTCTGTATGTGACTCGGCAAACTCTGCTTGCAGATTTCGTCCTGCTGAGAGCGAAGAAGACATGGACAACGCGTTGGACTTGCTGCCTTCCTCACTGTTTGGGACTTTTCGCACACCCCCAACCAGAGCATATTCCCGGGTTGAGGCAAGGGCAATGCTGGCAGGTAATAGCGTTGAGCAAGACGAGGATGGCGGTCGAGGAAGTTCTTGAGTAAGAGGAGAGCTTGGTTGATCGTCAACGAAAGTTTCGGAAACCGTCCTATCCGCCGACGAGCTTGGGGCTGTAGATGACCGGCGGGGAGATCGCAGCCCCTCGGTCGTGGAGACGGAAGAACAGGATTGCGGTATAAGAGAGAAGGTTTTGTCAGAATTAACAGCAATGATCCTTCTAGGAGAGCGATGGGACGGCGAAGGAGATGCTATAGACCAGTTCTCAACCTGATCAGCTTGATCAATTGAATCGGTGGTTTCGATTGCGAAGTCCATGAGCGGTTCATGAGCAGTCGAGTCCCGATGTTGGGATTCAGCTAACAAGCCTGAACTACCACCAATATCATGCTTCGGCTGATTTTCTTCGTCCTGATAGGAAGCCAGAGGAGGCTGCTTGGGCGAGCGTTCGGCATAGGACACCGAACGAGAGGGTGTCGAGACATCCGAGCCGATCTTTGGCGGACTGTAAGGCACAACACGGATCTGCAATCGGGGAGAGTCGACGGCCGTTGGCTGATTTCCAAACCTCCCGTTCCGTGAAATGGGCCGGAGCCTCGCCATGCTAAGTACTAGAGGCCGTTTCCCCCAAGGTAATCCGATCCCATACCTACAACTCCAGTGACTAAGATGGGCGGAGGCAGAGACGTTTTTGGTGTTCAACAAAAGGACAATCCGGAAAAGGCTGTAACCAAACGAGCGAATATGTTCACACACAGAGGGACTCGATCGTCTTCAACGCTATCGGCAGTCAAGTGGAGATCACGTTAACGGCGATTTCAAAGTTCGAGTTGATGATGATTTGATCCAAGTGCTGTGTAGTTCGACATTAGGTCAATGGGCCTAGAGTCTTTAATTCTCGGGTATGCAATGTCCTCGTATGTGTGGCGATATGACCAAAAGAACTTTGGGCAGAGAGAACGATTAGACGGGACCATAAAGACCAGGTTTATTACCGAAGAGTTGTTGGTAACTAGAAAATAAATAAATAAAAAATAATGTTGATAATAATGACAATAATAATAATAATCCGGGAGTGCGGCTGGCACAAATGAACGTACGAAACGAAAGACGTTGGGTATAGGAAAGACGACGAAGGAGCGTCAGATCAAGGGCTAACGAAACTGAGCTTAAAACGGAGAAAGAGAAAGAAAGTCGACAGCTCGGCGCGAGAGAAGGTCGGTTAAGTGGATAGTTACCTAAGTACATCAACTGGTTTGGTGCAAAGCAGGCCAATTGGTTGCAAATGCGACGACACGATAGTGTCTCCCCATCAGCGTGCAGTTGCATGTCGGATCGCGTCTCAGCGCCAACATCCTACAGCTCACATTTCAACGGTACGGTTAACGGCCACCCTTGTCCTGGGTTCTGAATGGAGAACGTAACCAGACCAGACGTCAGTCCAAAGTCAATTTTCTTTCCCTGCCTGGGGTTAAACGCTGACCGCCACAAGGAAGAACAGACAAAATGGGCCAGACTAACAAGCCGTGGCGGGTCTGCTGCAAGCTTCGTGAAGCCGTTTGTGAATGATCGAAGTGCGTAAGTGGGTGTAGTTTAATGACCTCATGCAAGACGCCCCGTCCTGCAGAGCCGCCAGGAGACGGCTGCATGAGGAAATTGCGTTCTGACGTGGACACAACCGTCAAAATGAACCCAATGAGTACTCCGTACTTGATTATGCTGTGGGGTACTGAGTCCGTTCTCGTTGAGCTCTATACTCTATATCGAGTCAACGTCGGGGACGCCCAGAAGCACGCCCCTTTCATTCATTCTTTCCCTTATTTTTTCCGGTCTGGAAGATGAATACGGAGCAACTGCTCGTATTCATTCAGCAAGCATCACCTGAAAAACCTCGCCGTGTGCTTTGTGAACGGGATATCTCTGCTGATGACATGAGGCACCTGGGGAGCAAGGGAGTACATTCATTACGTGTCACATTGTACTACTCCGTACTTAAGTAGGTAGGTACTAGGCCCCTAACGCAGCACCGCCCGCTTCTTTGCGCCGTAAATTAGTAAGAAAGGGGACACGCTAATGGGTCCGTGGCGCACCGGCAGCCCTAGTATGGTTGGTATTTTTGTTCTAGTACTCCGTACTCTATATTATCATATGCACACGGAGTACTTAAGTACATTTGAATAGCGGTACAAGCAAGTTTATACAACACGTTAAAACAGGGTTGACTGGTATGCGGGCATACCTACTTAAGTACTTACCAGGCTGTGGCTAAGACAGGGCACGCGGCGGCGCGGCCACAGCTGGACGAGAGTATTATGTACAATTCTCTGTGACCAACTGCTACGTGCCTAGGTCTAGGTATGTTCGGAGTATGTAGGAGCTGTTTGAGCTTCCAGGTCCTCCCTTCCAACACATGGCAGCAAAAACGAGGTCCATCGCAGCCCCTGCTCAATTCCACATTGTTGGCGCTCGGATCCGATCACAAATTGATGGTGCTTGCGAATCAACAGACCCACCACCTAGTGAGTACGTTCTTTGAGCCGCTAGTACACTTCAATCTCGAGCAACAAATCTCCTGTCAGACCAACGTTTCCAAATACTACACTCACACTCCAATCAGATGTTCATTAGACGCGCGCAACCAGGCACATTTCCAGAGCTGGCTTTAGACTTAGCCGCCAACACCCAGAAGCATTCACGTGTAATAGGATATGTCAAGCTTGACCTCTGGTCGAATCCGTCGCAAACATGAGCCTTCAGCCACCAAGTCTTGCTTCGAGCCAGCCCCTCCTTCGTCAGTCGCAGGCCTTCAGTCTCTTAGTGAGTTTTCCCAGTCGCAGGTGTTGTCGAGAGCAAGCTATAAGGTCTGTGTTCGAGATACTATCTCTAAGGCCTTCTCATTGCCTGCTGCTACTTGATACCGAAGCCAGTTGCACCTCGGAAAGCTGACGACAAGCCTTATGGTGGCATTTTCAAGGTTGTATACTGCCTCGTATATGTACTCCCTTTACACTTATCGGCGTCGACGAGGGCCACAGTTGGTCGGTCCAGAGACGCGCCTGAAGCAATACGTGCGAGGATCCGCTCGGTATCGTTTTCGACCGCCGTATGCTCACTCGCGACCCTCATCTTCCTCGGTAGAGTCTCATCTGCGGACCAGTTTTCATCGTGGCATGTCATGGGATACTGGCCACTGGGCGTCATAAACACGTTCAAGTCTTTACTTCTGACTACTTTGTTGTTTTCTGGGCCCCTGTATGAGTATCTACTTATTGATGGCGCATGGCAGTCATGGTTGCGATTAGAACCCTTGAGTCAGCTATGGGGAGACTGGGCCATGTGGAGGAACATGGTAGCCGTATGATTTCTACGTCCACCAACGTTTGCATTCGACACGTGGCAGAGACTTACACACATAAGCAGGGTCCCATTACTGAGGAATGCCTTTTCCGCTCCGCCACCGTGCCTCTACTCTTGGTAGCTGGTTGTAGCATCAAGCGCATCATATTACTTTCGCCGCTCGTCTTTGGGCTTGCGCACCTCCACCACTTCTACGAGTTCCGCATCACGCATCCTGAAACGCCTCTTGTCGCCGCAATTGCCCGCTCCGTTCTCCAGCTGTCATACACCAGTGCATTTGGGGCCTATGCTACATTTCTCTTCCTGCGTACCGGATCCCTGCTGTCTGTCGTTGCTGTCCATATTCTATGTAACTCGATGGGCCTTCCTCGTGTTTGGGGTATTTTGGAGCCCTATTGGCTTCCAGATAATGAGCTCTCCCAACCCAGCAACGTGTTGAAGTGGACAGTCCCATATTACGTGTTGCTTATAGGGGGCTTCACTTTGTGGTGGCAAAATATTTCTTCATTAACAATTTCGAAAATGGCTCTCGCCACGATTTAGAGGCAATGTACCAAAGCCTGCTGAATTGCTGATGGAGCCCAACCGACGAAGCCATACCGTTTGTTCAGGCAACTACCTTTTGTACCACAACCTTGAGCATTGGTATGCGCCACATGCGATGATCTACGATGATGGTAGGTGATATGCTTTAGGGAGGGTTCTTTATGGAACAAAATTTCTTGGACATTTTTCAACATCAGCCGCCGGGCTATAATCTAACCTCTGTACACGTAATACAGAAACGCTAGGTGCTGTGCGACGCACCCGATATATCAAGCATGTCGGTATCTCTTGCAAAGTTGCGCTGTCTCAGCGATGCCATGTCCCATTCTCTGGCCTCCACAGGCGTTTCTTTCCGCCATGACATCTCGTCTCGAACATCACGACCAATCTCTTTCCCTTTAGACCGACCGACCGACAAGCCTCCGTCCACAACTGCATCGTCAGGTCCTCGAGTGTTCTTTTTCCTTGGCCACATGCTTGGGAGCGCTATCTCTTGGAAGCGGGGTTCCACTGCACGCTCATCAAACCACCTGTGCAACCGAGCTTCGACTAGCTGGGCAATCTTAGGTACATCTTGTAATCTCGACCTGCTTCCAAGCAAGCTGCGGATGGAAAAATCCAATCGGTAGTCATCTAGAAAACTAAAGGTCATCATTGTCGGTGTCGATTGTGACGGATTGCTAGGAATAAAAGAAATGGATAGAGTCCCGCTAAATCGAACAACGGAGACGGCTAGCGCAACAGGGAGGACAGCAGATAACTTCTTGGGGTAGTTGAGAAGAAGTTTCGTTTCGACAGCAAGAGTAAGCATGTCACTCAGATCAACGTCCATGCGAGCTTGAAGTCTCGTTCCGTCTCGTGCAGCAGCTGTAGCGTCAAATTTGATGCCATTCCCTAAAGTAAGGCCGTCTTCATCTATGGGAATAATCCGACAGTTGCTGAAAATGGGAAAATCCTCGCCCAAACTCAATTCAGTGACACGAATGTCATCTATGAGGTCAGGCCGAGACGCGCCGTTTAATGCTTTGGTTAGTGAATTGAGAATAGCGTCATCGTGCTGTGCGTCGCTTCGAAATTGAGCGATTGTCTGGGCAATGAGTACATTGAACCAATCGAGACTTTCTGGCTGGTGGCTGTCGACGTTGTAGTAAGTTTTGCTCAGTATAGATCCTATGGTAAGCGCTGGTGGGTTCCGTAGTACGCTGGATTTCTTGCGCTTCAAATGTTGGCTCTGCCTTTGGCTAGGACTGCGCAAACTGAGAAGGGATTGTTTGTGAGCGAGCGTTCTGGATCGCCGTTCAGTGGCACGTAGTGACGCCGATACATCAGATGAAGGTGGATCGCCGAATATGAAGAATTTAATAAATGCAGCCAGTATCAGAACTACAGACAGCTGCCCGACGACGAGTCCCTGTGTGAATGAAAGCCTGACATGAAGTATTCAGTTGATTCCCTTGGACAGTGTTGCAGAGCGAGGTTCGCGCTTACGTCGGTTCTGACCTCAGTGGGCATTCATCTAGAGCCATGTCTCCAAGATGCTGACTGATGCGCCGCTACTGGCAGGTTGAATTGTGACGAAAAAAGAAGGACTGCGGCTTTGTTCTCATGACAATACTGGACAATTGCCCCTTCGACTATTTGAAAGTTCACCTGAAATCCAATTTGAGCCTGCCCTGTTGCTAGCGCCCCGTGCCCGGAAAATATGTGCATAGCGGGTCGTTGTGTGTGGTATGCACCTACCCGAGTGGTCTTACCGAGATCCCTGGTGGCTCGGTAGTACTTATGGTGAATGCGTTACTGACTGCGCCCTAGGAACCATTCACGGATCGGAGCCAACTGCATCTTATTAAATACACCGCCCTATCCGGCCTTCTCTTTATATGAGCGGCTTGGCCTTGATCTCGTACTTTAAGGTTTGCCTGCACAGCCAGTACCCATCGACTTCGAATCCAACTGATCTACCATCTGAAGAGAGCTGCAATAATCAGAGACGCCGGTCAATACTGAGGCGTCCTCACTTTCTCGCCAAAAATGGATGTCTCCCAGGCGGTAGCTTGCTACATTTCAAATATCATTATGCCCCCTGGAGACAACACTTCAGCCAAAATGAAAATATTGCTGTTGGACAGGGAAACCGTGTCTATTGTTTCAACAGTCGTTACTCAATCGTCATTACTCAATTACGAGGTATATCTCGTTGATCGCTTGGACAACACCGCCCGCGAGAAAATGCGCCATCTTCGATGCCTGTGCCTCCTCCGTCCATCATCTGAAAGTATTCAACTTCTGATAGATGAGCTACGCGATCCTAATTATGGGGAATATTATCTGTACTTCACCAACGTAGCAAAAAAATCGTCCCTCGAGCGACTTGCTGAGGCAGACGATCATGAGGTAGTGAAAACCGTTCAGGAACACTTCGCCGACTATACCGTCATCAACTCAGATTTGTTCTCCCTATCGATGTCCCTCCCGCAGAGGCGTATATGGGGACCAAATCCCGACACTTGGAATGCAGATTCTCTTCAGAGATGTTCCGAGGGGTTGCTCGCAGTGTTATTGTCTCTGAAGAAAAAGCCGCTCATAAGGTATGAGAGAAGCAGCCCTCTGGCCAAGAAACTGGCATCAGAAGTGTGCTATCTCATGTCCCAGGAAGAACAACTTTTTGAGTTTCGAAAAGTTGACACGCCTCCCATCCTCCTTGTTCTTGACAGACGAGAGGATCCCGTGACACCATTACTCACGCAGTGGACATACCAAGCCATGGTTCACCACCTTTTGGGTATTCACAACGGTCGAGTTGACCTCAGCAACGTCCCGGACATACGGCCGGAGCTGATGGAAATTGTCTTGTCTCAAGATCAAGATCCGTTCTTCAAGAAAAATATGTTCCTCAATTTTGGCGATCTAGGTTCGACAATAAAGGACTATGTTGAGCAGTATCAGTCTAAGACGAAGAATAATGCCAATATCGAGTCAATATCTGACATGAAGCGATTCATTGAGGAATATCCCGAGTTTCGTAAGCTCTCGGGCAACGTTAGCAAGCATGTAACCTTAGTGTCAGAGCTAAGTCGACTGGTATCGGCTCAAAAATTGTTGGAGGTGAGCGAGGTTGAGCAAAGCCTTGCGTGCAACGACAACCATAATACGGATCTAAAGGTCAGGACCGACTTCCAAGTTATTGTGGCAGTTTACTAAATGCATCATCAGAATATTCAAAACCTCATCCAAATCCAAGGCATCAGTCCTAATGCCAAAGTTGGGCTGGTAGCGCTTTATGCTTTGCGCTATCACAAACAGCCATCGAATGCAATTCCTATGCTGGTAGATCTTCTGGTTGCAGCTGGCGGTGTTTCACCAGCGCAGTCGAGCTTAGTTAACAAGATCCTCGCTTACCATCTTTCTCTGCACACATCTCCGTCTCAAGGCGGGATATCCGACATATTTGACTCTGCCGGGATCTTCTCGGGTGCTTCAAGCAGATTTAGGCTGAAAGGGGTGGAAAACGTGTATACGCAGCATACATCTCTTCTGGAAAGCACACTGCAGAATCTAATCAAAGGTCGCTTGAGGGAACAGCAATATCCCTTTGTGGAAGGAAGAGGGTCAACACGAGACAAGCCACAGGATATCATTGTCTTTATCGTGGGCGGCGCAACATATGAGGAGGCTAAGATGATCACCAGTATAAATGCAACAACGCCTGGGGTGCGGGTGGTGCTGGGCGGCACTTCTATCGTTAATGCCGCCACTTTTTTTAAACAAGTCGAGGATGCCGTCAGCTCCTGGCCAGAAGTCACTAGCCGCAGATGACGTGGTCTAGCCTCTGGTAGCGAAGGGATCCCTTGATCATTAAGTAGCAGGCGCAATGGGCTTTACGGGATTGAAATGAGAAAGGTTTCCATATTGTTATAATGTGCGAGGCCTCTCCATGCATGCATCGTCTTTCTCCGGAGTAACGGCTAACATTGAACGTCTTGAAAAGAAACAGCGACCCACAATAAAACACGCCGCATTTATACAACTACGGAAAACCCAAAACTTTGCATTGACACTATGAATATGCCTTCGCCATCAGGATACCCGCCATTAGAGTGACGATGCATCCAACATTCCCAAAGATAAATGAGTATGTCATGACCAGATGACATATATCTTGATCATTCAATGCATGTCGCAGCACGAACAAGATGCCACCGGGCGCTGCGTGGACCCTCCCGTCGCCATTTTGCTGCTCCTGCGAACTCCAAGTTGGTCTCAGCTAGACCCGAAGAACTTTCGACCCTGTCAGCTTGCTAATCTTTTTTGTTAGGCCGTTTGATGTTATCGTCATTGGAGGTGGCCACGCTGGCGCTGAAGCTTGTGCCGCAGCTGCAAGAACAGGGGCGAAAACTGCATTGATCACCCCAAAGATCGATAATATTGGGACTTGCTCATGTAATCCGAGTTTTGGAGGCATAGGGAAAGGAACAATAATACGAGAAATTGATGCTCTCGATGGTCTAGCTGGCAGGATCATTGACAAGGCCGGCATTCAGTTTCACACACTGAATCGCAGCAAGGGACCAGCTGTTTGGGTATGTAAAATCCAAAACTTATTCTTGTCCAGAATTCAAGGCATGAGCTAAGTTGCCGCCTACTGCAGGGACCCCGTGCTCAGATCGATCGAACATTATACAAGCAGTACATGAGAGAGGAACTCGAGTCCTATCCGAATCTCTCAATTGTTCTCGCCAGCGTTTCAGATATTGTGTTATCGGAGCTTGACCCTCCACCAGCACAAGGAACTTCCAAGTCTATCTCTGGAGTGCGATTAGAGTCCGGGCAAGTTTTGCCCACGGACAAAGTCATTATCACCACCGGAACTTTCTTAGGCGGCGAAATACATATTGGTCTCCAGAGCTACCCGGCAGGGCGACTGGGTGAAGCAGCTACATTTGGGTTAAGCAAGTCACTTTGGGCCGCCGGTTTCCAGCTTGGAAGGCTCAAAACCGGTACACCTCCACGGCTAGATCAAAAGACTATTGACTTCAGAGAGCTGGAAGTGCAATATGGGGACGAGCCGCCTACTCCATTCTCTTTTTTGAATGATACAGTGTCAGTCGCGGACCAGCTTACTTGCAGCATCACATACACTACCGACGCAACTCATCGAATTGTGCGTGAAAACCTCCAGAACACCATCCATATTCGAGAGACCATCAAGGGCCCAAGGTACTGCCCATCGTTGGAGTCCAAGGTTCTCCGTTTCCCAGACAAGGAGCGGCACATAGTTTGGCTCGAACCAGAAGGTCTTGATAGTCAAATCGTTTATCCCAATGGATTATCAATGACCATACCACCTGAGGCTCAGAAGCAAGTTTTGCGAACCATCAAGGGCCTCGAGCAGGTAGAAATGCTACAGCCGGGCTACGGCGTGGAGTACGACTACATCGACCCTCGCGGCCTCAAATCCACGCTCGAGACTAGAGCCATCCGCGGTCTATACCTCGCTGGGCAGATCAATGGTACCACGGGATACGAGGAGGCCGCTGGGCAGGGTGTTGTGGCTGGTATTAACGCAGGGCGAGTTGCCCAGGGGTTATCCGAAGTCTCGATATCTAGGTCTGATGGCTATATTGGGATTATGATAGACGATCTCATAACTAAAGGTGTCACAGAACCCTACCGGATGTTTACATCCAGGAGTGAATTCCGCATGGCGGCAAGAGCTGACAATGCAGATTCTCGGCTTACTGAGAAAGGTCGGCAATGGGGTGTCGTCTCTGATTCACGCTGGAGAGCATTTTCAGACGAGCGCCAGAAGATTAACGATCTCACAAAGATACTGGGCTCGGTATCTTTCACATCCGTCCAATGGTCGAAACAAGGTTTTCATCTTCGAAAAAACCCACTGCGCCGAACGGGCATTGACATTCTCCGACTATCAAACACCGGAACTCGAGTTGATCTTGAGCAGCTGAGCACTGCCATTCCGGAAATCCAATCATATGCGACTCGAGTTAGGGACCGTGTGGCCATTGAAGCCGTGTATGCACCATACGTCAAAATGCAAGCTGCTGAACGGGGTCTGTTCACTTATGACGAGAGTGTCCGCCTGCCTTTAGATGTCGACTATGACGCAATACCCGGTCTAGCCTTGTCTGAAAGGGAAGTACTGAAAACAGCCTGCCCAGAAACTCTAGCACAAGCTCGCAGAGTCGAAGGCGTTACCCCCGCAGGTACTGTTAGGCTTCTGGCACACGTACGGCAGCGGTCTGTTAACGACCTGTCACGAACTAGCCAGACTATATTCTGATGAATTCGATAGCAAGTTTGACAGTATCGTATTGTATTTAAATAATTTTGCGTTTCGAAGTGGTGACACCCCGGACTGGGTTACATTGTACACATGGTGATTTTGTTTCCTCAACTTGGCCCGCGGTCTGTACAAACGGGTACGTGAGCGGATCTGTGATGCCACCGCAGCCCTGTGCTGATCTCGAATATTCTAGGCTTCCGTTGGGAGGGGGAGAGCATTCACGATACCTGAACCCTTTTCTCCGGCCAGATAGCATTTGCGCTCGCCATCGACATCCTCTATTTTAATATCCTCACAGCATCCTTGCTGAATATATAGCTGGCACCGCTCCAGACAGTGGTGGCCGCTACAACCCATCTAATCTCTCGTCAGCCTAGCCGAGCAAAACGATATAGGTGAGCTAAGAGCGTTATCAACCAAAACTCACTGCAGGGTTGTCAACACTGATGTCAGATCAGTGTCAAAAAGAGGGGCTGCTGTTGTGAGGCCAACGAGACCAAGCTGCAGGAATGTGTTGCATTTGCTTATTGCTGTAGGGCGAACTTCGGCGGATGGCAGAGAAAAGTCCCAGTATCGACCAAATGTTTTAGGTGGTGGTAGTGAAATCCATCGGTAATATACGGCAGCCATCCCAAGACCTACATCTCTCCCTAAAATAATAGTCGCTACCCACACTATGGCACCAGGCAAAAATTGTTAGCAGGGAGATATTGCTCCGGCGAAATCGGACTGGGATATGGAGGCGGGGATCAGGAAGTAGGCTCCAATATATTTCCAGATATCGACCCGTTTCACTTGTAAGATACGTACGTGGCAGAGCGCCTTTGGCGGCTAAACATATGGTGAGGATGGTCATCAGCGCCTTATCCGCCATGGGATCTATCACTGTTCCAACTACCGTCTTGCGGTTCCATCTGCGAGCAATCCAGCCATCGAGCATGTCCGTGACCCCAGCGTAGGCAAACAATCCCACAGCCCACGCATGAGAGTCATGAAGAACCAGGTATCCTATAAGGGGAGCTGCTATGAGTCTCGTGGTCGTGAGAAAGTTTGGTATCGTGTATATATCCTCGCGAACAGCCTCGTTCGTCGCGGGAGGTGTGTGTTCGATCGAATTGCTCGCTTTCTGCATCGACGATTCCACCTTGGGATGGTCGGCTTTGGACTGTTGGGATTGACTTGAGCGGGAACTACTGCTCTTTCGATCAGTTTCGGGTCCTCGTCAAATTGCCTCATGTCCAAAAGGTAGAGTACCTGTGATATCGAGCGCGATTCTGTCTCCGCGCTTCTTCGGCGATTATACATATACAAGCATTATATGATACTGGTGAAGATCGAGGCAAGACTGTTGGCAAGCGTGAGCCGATTACCCCAGGTACAATGCGTGGTGGACCTTTGCAGCGCGCCCGGCTCGTTGCTCGAGAGAAAAGTGCGAGCATAGTCATGGTGTTTCACTCGCAACCAGTGGCTGCCATTCGGCATAGAGCTTGGTTGCGGTTCCAGTATGGGTTATATCTGGTTCAACAGCTACACTGTTACAATACTCCGTTGGCAGCTTGTGATGCAACTTCAAGTGCCCCCCCACTGGCCCATTGGCGGGTCCCCCTTAATCCGAGCTGCACTACATACTTAAGTACCCTACACGGAGTTGCTATTGACGTTGTGCTGCGCCTTGTGATATGGCATATACAGTGATTTTTACCTCTTTCTCGGAGGAATGCATGCGATGGTGATTTCATTGCGTTTCCTTCGTATTTAATGATTTTATCTACTGATAGGTTATGTAGGACATCCCTCGCGGGCTATCATCTAAGTATTCTGGCAGAGGTCTATTCAAACGTGGGACCCACCCAACCATGGTGTGCAACAGAGTACAGCTCCAAGCGCCGTGAAAACAAACATGGGTTGGAAACCCGTATTGGCAACCGGTCAGTTTTTACCCCATATGCCCAAACACCAACTCAAATAATACAAAACAATCAATCCAGCTAACTCAAGCAGACACCAACACTATTCCACCCGCTGCAAAAATACGAAAACAAGACAAAAATAAAACCAAATTACAGACAGCCAGCGAAACAAGCCGTCAAGTGACGCGCGTCGAGCACCCAGACAGTAACATGTTTCCAAGGTAAAGAGCATGAATCGTGAGACAGGTGTACTGCACGAACCAACGATGTCGGTAGCGAAATGCTGCGTGGAGGTCAATAATCGAGGTTACCGGCTACAAAATCCACAGTAGCCAACGCCATTAGTCATTGGAACCACCAGGCCACTGTTCAGAACCATTATTTGCGCTATTCCCGAAATACTGTAGGTCGCCTTGACTGTCGGCCTGTCCTAGTGCCCAGTCATTCGTAGTGTGGCCCAGGTTGTAGTGCTGGGTCCCAGCTTCTGCGCCGGTTAAAGTATTGGGATCCTGTTTCGTCTGTCGCGGTTGGTTGAAAGCCTGTCCGTCCTGGCCCGGAATTTGGCCGGTTCGCTGGGGAAGATAATATGAACCTTGTCCGACATAGGTGCTGGAGCCCGGGGGAGGTCTGCCTCCCGTAACTGGGCCAAGGTGTAGCGAGGACAGTTCCGGAGGCTGCGTAAGTTCAAATGCCGAATTTCGTCTCGGCGTGTCATGTAGTGACATATTTCGGGGGAATTCGTTGTCCATACCAGTGTTGGCACTGAAGCGAGAGGCCCTGGAAGGGGCCAGGGAATAATTGCCGTGTGACTGTGGAGTGTATGAAATCGAAGATGTGCTGGAGGGTATCGCTGGGGAGATGGATGGCGGAATCGAGGGCGGGCCCGAGGAACCCAACGAGGGCGGCATCGTGGAAGGAAGCGGCTGTGGCATCTGAACTGGCATGGAGGAGTTCATCGTCGCCAGGTACTGATGTTGTGGATGGTATGTGTACGGGACAGACCCGTATGCTCCTGGAACAGGGGAATGGAAGCCCCCAATGGACAAAGCTCGGGGCATATGGGTATGTGAGCCACCAGAGACAGTCGGAGGATTGACGACTGTCGCGATGAGACTTGATGGGCCACCAGCCTCATCGTCCGGACCATACTGTACTTCGTCGATGGGAGCACGGAAATTTTGGGACACGAGGAGTTCGCTTCGAGGTGAGATGCCACTGAAGCCGTAGCTCCTTGAAGGGGTAGTGAGATTCCCAGCAGCCGCATCGTCGACGTTATAGTAGCTGACAAGGTGATGAGGAACGCCATTGTAGTTGATGCTGATAGTCTTTTTGACCAACCCGCCGGGTTTGAAAGGGTACGAGTCAATCAATGATCCGATCAAGGCCCTCTCGGTGTCCTTGATATTGACGCCATCCATGGCAGCTGCTGAACTGAAACCACTCATGTTGAGATGCGAGGTAGAGTCCACCTTTCCGATCCCTCCTGGAGGGCATTTCTTTCTTTTAAGGGCCCGCTTCTTCTCTCCTGGCGGGAACGGCTTCTCTAGCTCACGATATATGAGGAAATTGCCGAGAATACGGCTCGGGCTCCAGGATACACCGTCAGTCCATCGTTTGATCCCTGAAGCGTGCTCTTCATAAATAAAAACATTTCCGCTTTTGATTAGGTCCTGGCGCTCTCGATCATGAGGGCGACGGGGTACGTGAGTGAGCCGGCCAGACAAGCAGGCCTCGAATAAAACCAGTGAATCGAATGTAGAGGCCACAAGGCCTTCAAAAGTAGGACGGAGAGGATTGGATGGATTTGACATGGTCGTGCAAAGGCTTTGCGCCAGGCAAGTTTTAACCTTTGGGAGAGACGGTGATAACCTTGTCTCTGGAAATTGTAGTTCAACCTCCGTGCCAAAAGTATGGTTGCCCTGAGGAGCCCCTGCGGCAGCGAAAACCAAACAGACGATATGTTTGATAGTGATCCCTAGTGTTGTTAGGCGAATATTATGATTTCGCTTCCGACTCAACTTGAAGGGGGGGGCTCCTTCTTGAACAGAGAGGGCGGGAGAGGAGAAGAGACGCTGAGAAAGGAGGCGGATCAAGACGCAAAGTTTGTAAGCGTACCGGTCCTGGAAGAACTAAAGGGAGCAGAAGCTTTCAACCGTGAAAAGAATGCGCGAGAAGAAAGTTGTAAGGCAGGAAGGAGTCGAAGCAGCTGAGAAACAAATGAAGAGCCACATTCAACAGGAGAGATGAAAGAGAGGTCCCGGAAAGAAATGAAGCTGAAGGAGGCAGTCAAGACGGAGCAAAGGCCTCGCGAGCAGCTGTGGCTTGAAGAGGCGTGTGAGGAGGTATTGTTAAGTTTGGAGGGACCTGGTGGACGCAGTGGAGGGCAGCGGATTGACTCTCGAGGTGCGTGCCGTGACAGTGCGCCGTCGTGGTGCCAAATTGTCTAGCCAGTTCTCAAGACGCCTCAATGCCAAGGGCACAGAGGGTTCTCAGTTCGACCAGACTCGATGGGAAGGCGCCAAAGATGCGGGAAGACGGAGGTTGGCGGGGGGGGGTTGGTGTAGGGACAGCTTGGACGAACGAACAAGGACAGAAATGGATGGATACAGACAGGGCGCTGGCCTGAAGGGGATAGGATCGAATATTAAGTTTAATCGAGGCGTAGGGCTGTTTTGCGATTCGACGACACAGGATCTAAAGGTTGACAGGCGAAAACAACACGCACACCTCTGGACCATAATTGTGGTACGTTGGTGCTGCCAGCGGAACTCGAGGCACACTGTGATCTTGTGGCTTGATGAATTTCTCCGCAGCATTGCCAGTATGGGGGGGACGAGAGGGTGTCGATGAGCAATCTATGTTTTGGTGGCGGCCTTTATAGTGAATTAAATTGGCTTGGCTGGCCGCTTGACTCGAGGTAAAAGCTTGCGGTATTCCAAGAAAGCCAATGGGACGCTTGTCGATGAAGGAGCGGATGGACAAATGGCCTGATGATTGGGATGAATTCCCAGGTCAATCGTGCATTCTCTAAACATGGAGTCTTGAAGTCTTGAGAGTCTTGGAGACCGGCCTGGTGTAAGTCGCACCGCACTCGAACTGCGTGCAACCAAGAACCAAGAGGACACGCGGGCGCGCTCGCGCACACACAGGCCACGAAACCCAGCCTTGGATAAGTACTCAAGTAAGTACCCAAGCAGATTATTTCGTAACTACTTTAACAGTACCTACTTAAGATACGACGTGCCCGTGCTGGGTGCCTGTGTAGGTCGCGCCTAGATCGGCCGGTACCAAAAGCAAAGAAAGGATAGTAGGGTAAGTACTCAAGAACTTACGCCATCGACACGAAAAGCGCCGGGGTCGGATCACGTACGGAGCACAGTACACAACATCAAGCTACTTAAGTACGGTGTCGGTAGTACTTAGCCGTCCTGGCCATGAATGAGTGCCGGAAAGGGCGTAGCTGCTCGCGCCCCGAGAGCCGGGTGTGGACATAGTAAAACACTTAAGTACCAAGTCAATTTCCCATGTGCATGCTCCATCCAGCTTGATCTTCTCTGGTCTTGTTGTTTACCAACTTTAACACAACGCAACAGCATCAAGAGCAATGACATAAAGGGAGAGAGGAAGCGAGACCAATGAAGGAAACAGGAGCGTTGGAGCCTTGGAAATCCTGGGCAATGCCATTTCTAACATTTCTATTTTTCATCGTCGCGGAATGAGACTTGGACGGCTACCAATGTCGGTGGCACTCGTATATTCCCCACCCTTCATGACGGCCAGGTATCGGATACTCAATTACGAATCTCCCCCAAGGCGACCATGTAGTGAAGTCCTAATAGAGATGCAATTCGAATTACATATACTGGGACTCTGGGCAAGGAAAAAAGTAGAGTGGGCGAGGCGCGTGCCTATTTCTCAGACAGCCCAGATCCGGTTGAGCGTCCCCGGTAGCATCTTCGGTCGAACAATAGCCGAGGTTTAGTAGGGCATTTGGAAGGCTTTTTGTAGCAAGTCTCTGATCGAAAGCAGAACGATTATAGTCGGCGCGCGACCCGGCTCAAAGTGCCACGTATACGGGGTATTCTTCGGGTTCTTATTTTGTCGTCCTGTTGGTTAAACGATTTGAAGATGTCTAGACATGCTGTGTTACCAATCCCCAGATATCTGAGGGCAAGGCAAACCGCCTAGAAGCTTGTTTCCGTTTCCTTGGGCCTAGCCCTCGCCGCCCATCATCACGGCCAGAGACGGCTGAGCGACTAGTTGAAATCGCTTTCACTTAGTCCAATATCTTTCGTCATGTCGTCCATGGCCGGACGGCGGCAATCAAGAACAAGGCCGGCATGGGAACAGCAGTCACAAGGTGCATTCCTAAAGGTGACGCGGCGCACGACGGCTTTTCTGCCAGCCATGATCCAGCGTCTCGATGCGGCAAAAGAGGACCATTCAATGGAGAATGGCCGATTGCTTTCCCAACCATGAGGCTTAGCATGACTTCTGCACGCAAGCTACTTTTCATAATGTGGCACCAGAAGTGGGGAGAGGGCAGGCGAGCCCGAGAGAACCGGCATCCAACTAGTACGTACTCCGTACAGTCATTGACTTGTCCGGTTGTGGTCCTCCCCTCGCACCGAGAACAGGGAGTAGGATGGATGATGGTGGGTAATCGCCGGCCTGTTGGGGCTGGATTGATCAGATTGGTGTTGCGTAGAGTGGCCGTCCGTCGGTCCAGACGTTTCTTGTCCGAGCCTTTTGTTTTCCCTCCCTTTTTCTTGCACGGATGATCGCTGCTGGGTTCCGACGAGCTCGAGCTCGAGCACCAGTACCCGAAAAGCCCCGTGAACATACCACGGCGCGACAGGTTTCATGGGCTTGGCATTGGCAGTGTTGGGTGCCCCCCCAAAATTGTTTTGCACTGCAAACAGAGCAACTGAGCACTCAAAAGCCGGGGTTTGTCGGTAGCCAGCCGGACACGGACGACGACCAGACCCCTCTTTTGCAGGGGCCAAGGGCCTGGACGCTGCAGAGGAGTGTGTTGCGGCGTTAGGTGGCGCTGGGGCTGGGGTGTGCGGATGTTGTGAGGGGGGATAAGCAAGCCAGTTCGTGGAGTCATGGTGAAGCCTGGAGACGGTTGCTCCATTGTGGGGCTCGGATTTGCGCCGCAGACCGAAGCAGAAGAACAGAGAAGTGCCGGAAGTTATAAGGTTAAAAAAACGCAGCCGCAGCAAAGAATAAAAAAAAGGGAGGAAGAGAGAGCGCGCTCTGGTGGGGACAAGCAAGGACTTGCTTGCCAAGGGCCGGGGAAGACAAGACGGAGAGAACCCATCGCCAGATGGTATTAAGGAGTAAAACTTTTGCTCGCAAAGCCTTGATCCTGACATCCTGGGCGCTGCTTCAACAGCGCATGTTTCCTGCTCTCCACACAGGGGGGGGGGGGGGGGGGTGGTGAGAACAAACACAGCAAGCAGGTTGTACGTAAAGTGCACGAGCAAGGTCATCGTCAGATGCCAACATGGGTAAACTGACGGTGAGTTAAAATGCCGTGTCGGATTAAAAGGTCTCATCAAATTCCCTCATGATAATGTTATTTTGTTCACCTAGGTTCAACTGATCATGCACAGCTAGTTTTCATTTGCAGGGCTTGCCATCGGGGTACGGAACATATTCCCATGTTCGTTGCCTATCATGCCTTTGCGCCAAGGCCTTAAAGACGTGCGGCCCGGAAGCCTAATGGCAAAGTCCTTCCCGATCGACACAGCTAATGATTATACAACATAGATCATTCGATGGCTTTCGTACGATTGACTAGTTTCCTGCCGCCATGCCTCCCTCCCATTTTTGACGCGCCCCCCCGACTAGGCCTGGCCGGGCCGTTCTACACCATTTGAACGAGGAGAGACGAGCTAAATTTATGACAAGAGTGACTCTAGAGCCAACGGGTTGGATCCACAGACCTGGAGTTACATGTAAAAACGACTATGCCAGAGTCAACCTGGATGCATCCAGATACGTCAGGTATTATTCCGCATGCCATTGACTGCCGCAACCCTTACGAGGGCTTGCTATTGCTGCCCTGTTGGTCGAAGACAGTGAGAGCGAGGTACGTGGTCACCGTCCTCCCAGGTAAGCCAAAATTGCCATGTGGCAGCTTGCATATGCTATACGAAGGAGTTCAGCACCAGACATCTACCGCCTACAACCTACTTTACTGTAGTACTTGGTAGGTACTAGGCAGGTCATTTGATAGAGCTCAAGGTGCTACTTGTCGACCGCTTTCGGGTTGGCCCGTGTGCTACCCCCGTGTCGAAGACACCATAGTTAATAAGGGTTGCGGCAGTCATTGAGGACGCAACAACCAGAAAGGTTCTCAGTGCCTGCCCAGGCATTTGCAAGACTACTCCGTGCCTACCTACCAGCCTGCGTTACTCCCTAGCAGGCCCCTAATGCA